CAAACCCCACCGTGTGTCTCCTGTGTGTGCTTCGCTGGCCCCATCGTATCCCAGACCTGTAAACTGGAATAAATTAGACCGGCATTCAAAAACATGTCCGCTGAGGTGCTCGTTAAAAAGAAAAGCTCGGCAAACTGTTTGCCTACCCCTCCCTATTAATTACTGACCATCGGAACGTATCAGCCTGTTCGTGAGGCAGTGATTGGTCTGCGCCTGGGCGACGTTCTTTGTCCGTTTGTATCTATACTGTTTGGTCGAATGTTGGGTTTACGCTCAATTTGCACCTACGAAATGAGAGTGGCCTCCATGAAAGAGTCTTCTTCCAGTATGTCAGGACAGACCTAATCTTGTCAAATATCTCGAGTGGCCTGCTAAAATAAATATGCGTTTACTCAAGCCATGAAATTAGCTGTACAAGTTTTCAGTAAAGAGACACAAACTGTCCGTGAACTCTTAAACTACAAGAAAACGTTTGATTTCAAGGTAAATTTTACGTCGACGTGACAATCATACAAGGCTCTTCGATGACGTCATGTGATTGTTTCATGACGTCATACGTAATGTTCAAGTGGAATTGAAGCTCTGCACGCTGAGTGGTACACGAGTTGACATTGCCAGGAAACATTTAGGGTAGGGATTGACGATTACAATTTAGATAGACAGACAGTCAGACAGACATATAGGCTCTACAAATAGAACAACCAGTCTCGATCATCCGACGAAACAGTGAGTGAGTGAGTTGGGTTTAACGCCGCTTTTAACAGTATTCCAGTTATATCGCGGCGTGTCAGCCTAATGTAGGAAGAAAGCCCGAAGTGATGCAGGTCTTAGACGTTTACCAATTCGGTGAAACCAACGAGCACGTCATAAGGATACAATTTGTTTTAAATGATAAGTAGTTCTACATAGTATCGGGGGTGAAGGTCGGTTGATTCGAAGTCATCGTTGCTCGTAATATCAACCACTGGTTTATCTGGGCCACACTCGATTATTTCCAGGCCTCCGTGATACAACTGGAATTCATCTGACTGCGTCGTAAAACAAAAGAAAAACATTTAAATCATGTCATGTGAGCAGAGTTTAAACTTACATTATCATTGAAATTGTACACAAATTCTGCGTGACAAGTAGTCCTGTATCAACGGTGAAGCTGCGCCTTCAACACCTTAAGCGCTACCTACATTTGGTTTAAAATGGTTGACCGATAAAGCCCGCAAATAGAACTGGAAGCTAAGAATTTGAAGCAAATTCCCCAAACAGTTCTAAACGTTAAGTTAAGTTTGTGCAGCTTATTTGACGTCCGTCGTATGCGCGTTCATGGTTGTTTCTGTGGAGCATGACTAACACATGGAAGTCCAAATAAAAGGCGTCTTGACGGCGATGGCAGCTCGCCCTACCCTATCTGTACCGGTAGCACCCGTAAGTTGTCAACGTCATAGAATTTTCAGATGACCTTTAAAATGGTAATTGTCACAAGAGCTTTGCCGAAATGACACGAGTTGTCACGAATGAGACTTTTTCAGTTCCGGGACTGGCAAATGAAGGTTTTAACGTGCTTAATCCTCACAAAAGTACGTGGTAGTTTGGTTTAAAAGACCAATGTCATTACCCTTACTCTGGATGTGAAAATAAAGAGTAAGGATAAAAACAATAAACGCGAATTAAAATGTGTCATGATGATTCAAAGATGCTGGCAGGATAAATATATACTTCTCTATCAAGAATCCATTAGGTGATGATGTGAAATTGGGGTAAACGTTTGTTCAATATTACTGCTTTTATTTGTGTGTGTGTGTGCGGCTGCTTGTACTAGTCCGGACTAATGCCGGTTTTGTAGTTCTAACTTACTGAGATACCATGCCGTAGTTTAACATAGATACACCACCCAGACACAGTGTACTGACTTCGAACCGACCTTGTCCTTGTTTTAGACCCTTCATGCCGAACACCAGGCAGGGTAACAGGAAGTACCATCTTTTAACGTCTTATTGTATGACGCGGCCTGGGATCGAACCCCGGACCTTCCGCACTCCGGACAGACGCTCTATCCACTACACCACGGAGACTGTCCACGGAGGCTGTGCTTAGATCGGTGAGGTGAGGTAAGGTTAAATTGGATTTAAAGACGCGATAAGATTATTGCATTTATATAGGGACGTGCATCACGTGTATGTGTGGCTGCTTGTACTAGTCCCGACTTATGTCGGTTTTAGAGTGCGAGCCCGACCAGTTCTTGTTTTATCTCCTTAATACCGAACGATAGGCAGGGAAACAACAAATACCATCTTTTAATGTCTGACGCGGCCAGGGAATCGAACCACCGACCTTCCGCTCTCCGGGCAGCTCTAACAGCTCTACCACGGAGTAGGCCTTATCTCCAAGAGACAAATCCTGTCATCAATATTGCAGGAAAGTGAAATAAATCCAAACTCTATTTAGCCTGAATGTGTATTCGTGTGTCAATACCTATACGATATGCTCATTCCTACGTTTATCAGATATTTGTCATTATAAAAAATAATTAAAAAGTAATTTGCGACATATGTGTTTATTCACAATGTTTTACCAAAATATTTAAAGAAATATTCATCATGTAATGGCCTTAACATGACCCACGTGGTGATTCCGGAGCGGAACAAGCCCCGAGTAAACAATGCTTGTGATAAACATAAAACGTCAACGCCTGAGAATAATTACAGTAAACTACGGTTATTACGAACACGCTTATAACGAACTGACCGATATAACGAACTTATTTTTTAGTCCCGGCCATCTGTTATATATATGCTCTATATATGCTTATAACGAACTACGGTTATAACGAACACGCTTATAACGAACTGACCGATATGACGAACTTATTTTTTAGTCCCGGACATTTGTTATATATATGCTGCATATATATGCTTATAACGAACTACGGTTATAACGAACTAAAATAAGGGGTCCCTTTGAGTTCGTTATAACCGTAGTTTACTGTAGTCTCGATTATCCAGCGAACCAGATTCCACAGGGCGTAAAAGTCAAAATAGCGTTGGTAAATATATGTATGGGTAACCGAAAATCGGCGATGACACCGGGTGTACGCGAAAAGAGTAAACATGGTACGGATAGGGACCGATTACAATGAGAATCGGATGGACACAATGTGTACCCTGCTTGATGGTCACCGCGCCACAAAATCCGAAGACGTTGCTCATGCTATCAACCACTGCGGCACAAAACAACAGTTTCTCTCTCAGTCCCCTTACCTGGCAATTGAGAATACAGACAGTTTATGTTTGTTACCTCAAACAAAAATTAATTCAAAAATATATTACCCAACCGCAACATCGATTTTTTTTTGATTTTTTTTTTTTTTTTTTTCATAAAAAAATGTCTATACTACTCCCCTGTCTACACAATATGTTTATTTTCACACGATGATGTTTACGTATATTTGAGATCAAGGGGAATAGAAAGAAAAGCGTGGCTGTCTGTTAGAACACATCAAACATCCCTTCTTCAAAAACCACAGTCCCGGTGATCGCCCCAGTCCTATATGTAACAAGGAAGCCGTAATTGGTTCAACACATTTACATTAGGGCACAAAAACGCTACAGTAACGACACGAGTGTTGGGAGACCCTGACAAGCCCCTCACTGTCGCAACGCCGCGGCGTCTGTACCAGTGCCAGATCACGTCGCTGACGACATTCCCGTCACACCTATAATCAGCGTTCCAGCTATGTCCAACACTGTACATCTCCGCTTTGATGTTGCTGTGATTGGGTGGGCTTTTGTTGCGTAAGCTGGTAGAGGTAGTGATATCTATAGTGCCGCCAGGTGGACATAGCGATGACAGTTTGCTGCTAGAGCAGCGTGGGGTGGGGGCAGGGGTTGAGGGGGTGGGGATGAGGAGTAGGGGGGGTGACGGGGGATACAATGAGGATTTACATATTATCATGTTAAGGGACTGGCTTAGTTAAAGATTCTTTATGCATCGTATAAACTGCCGGTTATAAGTTCACAGAAAGTGTACTCTGAAAATAAAATGTGACACAAAAAATACAAACTTTATCAACACGTAACTAGTCTGAAAACAGTCCCCGAAACACTGCAAATTTCAGAAACACAACTTTGATACCCGTATCAAATACATCACCATCGAATAACCATTTTTGTTTGGTTTTTTTTTAGCAATCAACAAACATGGATGTATTCTTTCTGCCGGGCTGTTTATAATATTTCTATCTTAATTATTCTTTATATGTGTCAGTCAGTCATTCAGTCAGTCAGAGTCAGTCAGTCAGTCAGTAAGTCAATCAGACAGTTAGTTAGTTAAACTGTTTTTTCTATTCATTTGTTTTTGGTTTATTTGTAGGCTGTTTACTGGCAATTCTTTTTATCATTTCTCTTCAAATCTACACAGCTGTTCCATTCGAGCGCGCATTTATTGTCGTCCAAAACATCAGCGCTACATATCCTTTTGATGATACTTTTCATAATTAATACTTCATGTATTTATCTTTTTAAAATCAACATGTTATTTTACCGTTGCAAATTATTTTTCCAGAAATGCTGATTCGTTAATCTTAGACAACAAAACAGAAGCATCGATGACAGCGACATATAGACATATAATATTTTTAAGACATAGTTATATTCGTGCCCTCAGTGTTCTAGATATTTTCCAAATCGCTCAATCTCTTCATATCAGAACCTTAGATCCAGTTCTTCCAACAATGCACAAACAAGTCAATTCTCCCAGAAATACGTGACCTTAAAAGAAGCAGCTCTAAATACCCCATTGACCAAACTCTCGAATTTAATCGGTAAAGATCAGTGGAAATATGCATCATTCTTCCTAGCCTATGATATCGCGGTGATTAGATATATATCTGCTAATCTGCGTCATCAGTAGACGAATGAAACTTCAAGGCCTTGTGTTTCTCGCACGCATGAGCGTCCGCGGGTCGAAGTCGTGACACCAGTCCCGCGAACTCGCAGCGCTGAGCATGATCGTACAAAGAGACAGCCTGCAGACCGAGAGCATCACTGTTCGCTTTTCATAGTGGGAGAAACGATCCCGATTGTCGCACGGGAACTCTAGTATTTGTTGTCATATTGGCTTGCTACTAAGATACGCGGCAGATGTCGGCTTATATTTAACAGTAGGCGAGGTGTCATCATTTAGTATCTGTTGTCCAGTCTGAGCGAAAACCAGGATTGCTCCTCTGTAGATTCCAGTTCGCGATGATGTTTCCCAACCAATTCTACGGAACTCTTCTACCGATTTCAAGAAAATTCGTTGTTGTTTTGATTCTTTTTCAAGGTAAGTTTATTTCTATTATTATTTATTTGTGTATTTGTGTTTATATATCTGTAACATGATAAAACATGATATGCATATGCTTGGATGTTTTCTACATGTATATACTTGTATGATTGTAACCATTAAGAAACACTGTTTCTCTGAATATATTTTTTTAAGAAATATTTAAAAAATATCGTTTTACTGCCGCTTGAACTTATTAATTGGTGTTTCGTACCTTTTCTGTTTTACATTTTTCTTAAACCTTTTACACACTATGAAATTTGTTTCGTCGGATAATCGGGACTGGTTTTTCTCTGATGTCGACGTCATATATTGCTTCATGTGTAATCGTTTGAAAAACCTGCTTGAATCTTTTCCTGATTCAGTATTTTTGTAGTATCTGAATTCCAACATTTTTTTATATAATTACCCATTTGCCGTCCAGACGCATATCTTTCTCATAACGAACACCAATCCAAATATAACAAATAATCAAATTAACATAAAACAATAAAACGATCATTAATTTATTTAAGACATTAACAGATTTATATGTAATACTAATCATGAATGAGGAAAAAATACTATCTTCACTACAGAAACACACAATTTTTCAAAAGTCATCTATCCCTATTGTTAATTAACATGCGACAAAAACTATATTTTTCTGCCTTAAACAAATTATAAGAAATAGAAGCAATTCATATTACAGCGTTGTTCGTCTGCTTTCTACATTTATCTGTTTATTAATATTCCATATTCATATTATCTTAGTCTAAAAAACAACATGACATGCCCATCTCTCATATTGTTCTAAAACAGATTTGTTATATTGTATTGTGTTTCTGAAGACAGACTGCATCACAGTACGGATATGCGCCTTCAATGATGTTCAATCAAACTATATTAGACAAGGTCGTAAGGAAATCGAAACTTAAACAGTGATAACATTTCCTGAGGTGTTTTTTAATCAACAGTCAGGCTGACATTGCTTGTTTCTCGTACAACTGGTAAAAAGTTTCGTTTTAGGATACCTCGCATGTTATATATTGTTCTCCGGGCGTTAGTCCTGCAGAACGGGAGCGGAATGTCAGGAATGTTATCGTACTGCTGTCGATCGTTTCCATGCATTTTGAAACTCTTTTAAGCATTATACTGTGCAACCACGCTTCATTGTTCTGATGGAATATCGAGAAGAAATAGCCAGTTAATATTGTTATGAAACTGACCCAGTCTCGTTAGAATGTTACAACGTTTATTTTTAACTGTTTTGTGACCGCTAGTCTTCGTTGTTATTCTTTTTGCGGTGTTGCAAATGTATTAAATCTCGTCATTTTAATTTGTTTCGGGGGATACGTCCGTGGGGTTACTAAGTAGATAAGACTTGCTCGTGCTTGCTTGTTTTTTTGTTTTTTTGTTTTGGGTTGTTGTTTTTTTGTTTAATGCCGCACTCAGCAATATTCCAGGTATATGACGGCTGTCTGTAAATAATCAAGTCTAGACCAGACAATCCAGTCATTGACATCATGAGCATCGATCCACGCAACTGGGATGCGATGACATGCATCAAACCAAGTCAGCGAGCCTGACCACCCGATCCCGTTAGTTGCCTCTTACCACAAGCATAGTATGGGTTACTGAAGACCTATTCTAACCGGGTCTTAACGGGTCGTGCGTGTTGGTAATGAGTATTGGATGGTTAAAATGGATGACCTGGTGTGACCGTGTTTTGATAGAAATGTCCTCAGAACATTGGCAAACCAATGGTCATAATCGGATTTCCAGTGGTTGTCATCGGATTCGAAAGCAGCTGTGTGTGTGAGATTGGCAGGGCATCGTATCCTGACATTGTGGTCTGGCGGTGGAATAAATGCTTATTCACTCACTAGCTCATTGCGCAACGTCGTGAGATCGTAAAATACTGACAATTGGATGCACATTTTGTCGCCTCAGTGGGTGCTTCTATAGCTTGTTGACCGGGGAGGGAACTACCCCTACTCACTCACACATGATCTGGAGCGTTTGGGTAGCCAAGTGGTAAACGTGTTCGCTCGTAAAGTCGATGCGCGTTCGAATCCACACAGTAATTTACTTTGTGACACTCACTCATTGACATAACGTATGTAATTATATGTCGTTTCTCACCGAGGACCTTGGTAAGATCCTTCACACGATCCAATAGTGTGAAGCCCTTTTTAGTTGCTCCCCGTCGCGATATGGCTTGAATATTGCTGAAGCGGGGTAAACCCATACTCACTCACTCACTCACTCAACCAATCAAATACTCACTCAATCACTCACTCACCCATCCACTCTCTGACTCACTCACTCACCCAATCACACAAACAAATAACATAACCTGCTGAGTTTTGAGTGAGTTGAGACTTACGCGGTTTATAACATAATCACATGGGGGGAGACACCAAAATATCAGCTTCACTTGTTGTGACGGTATATGGGATGAAACCCGGTGATACAGCGTGGCGAGCGAACACCTTAACCATCAGGCCATAACCCGCGAAGATCCGGGTCTCCAGCAGCCCATGCTTGTGGTAAGAGGCGACTAACGGGATCGGGTGGTCAGACTCGCTGACTTGGTTGATGCATGTCATCGTATCCCAATTACGTGGCTCGATGCTCATGATGTCAATCACTAGATTGTTTGGTCACGATTTGATTATTTACAGACCGCCGCCATATAGCTGGAATATTGCTGAGTGCGGCGTTAAACAACAAACAAACAAACGCTCCGGGTGTTCTGATAGCCAACACATTGTTAAACACACTGTGAGTGATCTCTTTAAGATTAGCTCAAGAAACCATCGTTATGATGATGTAACCAGCGATAACAAGCCGTGCCCCCACCCCCGGGGGAGAGTATACAGAGATACATCGTAGTGACCACCTGGGGCTAGACTTAGTACCAGGATTATCCGATTACAAAATCACGTTACCTTTATCAAAATAATTGAGAAGATATGCTCAGAGAGATAGCAGGTGCGCTTTATATTTTGCACGATATGTTTATTTTCAAATGTGGTTGGTATGATGGTAACGGCCTGGGGGTCCGGCCGTAGAGAGGCCCAATACATCTAATTGCTAGTCCTAAGAGAAGCGGGGGGCACGGGTGGCCCAGTCACCAGAGACCAAAAACATGAACAACGATCCTAGTTATCAGGGCACGATGACTCGCGACCAAATTACAATGCCAGTGCACCTGACAGTTGCTTCTCTTAGGTGAGTGAGTGAGTGAGTTGGGTTTAACGCCGCTTTTAACAATATTCCAGTTATATCGCGGCGTGTCAGCTTAACGTGGGAGGAAAGCCCGAAGTGATGCAGGTCTCAGACGTTTACCACTTCGGAAAAACCCACGAGCACGGGTATGGTACTGACAAATCTAGAAACATAATCGGGGCGAACCGGGATTCGAACCCACAATCATAGGTTTCTGGCGTGCCCAAGGGACGCAACTCTGCACAGCGAATCGCGGCGCCTTAGACGACTGGGCCACCTGTGCCCCTGTGGGAATCGAACCCGGGCCTTCTGCATGTTAAAAGCAAGTGCGCATGCTAGTAATTCCTTTGCTAGAAGTTGAGCCATGTGATCGTGATCTCCTAGGAAACTTAACACTGACCTGAAATTTTAAAAAAATGCGTTTTGCGGTAACAATTTGACTCGAAATACTTTGAAACGAGTGTCAGCTGTATTTTTCTTTGAATAACAGTGATATTGTTTTCTTTTTCAGCTTCGTCCCTGTTCCTCGCTCAGGGTGTGTCGGGGGCGTGTGAAGATGCCGTGAATTTGTGTGGAAACACGATGTTTGCCGAGATCGCAGCCGCTTCCGGGGACAACACAGCCATCTGCGCGTAAGTATGTCACGCTGTTTATGTGACTGGATGCCATCGTGGCCATGGAGTTTTATGTGATGACATAACGTTGTGCTGTCTTTCTTGTTAAACTAAACTGTCGGGCGAAGAAAAGTATACATCCATGCTTGATGGTGGGTAAAAATGAAACTAACCAGAAGTGGGTTTTTTATGGTAATGTATTTGAAAAGTACTTACAATTTATGTTTTTGTTCACTTTAATCACCGAATTAAGCCAATTGGAGACGCATCGCTTTATTTATTTATTTATCTATCTATTTTTTAAGGAGATATTTCACTCGACACATGAAATATCCTCTATTTATTTATTTATTTATTTATTTATCTATTTATTTATTTATTTATTTATTTATTTATTTATTTATTTATTTATTTAAGGATATATTTCACTCGATACATGGAATATCCTCTATTTATTTATTTATTTATTTATTTATTTATTTATTTATTTACTTATTTATTTATTTATTTATTTATTTATTTATTTATTTATTTATTTATTTATTTATTTATTTATTTATTTATTTATTTATTTATTTATTTATTTATTTATTTATTTATTTTGGAACCCATGGTGATTCACAGGGACCGATGATCGCGCATGTATCTTCGAAAGAAAACTGGTCAGAATCAAGTGCAGATAAAGAATTGATTTAAGGAATGAGTAAGCACTAGTTTGGACCTTAATTTTACAGTGTTTTTAGCCTCGAAGCGTTTTCATACCGTCAGTCTATATCACGTACGAATTGTATAAGGCTCTTTTCCCTCAGTACGATCTTAGTGATATGATTTATTGATAACTTGATTAGAAAGTATGTAATAGTGGTCATAAGACATATAGATATATTTTTTTACAATAAAATTATGTAGGGCAAGTACCAATATTGAGAACAAAAGCTACCAGATAATCGCTGACAAATACAATGTCTTATTTCGTATGTTTAGCCATGTCTGAAACTAGTGTTGAAATATAGCATGGGGAGCATTCATTCCGAAGGTAGTAGATGTAGCGTAGGCAAGATACGTAGCGTTGGCAGGGTACGTAGAGTAGGTAGTATACGTAGCGTAGGTAGCATACGTAGTCTAGGTAGTATATGTAGGGAAGGCAGTATACGCAGCGAAGGCAGTATGCATAGCGTAGACAGTAGACGTAGCATAGTTAGTATGCATAGAGTAAGCAGTGTACGTAGAGTAGGCAGTATACGTAGCGTAGGTAGTTGACGTAGCGAAGCCAGTGTACAGAACATAATCAGTAGACGTAGCCAAGGCAATAGACGTAGAGAAGGTAGCATCTTTAGCGTAGGTACTATACGTAGCGAAGGCAGTATACGTAGCTTAGGTAGTGTAGCCAGTATACGTAGAGTAGGTAGCATGGGTAGCGTATGGAGTATACATAGCGCAGGTAGCATACGTAGCGAAAGCAGTACACGAGGCGTATTATACGTGTAGATACTATCCTGAAGCGGGTGTATGATAAGGCAGTATGCTTCTACTCACAGGGCGGTGGACACGGCACTTGGGTGTGTGGCGACCGAGACTGCCAGCTGCGACCTCTTGGCCAAGGCTGACATCATCGCTGCCATGGACGACATCATCGGCCTCTACAAGGATGCTCCTTACAACTGCGCATTGCGTAAGTCACGTTCTCTCTTATCCTCCGGGCCCCGTCGTCTTATGCGCCGCAATTCGCTGTGAAGAGTTGCGTCCCTTGGACACCCCGAAAACCTATTATCGTGGGTTCGAATCACCCCGATTATGTTTCTAGGTTTGTCAGCACCATACCCGTGCTAAAGGGTTTCACCAAAGTGGTAAACGTGTTGGGCCTGCATCGCCGGCTTTCCTCCTGCATAAAGCTGACATGCCTTAATAAAACTAAAATATTTTTAAAAACGGCGTTAAAACTCTCACAATCTTCTCCTCAATCCAGAATCTGAACCATTGCTTATATCGAATGGTCGAGACAATAAATGTATACGCATATTACGCTTTGTAACTAAGATCTCCGGATATACCGGTTTTCCTCAAATACTTTCATTTTGGTATAAAGGTAGCAGAGTTCATATGTCACAATTTGTTTTGAACCCAGCTAACGCAAACAACGCCGCCTACGACGACCCTTGTGCCGACGCCCTCTCCTACTGTGTCAACATCTACTACGAAGCGGAATACACGCCGACGACAACAGAATCTTGTCAGTAAGTGCATGACATGTATATGTCAGTGGGGAATTTTAATATTTAGGCTCATAGATTTAATTAAAAAAGATGCAGTCAAACACTGTTGTGTCGAACCTTGATGTGTCGGACTTTCGTTTGTCTCAAAGTAAAGTTTGGTCCCTGCGTTTTCTTTCTTTATTCATTATTTTCGGTTGTGCCGAACCTCGGATAACTCGAAGTATTTACGTAGGTCCCTTCAACTTCGACACAACGGTGTTTTTGTAGCTGAAAAGAATATCTAGCCTCAATTCCAAACCCCAGGTCGCTAACATCCCGACAATCAGGATTATCAGCGAGGCGATCTGGGATTCGATCCAGTCACAGTGATCACGTAGTCCTCACTGAAACCCATGCCCGCTTACCTATTGAGAATGATAACAGTGACAACGGTATACAGACTGTTGCTAATATTGCATTTGTTTGTAGAGGGTTTGACCGGTACCTGCTGTGCCTGCAAACCAACACAACATCATGTGACGCCACCGCTCAGACCCTCATCGCCCAGACGTCGGCAGAGACCGTCTCCAAGATGAACGCTGACCCATACTTCTGTTCAGAGAGTAAGTGAACAACTTATGACTGAGTATCCGCGAAGAACCGGATTAGAATTGTTCTTCAGCAACCCATGCTTGTCAACAAACGGAACTGGGTGGTCAGGCTCGCTGACTTTGTTGATGCATGTAGTCGTATCCCTATTGCGTAGATCGATGCTCATGATGTCAATCACTGGATTGTCTGTCCAGACTCGATTATTTACGGACCCACGTCATATAGCTGGAATATTGCTGAGTGCGGCGTAAAACAACAAATAAACAAACCTCGCCACGTCCGCAGTATCGATCACTGGCTTGTCTGAACTTTCTGCAGGTCAGGATGTAGATGTGATAGTGATGGTCGCGGTGTGATTCGTGACAGTAGTTTTCTTTTTTTAAATTCAGGCTCATAGGTACGGAACCGTACTAGTGCCACGGTGAAACTTTTTTTTTGTCTAAGCATCTCCTACGTAGGACTTACTATCTCCTACGTAGGATTTAGTATCTTCTGCGTAGGAGATAGTGATTCTAGTAAGAGATAATAAGTCCTACGTAGGAGATACTAAGTCCTACGTAGGAGATTGTGATTCTAGGTCATACTAAGTCCTACGTAAGAGATAGTAAGTCCTACTAGGAGATACTAAGTCCTACGTAGGAGATAGTTATTCTAGTCGATACTAAGTCCTGCGTAGGAGATACTAAGTCCTACGTAGGAGATACTTAGACCCAACAAAATTCACCGTGGCCCCACTACGCTTCCGTACATAGGTTTATAGAAATTATATAATATATAATACTAGCTGAATAAAATATCTAATCTCGATTTGAATCCCAATTTAAATGATCGGTCCATAAATGTATATTACCTACAGGAACATTATTGTTTTTGCTTCCTGCAAATTGGCTATATGAGGAGAAATTGAAATGTATAATCTTTAGGACTGAAGGATATATAATTTTTGTCATTAATAGTTAAAGCATAAAAACGAAGTCTGACTGTAGTGGCGTTTGATTGGTAGCAGACACTTCATTTTCATTATAACGCCGCTGTTTCATGTACACATGCTGTAAATGTTTGGCAAAACAAAAGGACTGGTGGCATTAAAACAGAATGTGGATGGCATTATAACGGATGAAGATGGCGTTATAACGGAATTAGGATGACATTATAACGGAACTAGGATTGCGTTATAACAGAATGTGGATGGCATTGTAACGGAATTTTGATTAGCATTATTACGGAAAGTGATTGGCATTATAACGGAAAGTAATTGGCATTATAACTGAATGTGGATTGCGTTATGACGGAATGTGATTGGCATTATAACGGAATGCGATTGGCATTATAACGGAATGTGGATGGCGTTATAACGGAATGTGGATGGCAATATAATGTTTGACTGTTTTTTTCCAGGAAATACGTACGACATTGCTGGGTGTGAATCTGGATTCTATGAATGTGTTAACCCTCTAAGTGCCGTCAGCCAAAACACCTCCGCGACTTCAAATCAAGTCTGTAGGTACGTACAGGTTCTACGTGTTTCGCAGACACACAGAGGGTCACCGGCCGGCAGAGGGTTTGTCCATCCCTTCGCTTTGCATCTTAAAAAATAGCCAAACACAAATCTAGTCTTTCATATTACATATACAGATAACGCTTGTAGTGTGAAGTACGACAACCATCCAGGCAGCGAACCACCCACATGGCCACACACCCACGTGCCGGACAGCTTCGTTCGCATTTAGTTTTCATAGATGATTTAGTTAGTGAAGTGGGGTGAGGTGAAATTGGATTTCGCGACGCGATAGGATTATTGCATTTATATAGGGACGTGCAAGCACGTGTGTGTGTGGCTGCTTGTACTAGTCCGGACTTATGCCGGTTTAATAGTGCTAGCCCACCACGCTACCACGCCCAGACACAGTATACTGACCCCGAGCCGACCAGTCCTTGTTTCATCCTCTTAATGCCAAGCGTCAGGCAGGGTAACAACAAGTACCATAATTTAACGCCTTTTGGTATGGCACGGCCGGGGATCAAACCACCAAGTAATGTATTTTTGTTATTATTAATATAAATTTCGTCATCATCATCATCATCATCATCATCCCACATCCATTGAAACCCCACCAATCCACACGGTGATATTATAAGCGTCCGGATTAACAAGTTAATTTTTTTTTAAACTCACTTTAATATTTAGGCGTTCTTTGCAGTAAGCGTCCAGAACTTTCAGTCGTAAAGGGATTACTTATGTCTTTACTCATATTGAGGTTGTTTTTTTCCAAACCGCAAATAGTTCTGAACTTTTCAGTAAGCCTTCATACGCTGCATTTAAGGTCTGACGTCCTTGCACACACCTGGAGAATCCGCTAATGCGGTGTGTGATGGACCAACCACACTTATTCAGTTGGAAGTATTTACAGTGAATCACACGTACACGCGATGGCCCAGGTCAACTAAATTTGGAAAAAAACACATGCCTCGCGCAGACGCCACCGTGTTGATGTCAGTCTAGTTTACACCTATCGGCCATGATGGTATGTGAGGTGGAAGATGTCTGCTGCAGCAACTGGTGAATGCAGTTTTCTGTGTATCAGCTGTGGGTTATGTAACGTTGCAGCGCCGCCGTCTCAGCAGCGGGATGTTCGTCAACGTTAACGTCGTCGTAATAACATCGGTGAGGTGGAATGAGGGTAACGTCGCCGTAAATATTATTACACTGATATAGAACGTGCATGTACGTGTGTGTGTGGCTGTTTTTACTACTCCGGACTAATGTCGGTTTAAGTGCTAGCCAACTGAGATAGTTTAACATGAATACCCGCTCAGACACAGTATACTGACTACGAGCTAACCAGTCCTTGTTTTAGCCACTTAATGAAGAGCGCGGTGATGTATTTTATACGGGTATCATAGTTGTGTTTTGGACAGGAAGTAGGCAGTTTTTCGGCGACTGTTTTCAGGCTAGTAACGTTTTGATAACGTTTGTATTTTTTTGTTAAATAATTTTAAAAAATATAATATTTCACATTATATCAAGATCTCAAGCTAATTGGAATCGAACCCGGGTTCCCTGATTAGGAAGTGACCGCACGAACCATAAGGCCACACTTGGGTAAAACGCATTGGGTAGTGGGAGAACTCAACCGTGGCATTTGTGAATTTAAGGTATCTGACAAATGGGGTATCTGACAAATGCGGAATGTGACAAAAGGCGTGAGACCACACCGCCGCCCTTTAACCTTCAACAGACCCATCTAAACTAAAGCCTCTGACGTCATACGCACATGCGTTTACATTATTTCTAACCCTCCGTATTCTTACCTAAACAGGGTTGAGTGACACATTTATAAATTCTTTCAAGGGAGTTTTATAGAGACGCCTCTTAATTGGGATTCTATGTGCATCTGGAAATGCGGACAAAGGGTCAGTGGTATTTGTGTTGGCAAGCTGTATCAACATAACAGTATATTGTAATGTACAACACGACCACAGCTGTCAGATACTGGCCGCACCGTGTTAACATAGGCAAAACATTACTAGTGCTTGAACAGGGGATATCTGTGAAATTAACAAATAGTATTTGTAATTCCGTTGCATGCGTAGTTTAAACAATATTTTTATTGCAGTGCGATTTTAATGTGACATGAGCTCCCATGTTCTGTATATTTGGTCTGTGTGGAATTATTGTATATATAAGTCCAATATCATGAGTTGCTCCCCTTGTGGTGTCAGGATCCGCGGGTCGTAGGTTCGAATCCCAGATTTCCCGATTATGAACCTTGGTTTTCTCGCCATACCTTTGTCCGTGGGAAAACGTCTGCGAGATCCGTCCAAATGGGTTTCCTGACACACCGTGACATGACTGAAATACCGTGATATACCGTGACATAACTGAAATACCGTGATATACGGTGAAGTAAATCAAATACCGTGACATAACTGAAATTCCGTGATATACCGCGATGTAACTGAAATACCGTTAAGCGACCTATAGCCAATGTGACTAAAAGCGGCGTAAAACCTCACTCACTCACTCACTAGTACTTAAGGCGGTCGCTCGTCACGCCGAAGGCCCGGGTTCGATTCCCGACATGGGTACAAGGTGTGAACCCCATTTCTGGTTTCCCCCGCTGTGATGTTGCTGGACCGTTGCTTAAAGCGGCGTAAAACCACACTTACTCACTCACTCACTCAAACAACAAATCTTGTACATAACCTGCTGAGTTTTGAGTGAGTGAGTTGAGACTTACGCGGTTTTATAGCAATATCACATGGGGGACACCAAAAAATCAGCTTCACATGTTGTGACGGTATACGGGAAGGAAACCCGGGGATACAGCGTGAAGAGCGAACACCTTAACCATCAAGCTACTAGACCGCCCCTTTAACGTTTGATCATGTAAATCAAGAAGGTAATCTACAGTATTTACTTTTTTTCAGTGAGATCACGGTGTTTACAAACTGCGTAACCACAAACAACGCCAAGTGCAGCCCACGACTACAACAACAGTACAACGAGAACGCTGCCAACCTCACCGTTACCTTCCAGGGAGATCCCTACTACTGCGGCTCTGGTGAGTACGGCACGGGGTGGACGAGCGGGTGGGCTAATACCAGGAGTGAACGAGCAGGTGGGCTAATACCCGGAGTGATCGAGCGGGTGGGCTTGTACCCAGAGTTGACGAGCGGGTGGGCTTATACCCGGAGTGGACAAGCGGGTGGGCTTATACCTGATGTGGACGAGTAGGAAGGGCGTATACCGGGGTGGACGAGCGAGTGGGCTTATACTCTGAGTGGACGAGCGGATGGGCTTATACCCGGAGAAACAACACTTTTCACTGTAAATGTGGACCGTGGTATTGAAGGGGATCTAAAATAAATGCCGTGCTCTTGGGTTTCACCGAAGTGGTAAACGTCTGAGACCTGCATAACTTCGGGTTTTCCTCCCACATTAAGCTGACACGCCGTGATATAACTGGAATACTGTTAAAAGCGGCGTGAAACCCAACTCACTCACTCACTCACTCACTCACTAAAATAAATGACGCGTGTTTCACCCGCCAAAAGCAGAGGACGCAAATTCCCTGCCTTCATTCCCTTGGTATTGCTTACTCGGGAACAGGGCGAACATGGGCATATTTGCACCAGATCCTGCTCCTTAAAGGGGAACTTATCAAGTATATTCAAATTATTCAAAACCCATTTGTTTTTTTGTTAGTGAGTGAGTGAGTGGGGTTGTAATTCAATATCACGGCGGAGACACGAGTACCCATGTGTGGAATCGAACCCGGGGCTTCGGCATGACGAGCGAAAGCATTAACAAGTAGGCTACCCCAACGCCCCTGTTTGTCTGTTAATTCAAATATTATGTTGTCAATCTGGCAATAAATGGATACCATAATTACATAAAGGAAACGTCTACGTTTCACGCATGACACTTATTACAACGCCTGGACATTGGCATGAGATCTGGAGGAGAGAGCCCCTTTAAGACACACACTCACCGATGACACTGCAGTGTTAGGTACTGTGTGACACTTTCGATTGCGACTTGAGTTAAAGTACAGTGGTTCCACTGTCATGGGCTGTCGCATCAGCTGGAAAAATGTGTAGATAGCGACGAGGAGTTTCATATAATACTATACAGCTTTTGATGAAAACGGTTAAAGGTCACTAGAATATCACCGATTAAATTTGAATTTATGAACTACAGTAAACTACGTTTATAACAAACACGCTTATAACGAACTGACGGATATAACGAACTGTTTTTTGGCCCCGCCCATCTGCTGTATGTATGCTGTATATGTGTTCATAACGAACTACGGTTATTACGAACTAAATTTAGTGGTCCCTTTAAGTTCGTTATAACCGTAGTTTACTGTACCTTAGCAAAAGTTTAAATATTTCACTTCACATTAATGGATATATTATTAGTTATGGTTTCTATATGGTTGCCGTATATGGTGTCATATTAGGTTAGCAGAATAATATAAATAATAGGTTCGGTTGATTATGGTGTCGCCCAATATTTTTCTGCTTACCTAATATGACACCGTATACGGCGACTAAAGATATCATAGAGAATTTATTATGCCGAAAAATTTACACTATCTGCTATCCATATTGCACAAATGAAGATTTGATACTGACAACCGTTGACGTTTAGGGTCAATGGGAGACTACTCTTCAAACCTTAAAGGCCAAACCTTGTTCATGATTTCAACTCTAATCTTTATCAATAAAGTCACGAACGTGATCTGAAAAAAATATTAATGTCCTTGCATATCATAATTAATTATATTAAAACAAAACAGGATCCAATAACGAATTTCTGTACTAGCATTTGCAAGTGAAATGTGTGACGTGGGTGTTGGAAAATCCCAAATGGCTGTTACTGACGGTATACGTCAGTAACAACCATCTTGTTTTTTTTTATTGACGGTATACGGGCTCATGTGGGGTTAGTAGTTCTGCTCTCTGATTGGTCAATCTCACTTTGAGGCGTAATAAGAACTGATACGATACCAGCTACATCGCATCTTCCTGAAGCAAGGGAGTTAACTGACTATAAAAGTCCAGTTTTCAAGATGGCTACCTCGATAGAGGCCAGGACACCATACTAGGTATATTAGGGCCATTCGCTTCACAAACTCCTTACAGCCTTACCGGTGTTGTAGGCAAATCTGGATATAACAAAACAAACTTTAACTTCTATAACTATGGTTGGTAAAAGCATCTCTGAAAGTGGTAATATGTGTCGTGTGAGAGGACAATAGTTGGAAGTACTTTTACCCTCTGCCCATATTATAATACCGTATTCAACGTAATAAGCGCCCAGGCCGTTCTCAAAATTAGAAATAGAGGGCTCTTATTAGAATATAATTTTAATGAAAAAAAAAACAGCGTTGAAAGATTGTAAATTTCGGGGTTTATGCTGACAGCCTGAAATGATACAAAATAAAAGTCTGTGCGTATTATACACGAGAGATATATTTTCCAGAATTTAATTGCCCATAATTAAGGGTGCATATAACACACGAGTGCGTATAATACACGAATAAATAAGTCTTGTGTACATTGATCGGAAGGGGTGCTAATTGGGATTGTTAACGAGCCAATATTTCAGCAAATATCGCGGCGGGCGCTTATTACGTCGAATGCGGTATATACACAGCTACCACCTCACCAATGCGGACCCTCTTTATTCCAGCCAACCCCTGTATGGAGGCCTTCAAGGGATGTAACACGTCGGAGAATGTGAGATTGCCGGCCGCAGGATGCGGGTGAGTGATTGATGATTACACTATTGTTGTTTTCGTTACAGTCTGTCTTGTTTTTTTGTAAATAATCAAGTCTGGACCAGACAATCCAGGGATTGACATTATGAGCATCGATCCACGCATTTGGGATACGATGACATGCATCAACCAAGTCAGCGAGCCTGACCAACCCATACCGTTAGTCGCCTCTTACGACAGGTATGGGTTGCTGAAGACCTATTCTACCTGGGACCTTCACGGGTATTTCGTTACAAGCAATTCAGATGTTAATAACGATTGTTTGGAACTTGACGATTGTAACTTGCAGGCTGGGATGTTGTATCGAGATTAGATATTTCTTCAGCCACAACCGTTAAAACAAGATATTTTTTTATTTAATTATATGAGCCTGAATTTCTTTTAAGAAACAAAAAACACCTTGCAACAATGTATTTCTGTGGCAGGCAATTTCGTTTTTCTTCAGCCGTCTGTAGCATAATATTTTGGGGACAATTTATTTCGTTTGATAAAATCCCAAGCCCCATAATATGAAATGATCGGTCCCTTTGCTAGACATGTACTTTATACCTGGTCTGTGTTTTTTCGAAATTGTGATAGTGACACATTTCTTCTACAAAATTTACTTGAACGCCAACACCCCCTTTTTCAGCCTACTTGATGTGTACGACGCGTGTTTCGCTACTGTCAGCCCGATCTGTGACAGCGACAAACTGGCGGAGACGACAACAGAGGTGAACACGCTCAAACAGCAGCTCACAACGGACTTCGGATGTAAGTCGTGGTCCACACAGGGCCGACGTGGATGTTAGGGTTAATGCATTTGTTGTTTAATTGAATAACTTACTGGTTTAACGCCACTTTGAACAGTAATCCAGTCATATCGTGGCTTGTGAGCTTAATGGAGGAGGGAAGGGGAGATCTGATGTTTACCACTTGGGTGATACCAACGAGCAGGGGTAAGATATGGTGGCCGAGAGGGGACATCGCTTTATCGCCTACAATCGCGTCCGCGAGAAAGCGATATTAAAACGAGATCACGATACGAGAATTATCGTCGAGAGTTATCGTCTAGTGTGATCGCTTCCTCGTCTCCTGCTATCGCTTTCTCGTCTCCTGCTATCGCTTTCTCGTCTCGTGTCATCGCTTTCACGTCTCGTGTTATCTCGTTCTCGTCTCCTCCTATAGCTTCCTCACCTCGTGTTATCGCATTTTAATCTCGTGTTTTCGCTTTCTCGTCTCCGGCTATCGCTTTCTCGGCTCCTGTTATCGCTTTCACGTTTCCTGTTATCGCTTTCACGTTTCGTGTTATCGCTTTCTCGTCTCGTGTTATCGCTTTCTCGTCTCCTGCTATCGCTTTCTCGTCACGAGTTATCGCATTTTAGTCTCGTGTTTTCGTTTTCTCGTCTCCGGCTATCGCTTTCTCGTCTGTGTTATCGCATTATCGTTTCTCGCGGCCGTCATTGAAGGCGATAAAGTGATGTCCTATAGCATGTTGCTGACGAACCTAGAAACGGTCAGTATGAATCTGGTATTCGAACCCATGATCACAGGCTTCTTGCACGTCAAATGGATGAACTGCCGTGCCACAAAATACATATAGCCAATGTTCACATACTGATAGTTAACCGTATGTGTTAACCTATTTTGCGCATAGGTGCTACAACGACAACAACTCCTGCTGCTGCTACTACTACTACAACATCAGCTTCTACAACTACGACTCCTGTAACTACAACAACTGCTGGTACAACTCCCACAACTACAACCACTATTACAACTACTGCAAATGGAGGCAACACCAGCCCAACTGCCAACAACCAGGGTCAGAACCAAGGGAAGACTACCGCGCCAAACTACAACTACGGTAACTTTTCCTATTTGTCGTTCAGTTAGTGATGCATCTCGTAACCTTGCCAACATATCAACTGTGTCACGTCACTCGCTAACATATTATCATATATTGTTCTCAAAATAGTATCTATATTCAGTTTCTGTACTCGTTAATCCGAACTGTACCTTTACCTGTGAAATCGTCCGGATTAGCAGGTTGCCTGGTTACCAGATTATTGATATGACGTAAAAATCCCTTTGTATATATACGCGTTCGCAACAGCAAGCGTCCGGAATGCGGGGTTTCTGGATAAATGAGGTTCTGTTGTATGACTAAGGATGTTGTTTGTACGTGGCATGGATTTCCGGTGTGTGAGTGAGTGAGTGAGTCGGGTTTAACCGTGTTTCAGTTATATCTGTGTATGTCGTAAATGCCTACCACTTTGCGAGATCCCGGGATTCCACCCGTCTTCAGCAGCCCATGCTTGTCATAACAGGCGACTATTCTTGTCGTAAGAGGCAAATAACGGGATCGGGTGGTCAGGCTCGCTGGCTTGGTTGATGCATGTCATCGATCCCAATTGCGTGGATGGATGCTCATGATATCAATCACTGGATTGTCTGTCCAGACTCGATTATTTACAGACCGCCGTCATATAGCTGGAATATTGCTGAGTGCGGCGTTAAACAAGAAACAAACAAACAACTTGACTTACATGTATGTCAACGCGAGTGTTCGAGGTAGGTGTTCAGTCAATGTAGAGTTTAGGACGGATGGAGTACCCTTTCAAAAGTGGTGTAGAAATGAGTGTGATCTTCTATAAGTTATTGTTGTTTTTGTTCATTATTATTATTATTAGCATTATCATTATTATTATAAATGAGTATGATCTTTAAGTTATTGTTGTTTTTGTTGTTGTTGTTGTTATTATTATTATTATTATTATTATTATTATTATTATTATTATTATTATTATTATAATATTATTATTATTATCATTATTATTATAAATGAGTATGATCTTTAAGTTATTGTTGTTTTTGTTGTTGTTGTTGTTGTTATTATTATTATTATTATTAATATTATTATAAATGAGTGTGATCTTTTATAAGTTCTTATCAGTATTATTATCATTATTATTTTCAGATGGAGCAGCATCTACAACATTGTCTTTCCTCCTTGGCTTTGTCATGCTGTCCCTGTCAGTGATCCTGTCGTGAATCACGTGAGGCACCTGCATGACGTAATTGACGACCGGCGTTACCTATGCTGTGATTTGCACGTCACTTTTACTGGTCGAGGGATTCGCACTACGGACGAAGTGTGTCCAACCCACAGCTTAGTATGATGCATATTCATGACTCCGGATCACTTGAAATGGACTTGGGCCCCAAACAAGGATGTTTTACATGTTGTATAGGTCGTCAGTGACGTGGAAGTGTGTTGCATATTTGTACAGTTAGAATTGGTTTCATATTAAAAGGTACTCGTGTCTTCAACAGAATGTGAGGCGGTTCTAGCATTCGCGGATATATTTTGACCAACAACTCGTCGCAATTTGCTGTGCAGAGTTGCGTCCCTTGGCAATGCCAGAAATCTATGGTCGTGGGTTCGAATCCCGGTTCGCCCAGGTTATGTTTCTTGGTTAGCATCACTTCGGGCTTTCCTCGCACACCAAACTGACACGTCGTGATAAAACTGGAATACTGTTCAAAGTGGCGTAAAACCCAACTCACTCACTCACTCACGTAAAGTAACGAGTCACATCTCGCATGTGTGTGAACAGCCATTCAAGACACGCGTAAGTTTTGATGTAATTGACATAATTAAAGGCAGCACTTTTCAAGATAAAATAAAACACAATACTTGTTTACTGCACCGGTGATTTATTCCTTCGGTTTCAAAACAAGAGGGGCGGTCGGGTAGCCTAGTGGCTTAACCGTTCGCTCGTCACGCCGAAGACCCTGGTTCGATTCCCGACATGGGTACAATGTGTGAATCCCATTTCTGATGTACTGTCCCCCGCCGTGATATTGCTGGATATTGCAAAAAAAAGGCGTAAAACCATACTCACTCACTCACTCAAAACAAGAACTCATTTAAGCGAGGCATCTATCCGACGGCGTCAAATTAGCATGTCTTTATTGAAATGGTAAACAAATTAATTTACAATGTAATATTTATCCCCAAATGTCAGATCAATACAGGTATGTTTGAAATCATTCCCTGTTTTGCATCTTGCATCATGCTCTTGACTCCAATGCAACATCCGTTACACCCTAAATTGGACAAATACGGTATTTCCGCAGTAAATGAACGCATTCGTGACCAACTCGTGTTATTCCGGGACAAGCCGAATAGCGACTCGTGCCCCTCTCATGGCCATTTTTGCGACCGGGTTCAGTCTTAGCGCAAACGGGCATACCTAAAACAACTGTCAACTCGTTGCGTAATGGTTAACATGTATTTCCCCATATATTATATATATTTCAGATGCAATTTAAAGCACATCTGGACATGCGGAATTATACAGTATGATTGAACACATGTAACTGTCTTGTGTATATTTTTAGAAGCAAGACATATGTAAAATCAAAAATTATTTCTGAGGGAATCTTTGACGAAGAACTTGAAATCATACGCGCATTCTGATTGGTTTGTCGTATTTTTGCACATAACATCATCGAAAGGGGGACGAGTCTTCTTGCAGGTTACGGAAAGGGGCGAGTGGTGACGAATGTAAATGAACGCAGTAGCCTAATGAGGCTATTGTATCGTTGGTACTGCCTCCCTCCCATTATTGCGGTAAACATTCGAACAAATGTCATGCATTTCAGGGTTAAAATAATAGTGAACAACTAACAGTATATCGGGAATTTTAAGATAAAGTAGACCACTTGTGATATGTTATATGTTATGAACATTTGTTTGAAAGAAAACCAGAAATATCGTCAAATAATTCGTTCTCTATTCCTATGCATTACCTTCGTAATAGATTAACAATTTTTCACAGAAATAATATATTTAAAAACGTATATCTAAAATATATATTTTTTAAAAATCCAAATGGAGCCCATAACAATGCCTTTCCAAATTTATTCTCTTGGGTCTGGGAGACTAGCTTTATGCCAACTTAGTCACGGAGCAGTTATGTCCCTTGGGTAATCTGAAATATCACTTTATGGGGACAGAATCTTATCTACCGTATTCGACGTAATAAGCGCGCCGCTCTAATAAGCACCCACGGCGATATTTGCAAATATATTTGCTAGTCAACAATCCCAATTAGCATCCCCTTCCGAATGATCAATGTAGACAAGACGTATTTATTCATGTATAATACGTGTGTTATATGCATCCTTTATTGTGGGAAATTAAATTCTGGAAAAATATATCTGTCGTATATAAACATTTCAGGCTGTCAGCATAAACCACGAAATTTAAGATCTTTCAACTCTGTTGTTTTTCACCAAAATAATGTTCTAATAAGAGCCACCTATTTTTGAGAGCGCCCTGGGCGCTTATTATGTCAAATACGGTAATGTGATATGAAACGTTCACATTTAACTATCTCAGTATAAATCCCAAGGGGAGAGAGCAATGACAACACGCTTACTATCAGTGTAAACTGCCGGGTAAAAGAAAGTTTACGCTTGAAAATTGAATTTATTACCCCGCTACTAGGCAGACAACAGTCGCAGAAACACTGCAAACTTAAGGACCAAAACACAACTTTGATACCCGTTTCAAATATATCACCATCCAATAGCCATTTTTGTTTGTTTCATTTAAGCCTCAATCAAAGGGGCACGGGTTGCCCAGTCGTCTAAGGCGCCGCGATTCGCTGTGCAGAGTTGCGTCCCTTGGGCATGCCAGAAATCTATGATTGTGGGTTCGAATCCCGGTTCGCGCCGATTATGTTTCTAGGTTTGTCAGCACCATACCCGTGCCCGTGGGTTTCACCAAAGTGGTAAACGTTTGAGACCTGCATCACTTCGGGCTTTCCTCCCACATGAAGCTGACACGCCGCGATATAACTGGAATACTGTTAAAAGTGGCGTTAAACCAAACTCACTCACTCAATCAATCAAACAAACATGGGTGTATACCTTTTTTGCTCGACAGTCAATTTAAAGCAATGCAATTGTACATAGTACGGGGAGGGTCTACTAAATTGTGATAAAATGTACCCAATCCATGACATCACTGAAATCGATATTTTAAACTAATAATCAGGGATGGTGGAGGGAGAAGCGTTCTGAAAACGAGCAGGCTCCTCAACAGCTTAATACGTGTACTTAAAACGCACATGTGCGTAGTTAGTAGTAGCTGGAAGCGCTCTTAAAATATCGCTATAAATTATTTAGACGGTTACACAAGACATTCGTTTGCGTTTTACGGTAATTTAGTAAATTCGTCTCCTAAATAAGCAGAACAATTTACAACATGATTAATAACAAATATAGGATCACAATATTTCTCTGGTTCTGATTTGTCAATGTAGCAAGTCTCTTCTGCGACCATCTTTAAAGTTTGCAATGATTTGTAATCTGGAATGTTGTGCTTGAGCTGCCGAATACTACATAAAATACAGTAAACTACGGTTATAACGAACTCAAACGGACCACTAATATTAGTTCGTTATAACCGTAATTCGTTATAAACATATATACAGCATATATACAGCAAATGGCTGGGACCAAAAACAAAAGTTCGTTATATCCGCCAGTTCGTCGTAAGCGTGTTCGTTATAAACGTAGTTTACTGTATTGTACTTATATGTGTCCACGTGAATGTAAGCATGCTATTTTGTACATAATCAATTGTATTTTCGGGTGATATATTTTTTGTCGAGCGATTTCGATGACTAAATGAAATCCAAACATGAGAAAATCCATGTTTTAGGTAAAAAAATATATTTGATGCTGTTTTGTATTTTTTGTAAATATTGAAAGTATCAAATAACAAGGAAGAATGTTGAACAAAAAACTTTATTTTCACAACAATATGGTTTGTATTTTTATAGACATGTGTGATGTACATAGTTGAATGTTGTCGTTGATGCTGTAATAAAGCCGCTAGTACTGTGATATGTTTTTTGTTTCCTATATACTTCAATTGGACCATGGTAGTGCTAAGGGTGGTTTCGGACAGAGTTCAGAGCTGCGTCCTTTAGTGAAGACGACTGTAATAAATCAGTTTGTAACCCCATAACCTCTGTCATGTTTGAAATATTGTGAATGTGTGCCGAAAAAAGCAAATGTATTGATTTAAAAATAAGATGTCTACGAAACCCATCAGCCGTTTTCTATTATGCGAATTTGCTTTTGGATTTTTAAATGTTTTTAATTGAATTATATATTTTTTGTTAATAACGATATAGAAGTATTCTTTGAGTGCTAACTTAGCGCCGGAACAGTTCGTTTTTTATATACAATTGCTGACTTAAGATATTTTCAAACTTGAAAATCAAACATATGATAAAATCAACTGAGATGTATAGTTTCTTTTCCAACTCAGTATATGTGCCCATGATGCAACAGGCAACTCCCACAAGCATCTCTCGTAAGTTTAATTCAAAAAAAATTATCCAGTTAGGCCAGACATTCTTGTTTAGTTTACGGATTTTTATAGGGAAAGTTATGGTCGGATGTTGAGTGTTTGCTTTTAAAATACATTGTTAAGGAATTTTGTAATCATCTTAATACATGTGTATTTCATTTAGAGCGATAAGATGATATCAACAACAAAAAATGACGATTAATCGTAAGGACTGTATTTGTTTAAGTCATATACAAGTTTATTCTTTTTATGGTAAAAGCGATCTTTACCGTAAGCGGTATAAAAAAAATGTCATTCTGATTTTATTTATTTTTCTGAATTTTCATTTTTAAGGTCAACGGATCCGTATACCAAGAAAAAATATAATGCTTTCATATAAACTGCAATGATCTGCACAATCGTGTGCTTCATATCACATGCATTAAACTCCCATCAACCCACAGACAGCGTTTCAGATTATTCTTTTACAGACTCGTATTCAGATGCCGAACGGGCATCAGCTCAGAAATAACAAGGCATAAGGTCAAACTACAGAGAATCCATAACATATTCTGTTTGAAGCCCTCCGCCGAGTTGTTCCCACTGGGACGGAAAGTAGAATTCCCAGTTTCGTTCGCTTGAGTTACCGCTTCCGATGTGTCTCCGAGATCAGCGACCGTGGATCCATTGGACAGGCCGTCCTCATAGGCAATGGCTTCCGGGTCTGCCTGCCGTTTGTCATCATCTTTCTTAGTAGAGTTTTCATCCTCTGCATAATCTACATCAGTTTTCAAGCCAGCATCTTCCTCAAATTCTCCGTACCCATATTCATCGTCTGCTGTATCATCCTCGCCATTCTCCTTGATCTTGCTTTTCTCAACTTGCGGTGGCCCAACGTTAGTTTCTTGAGATGTTAGACCCTCTCTTCCATTAACCGATGTGTGAGCATCGTCATCCTTTCCCTTGACTTGAGTCCCGGAGCCACCCCCAGCCGTTCCTGGACGCAAAGTACCCGCTCCAAAATCAACATCGTTACCTCTTCCTTCAGACCCGGAGCCACCCCTACCCGTTTCTTTCCGCAAAGTACCCGCTCCAAAATCCACATCTTTACCCCTTCCTTCAGACCCGGAGCCACCCCTACCCGTTTCTTTCCGCAAAGTACCCGCTCCAAAATCCACATCTTTACCCCTTCCTTCAGACCCGGAGCCATCCCTACCCGTTTCTTTCCACAAAGTACCCGCTCCAAAATCAACATCGTTACCCCTTCCTTCATACCCGGAGACACCCCTACCAGATCCTTGCCGCCGTGTGCCCGCTCCAGAATCCCTGCCTTGCACAGCGTCATTATTTCTCTCTGCAGTGTTTCGATCCTCTATCATTATGTCCTCATTGCGCCTTCTAGTTCCTGCACCATTTCCATTCTGATCGACAGCATTTATATTTCGTGTAGTCTCTACTTCGTCGTCACCAGGCACATAAGCTGTCCCTGCCGATCCTCTAGGTCTTCCTGCCGTTCCTGGAGATCTCCTTGCCGTTCCTGGAGATCCCCCTACCGATCCCTGAGATCTCCCTGTTTTTCCAGATTTCCCTGCCGAATCTGGAGACATCCCTGCCGTTGCTGAGGATCTCATCGCCGTTCTTGGAGATCCCCATACCGATCCCTGAGATCTCCCTGTTTTTCCAGATTTCCCTGCCGAATCTGGAGACATCCCTGCCGTTGCTGAGGATCTCATCGCCGTTCCTGGGGATCTCCCCGCCGTTCCTGGGGATCTCCCTGCCGTTCCTGGGGATCTCCCTGCCGTTCCTGGAGATCTCCCCGCCGTTCCTGGAGATCTCCCCGTCGTTCCTGGAGATCTCCCCGCCGTTCCTGGGGATCTCCCTGCCGTTCCTGGGGATCTCCCTGCCGTTCCTTGAGATCTCCCCGCCGTTCCTGGAGATCTCCCCGTCGTTCCTGGAGATCTCCCCGCCGTTCCTGGAGATCTCCCTGCCGTTCCTGGGGATCTCCCCGCCGTTCCTGGGGATCTCCCCGCCTTTCCTGGGGATGTCCCTGCCGTTCCTATTGATCCCCCTGCTTTTCCTAGAGATTTCCCTGCCGAATCTTTAGATCGCCCTCCCACACCCAGAGGCATCCCTGCCCATCCTGGAGATTTCCTTGCCTTTCCTGGTGAACGTGAACGCCCCACCCGTAGCGCACCTGCGAGAGTTCCCACCATACTTGTCTTGTTCGCTTCCGATGGATGAACCTCTCTACTCTTGAGATTCGCTCGTTCATCCGTGTCAGCATCAACATAGTCTTTATCGGCGACCTTTCTCACACTGTTATTTCCACACAATTCTACAAACAGAATAGCCATAAAATCAACATTTTAACAAAACCGTCTATCTTAAAAAGACAAAATAATATTTTCACATGAAACAAAACAGTTTCAAAAATTCTTCAATGACGTCATGGAACAATGTCTTAGTGTAACTGGGCAACGTGGCGTCGTTGCCTAGATGCCACACGATTTGAACAATTCACTGAAAGGTTTAATATGAAATCATGGAGGGGACATTATTGTGTTGTCGCCCTCACAAAATTAATCAAGCGCGACAATGTCCCTTCTGGGATTCCATAGTTAAACGGGAAGTGTACACGCAAAAGTTACTTTCTTTCTTTTTCTAAACAAAACGCAATTTTAGAATTAGTTAGTATCTGTGTTTGAAAATACACACTCATTTTTTTACAGTGAAAGTAGGAAGCTCACAATAGTGTGAAAATGAAATGCCGTTATGAGGCCTTCGTTTTTCGAGCTAAACAGGCCTGAGTTATCCCCCTTAGATTATGACGTAATTGGTGCCAATTCAACTGGGTCCCTGTCTATTCTCAACGCAAAAGATATCAAGTACCAGTTTGCGGTAAAACAACATGGCCTACGACACATTCCGGCGCAGTGGTGACTCAGCATAACACTATGCTAGCTGGCATCTGAGACGCAAGAATCACACACCAGCACCTACACCACGTGATGCGGCTCTAACAAAGCATGATGACGTCATAATGTTTATCAATTGGCACCAATGACGTCATATTGTAAGGGGCATAAGCCATGGTGTTTTTGTTATGGAAATAGAACACTTGGTAAATGTGAAAAATATAAATAGCTTTAATACGAAAATTATGTTGATTAATTGTGATATTTTTATATTTTTGTCTATGACACTTCTTGGTTAACACTTTTAATGTGGAAAAATTACAAGAAAAATAGCTTCATTTCCGTGTGAACTTGCCCTTTAAACGTTATCTGGATGTTTTAACAAGACTGAAGTTTTCAATAATAGAAGAATTGGTTAAATTTATCAAATACGGTACTTATCTCATCTCGTGGCCCATTTAATAACCACCCGCACCACAGATAATATTTAACCAGTCTGAAAGTCTGTGAATATATTTTTGTATATGGTGACAGTTATAAGTCAAACGTGTACGTTATGAATGCGACTTGCGACCTGGCCGCGCCGTACCTGGTTGACATTTTTGTTGTTGGCAAGTACGTCTACTTTCCTGTAGCCTGGTTTTAACAGCACCGGTGTCCGCGTTGGGACACTGCGCGGTAGCATTGGTGACGCAGGATAAGTATGTTGCATAGGCACTGGAATTGAACACATGTCGTAGTTACATGTCTCTCTCTCTCTCTCTCTCTCTCTCTCTCTCTCTCTCTCTCTCTCTCTCTCTCTCTCTCTCTCTTGAACACATATTGTAGTTACATCTCTCTCTCTCCCTCTCTCTCTCTATTGAACACATATTGTAGTTACATCTCTCTCTCTCCCCCTCTCTCTCTCTCTCTATTGAACACATATTGTAGTTACACCTCTCTCTCTATTGAACACATATCGTAGTTACATATCTCTCTCTATTGAACACATATCGTAGTTACATATCTCTCTCTATTGAACACATATCGTAGTTACATCTCTCTCTCTCCCCCTCTCTCTCTCTCTATTGAACACATATTGTAGTTACACCTCTCTCTCTATTGAACACATATCGTAGTTACATATCTCTCTCTATTGAACACATATCGTAGTTACATATCTCTCTCTATTGAACACATATCGCAGTTACATCTCTCTCTCTCTCTCTCTCTCTCTCTCTCTCTCTCTCTCTCTTGAACACATATTGTAGTTACATCTCTCTCTCTCCCTCTCTCTCTCTATTGAACACATATAGTAGTTACATCTCTCTCTCTCCCCCTCTCTCTCTCTCTCTCTCTATTGAACACATATTGTACTTACACCTCTCTCTCTATTGAACACATATCGTAGTTACATATCTCTCTCTATTGAACACATATCGTAGTTACATATCTCTCTCTATTGAACACATATCGCAGTTACATCTCTCTCTCTCTCTCTCTCTCTCTCTCTCTCTCTCTCTCTCTCTCTCTCTCTCTTGAACACATATTGTAGTTACATCTCTCTCTCTCCCTCTCTCTCTCTATTGAACACATATTGTAGTTACATCTCTCTCTCTCCCTCTCTCTCTCTATTGAACACATATTGTAGTTACATCTCTCTCTCTCCCCCTCTCTCTCTCTCTCTATTGAACACATATTGTAGTTACACCTCTCTCTCTATTGAACACATATCGTAGTTACATATCTCTCTCTATTGAACACATATCGTAGTTACATATCTCTCTCTATTGAACACATATCGTAGTTACATCTCTCTCTCTCCCCCTCTCTCTCTCTCTATTGAACACATATTGTAGTTACACCTCTCTCTCTATTGAACACATATCGTAGTTACATATCTCTCTCTATTGAACACATATCGTAGTTACATATCTCTCTCTATTGAACACATATCGTAGTTACATCTCTCTCTCTCTCTCTCTCTCTCTCTATTGAACACATATTGTAGTTACACCTCTCTCTCTATTGAACACATATCGTAGTTACATATCTCTCTCTATTGAACACATATCGTAGTTACATATCTCTCTCCATTGAACACATATCGTAGTTACATCTCTCTCTCTCTCTCTCTCTCTCTCTCTCTCTCTCTCTCTCTCTCTCTCTGTGTCTCTGTCTCTCTCTATTGAGCACAGATCGTAGTTACATCTCTCTCTCTCTCTCTCTCTCTCTCTCTCTCTGTCTCTGTCTCTCTCTATTGAACACATATCGTAGTTACATATCTCTCTCTATTGAAAACATATCGTAGTTACATATCTCTCTCCCTCTCCCTCTCTCTCTCTCTCTCTCTCTCTCTCTCTCTCTCTCTCTCTCTCTCTCTCTCTCTCTCTCTCTCTCTCACTCTACCTGCAAATGGAAACTGGATCCGCAAATGCTCTTGAGAACTGGTCCTCGCATCGGCCTAGACACTTGGGTTGTGCGGGGTCGATGCATAGACTGGCTGGTAATCCTGAAGCAATCATCGGTACATGCACAACGTATTTACATGATATATCACTGTGAGGAACAGACACTCGGAGACACAGTATTTACATGATATATCACTGTGAGGAACAGACACTCGGAGACACAGTGTTTACATGATATATCACTATGAGGAACAGACACTCGGAGACACAGTATTTACATGATATATCACTGTGAGGAACAGACACTCGGAGACACAGTGTTTACATGATATATCACTGTGAGGAACAGACACTCGGAGACACAGTGTTTACATGATATATCACTGTGAGGAACAGACACTCGGAGACACAGTGTTTACATGATATATCACTGTGAGGAACAGACACTCGGAGACACAGTGTTTACATGATATATCACTGTGAGGAACAGACACTCGGAGACACAGTGTTTACATGATATATCACTGTGAGGAACAGACACTCGGAGACACAGTGTTTACATGATATATCACTATGAGGAACAGACACTCGGAGACACAGTGTTTACATGATATATCACTATGAGGAACAGACACTCGGAGACACAGTGTTTACATGATATATCACTGTGAGGAACAGACACTCGGAGACACAGTGTTTACATGATATATCACTGTGAGGAACAGACACTCGGAGACACAGTGTTTACATGATATATCACTGTGAGGAACAGACACTCGGAGACACAGTGTTTACATGATATATCACTGTGAGGAACAGACACTCGGAGACACAGTGTTTACATGATATATCACTGTGAGGAACAGACACTCGGAGACACAGTATTTACATGATATATCACTGTGAGGAACAGACACTCGGAGACACAGTGTTTACATGATATATCACTGTGAGGAACAGACACTCGGGGACACAGTGTTTACATGATATATCACTGTGAGGAACAGACACTCGGAGACACAGTGTTTACATGATATATCACTATGAGGAACAGACACTCGGAGACACAGTGTTTACAGGATATATCACTGTGAGGAACAGACACTCGGAGACACAGTGTTTACATGATATATCACTGTGAGGAACAGACACTCGGAGACACAGTGTTTACATGATATATCACTATGAGGAACAGACACTCGGACACACAGTGTTTACATGATATATCACTATGAGGAACAGACACTCGGAGACACAGTGTTTACAGGATATATCACTGTGAGGAACAGACACTCGGAGACACAGTGTTTACATGATATATCACTATGAGGAACAGACACTCGGACACACAGTGTTTACATGATATATCACTATGAGGAACAGACACTCGGAGACACAGTGTTTACATGATATATCACTGTGAGGAACAGACACTCGGAGACACAGTGTTTACATGATATATCACTGTGAGGAACAGACACTCGGAGACCCAGTATTTACATGATATATCACTGTGAGGAACAGACACTCGGAGACACAGTGTTTACATGATATATCACTGTGAGGAACAGACACTCGGAGACACAGTATTTACATGATATATCACTATGAGGAACAGACACTCGGAGACACAGTGTTTACAGGATATATCACTGTGAGGAACAGACACTCGGAGACACAGTATTTACATGATATATCACTATGAGGAACAGACACTCGGAGACACAGTGTTTACATGATATATCACTATGAGGAACAGACACTCGGAGACACAGTGTTTACATGATATATCACTGTGAGGAACAGACACTCGGAGACACAGTATTTACATGATATATCACTGTGAGGAACAGACACTCGGAGACACAGTGTTTACATGATATATCACTATGAGGAACAGACACTCGGAGACACAGTGTTTACATGATATATCACTGTGAGGAACAGACACTCGGAGACACAGTGTTTACATGATATATCACTATGAGGAACAGACACTCGGAGACACAGTGTTTACATGATATATCACTGTGAGGAACAGACACTCGGAGACACAGTGTTTACATGATATATCACTGTGAGGAACAGACACTCGGAGACACAGTGTTTACAGGATATATCACTGTGAGGAACAGACACTCGGAGACACAGTATTTACATGATATATCACCATGAGGAACAGACACTCGGAGACACAGTGTTTACAGGATATATCACTGTGAGGAACAGACACTCGGAGACACAGTATTTACATGATATATCACTATGAGGAACAGACACTCGGAGACACAGTGTTTACATGATATATCACTGTGAGGAACAGACACTCGGAGACACAGTATTTACATGATATATCACTGTGAGGAACAGACACTCGGAGACACAGTGTTTACATGATATATCACTATGAGGAACAGACACTCGGAGACACAGTGTTTACATGAGACCGTGTCTGAGACCGTGAACACCTGACACCATACGTCGTGGCTAACATACTCAACGTGCTGGCGAACACCTGACGTCATCTGTGGTCACAGACTGAGACATACTCAATGTGCTGGTGAACCCCTGTCGTCATCTTTGGTCACAGGCTGAGACACACTCAATGTGCTGGCGAACACCTGACGTTAACTGTGATCACAGACTGAGACACACTAGACGTGCTGGCGAACACCTGACGTCATCTGTGATCACAGACTGAGACACACTCAACGTGTTGGTGAACAACTGACGTCATCTGTGGTCACAGACTTGGACACACTCAACGTGCTGGCGAACCCCTGACGTCATCTGTGGTCACAGACTGAGACACACTCAACGTGCTGGTGAACAACTGACGTCATCTGTGATCACAGACTGAGACACACTCAACGTGCTGGTGAACCCCTGACGTCATCTGTGGTCACAGACTGAGACACACTCAACGTGCTGGTGAACATCTGACGTCATCTGTGATCACAGACTGAGACACACTCAACGTGCTCGTGAACCCCTGACGTCATCTGTGGTCACAGACTGAGACACACTCAACGTGCTCGTGAACCCCTGACGTCATCTGTGGTCACAGACTGAGACACACTCAACGTGCCTGTGAACACCTGACGTCATCTGTGATCACAACACACTGAATTTGATGGTAAACACCTAATCCTACCTGTTCTCATTTTTTACGAGACATTTTACGATTTTTACATTTCATTTCTGAAACATTTCCGTTTTTTCATTCTATAGCAACCGGCTTGCGATGTTTCCTCGGGGCCCTCTTTTACCTAACATCTTTTAGCCTTGTGAAGGCCAACAATAACGGTTTCTTTAACATTTCTTCTTAAAATAAAATAAAATTTTCAGAAAATTCAGAACTTAAATATCTCTTTTTATGTGACAAAGATATAACGGATGCTTGAAAACAACTTACCTATGACCAGTAAACAGTATATGGTTGTCACGGAAAACTCCATGGGCACAGCAATGCGACTTGATGCGAAACTAAGAATGGTGGCTCGCTTTGCAGTAATACTACGGGGGTTCTCTGATCATGTGAAACATACGGGCTTGTACCGGTCAACATTTCCATGCTCAGGTGCACAGTGTATGTATTGTATTCAATGTTAATGTGATGTTGATGAAATCCATCTCCCATTTGTGGTAACATGATGCTAGTTAATTACAGAACAACACTACTTACGTGTGTAAGAATGGCATTTTACGTTGCAATCTGGATTTCATCATGACTTTATGTGTGAAAATGTGTGTGGCATTGGCATAAAATGGCATGTAAGCCATTCATTCGTTGGTTCCTTCGTTCATTCAAATTTAAATTTTTCTTTTTCAAAAAAATATTTTTTTTAAATGTTTAATGAATTACTCATCATTTAGTATTTTTAGAAACCTGTTCACACGGTACAATGTGTGAAGCCCATGTCTGGTGGTCCCGGCCGTTAGAACAATAATTATGTTTAATGTCAGTTACACTCTTCAAAAAAAGAAACGCACAGGTAGTATGTAGTTTATTGAACCTGACTACACAAAAAAATCCGGAATATAAATTGGATATATGTCATTGGAAAATGTTGGTGACCTGATATTCGACAAACGGTACGTCAAAACGCAGCCATTGTCGATTTGTAATGTCTTAAACGGCATTGTATTCACATTTGTTCAAAAATGTCATGGAGGAAATCAGTAAAGGAAAATGCACATGCAAGTTATGTCAAAGAGGGGAATCACAGTCTTCTGTTGCACGCTACTTCAACGTCCGAACACGCCGCAGAAACTCCCACAACTGACAAACGCGTTACAAGCAGAATGGCGCAGAATTCCGCAGGACAGAATTCGTACACTTATCCAGTCAGTGCCGAGGAGATGCAGAGCCGTGATTGCTGCCCGGGGCGTGTTACGAGATATTGAGTTCAGTGTAACCTTGTGGCCTTATATGACATGACAATGAACAGTTTTCAATGCCTTCGTACAACGGCAACATGTGACTATCGAGCTCCAAAATTTCATATGTGTATCTATGATATATAATTAAATATATCGACTTTATAAGGTACAATCAATTTACTAAAAATCTACCTTTGCATTTCTTTTTCTTTTGAAGAGTGTATATAATGTATGCTATTTCTCATGTCACTGTCAATACATTGTAATTTGTATGTGTATCATGTTTGGGAGAGGCATTCAGATAAGCAAAGTTTGTTTGTTTGCAAATCTCTCCACTTCATGGAAATGAATATGTTTATATCATATTGCTGGAATATTGCTAAAAGCGGCGTAAAACCATACTCAATCAGTGACGTCATGCCTTACACCTTGATGACGTAATGAAGTACCGGTGAAGCCTAGGACTGGGCAGGTGGCACACACACGCACGCGTTCACACAGACAAACACAGACACACATACACACCCACACACAAGCTCGACCGCACGCACACATACACACACGCACACATACGCGCGCTTATACACACACTCTTTCACGTGCGCTCATACGCGCTCTAATTCACACTCTTAATTCGCCGTGCAGAGATGCGTCCCTTGGCGAAGCCAGAACCCTATGATTTAGTGTTCTATTCCCGGGTCGCCCCGATTATGTTTCTGGGTTCGTCAGCACCATAACTTGTGAGTTTCACCAAAGTGATAAACATCTTCACTTCGGACATTCCTCACACATCAAGCCGACCCGTCGTGATATAACTGGAATAATGTTAAAAACGCCACAAAACCAAAATCATCGTGAAAGGCGACTATTCTTGTCGAAAGAGGCGACTAACGGGATCGGGTGGTCAGGCTCCCTGACTTGGTTAAAGCATGTCATCGATCCCAATTGCGTGGATCGATGTTCATGATGTCAATCACTGGATTGTCTGGTCCAGACTCGATTATTTACAGACCGCTGTCATATAGCTGGAATATTGCTGAGTGCGGCGTTAAACAACAAACAAACAAACAATCAAACGTAGCTATAACAGTGCAATAATCGTGACAGCGACGTTATCCTCATTCCACCTCACCGATCTTATTACGACGACGGTAACGTTGACAAACATGCTGCTCCTAAGATGGCGGCGCTGCAACGTTACAGAAACATTCACATCATCCAAAAGTATGTATAAAAGATACAGAAATTCATAAAATTTGTTTCTCCCAATTAGAGGCGAACCGGTTCCCTCCTCTGCTGTGAGTGAGTGAGTGAGTTAGGTTTAACGCCGCCTTTAACAGTATTGCAGGTATATCGCGGCGTGTCAGCTTAATGTGGGAGGAAAGCCCGAAGTGATGCAGGTCTCAGACGTTTACCACTTCGGTGAAACCCACAAGCACGGGTATGAGTGAGTGAGTGAGTGAGTATGGTTTTACGCCGCTTTTAGCAATATTCCAGCAATATCACGGCGGGGGACACCAGAAATGGGCTTCACACATTGTACCCATGTCGGGAATCGAACCCGGGTCCTCGGCGTGACGAGCGAACGCTTTAACCACTAGGCTACCCGACCGCCCCAGCACGGGTATGATGTTGACAAACCTAGAAACATAATCGGGGCGGGCCGGGATTCGAACCCACAATCATAGGTTTCTGGCGTGTCAAAGGGACGCAACTCTGCACAGCGAATCTCGGCGCCTTAGACGACTGGGCCACCCGTGCCCCCTCATCTGCTGTGAACAAGGGTCAATGAGGTACGACGCTGATTGTTTGCCGCAGTGTACTCGGATACCTCTCCCCGACGCCCAGTAACGAGACGTGGTCACGGCATCTCTGTAATGGATACAGTTATCACAAATCAGCATGGAATATGTCATATCAAGTATTTCCAACATAAGTGCGTCTGAAGCAAGGTGAGTTGAGGGACAATGGGGTCTAGAGTCGCGTTGTGGTTTTCAATAATGGTATGCAAGACAGGACAAATTTGGAGCGTACGCAGATATTTTAATATTCTGGAAACCGGTAGATCAATGCTGACACTACTGTCTACAACTAAAACATCGATATAAAGGCCGCCAGCAGTTATTTCATATGAAACATGGGACATTCATCTTTGTCACTTGGCTGGCTTGAAATATGAGTTGACCCGTGAAGATTCCGGGGTAGAATAGGTCTTCAGCAACCTATGCTTGCCGTAAAAGGTGACTATGCTTGTCGTAAAAGGCGACTAACGGGATCGGGTGGTCAGGCTCGCTGACTTGGTTGATGCATGTCATCGATCCCAATTGCGCGGATCGATGCTCATGATGTCAATCACTGGATTGTCTGGTCCAGACTCGATTATTTACAGACCGCCGTCATATAGCTGGAATATTGCTGAGTGCGGCGTTAAACAACAATCTTCGATTTGTTTTGAAAATATGATATGTGCTGATTGCATGAGCAGGATCTGCGTCTTCGAGGGTTATACCCACCTGATCTTCTTGTTAACCAGACCCGTGAAGATCCGGGGTAGAATAGGTCTTCAGCTACCCATGCTTGCCGTAAAAGGCGACTATGTTTGTCGTAAAAGGCGACTAACGGGATCGGGTGGTCAATCTCGCTGACTTGGTTGATGCATGTCATCGATCCCAATTGCGTGGGTCGATGCTCATGATATTAATTACTGGATTGTCTGGTCCAAACTCTATTATTTACAGACCGCCGTCATATAGCTGGAATATTGCTGAGTGAGGCGTAAACAACCAACCAACCAACCAATCAACCAATCTTGTTAACCGGCCCTTACGGAAGTCATTGGTTACTCGGCACCGATTTTGTCTCTGAATCCTCAGCATGTTTTGTCTGGGCCTATTTGTATAATCATATTATTGGTTAACGGGTGGCAATATTCTAGTGGTGGCCTCTTTATCGAATCTTGGATCAGGCACACGCTGTCAGGGTTCGGTGACCTGCGAGAATCCAGGTCACGGTGACCTACAATAAGCCAGGATAGAAGAACTGCGACATTTAGACTGAGGGCGTGGTCTAGCCGTCCTACCTACACCCATGCGGTCTTTCTACTCACATCAAGACCGAGTCCGAGTTCTTTAACCGTATTATAAACCGAAATGAATAATTATTCACGCTAAGATGAACTAAAAAGCAAGGTTTGAAAACATCTAGCCCCTCAGTAGAAATGAACTCGGTTCACAATGATGATGCGTTTCGATAAAGACATTACAGATAAAGAGTTACATCGCTGCGGGAGAAAAAAAACAACATGTGCAACATAGACAAAACTAAGTCATGACATCTAAAATTGAACAACCTTTCATCATCTGCCCCGATGGCCCAGTGGGAAAACAGTAGGTTACAACTCAGGTTCATTTCTTGTCTTCGACTTTAGGACAATGGACGTTTGAAACACAAAGTCCAAATTTCATCTTCCCAACCCATCCGCATCCGGCCTTTCTTCTGAAAGGTAAAATACCCGGGCGTAGCAAGTGTATTTGATTGGTTGAAATGCAGATGGGACAGGTCTTTCTGTAACTCCAAATGACCTCATATGAGGTCTCGAAGTCTCAGAAAGACTTACGTACAGGTAATGGTATTGTGTTTAACAATGGGATGACGTCATCAGAGGTTTATTTTTCCGCGGAATCCCCTCGGAGAGACAGTGAACATGTAAAAGTGATGCAAGCGCACGTAAAATATTGGTAACGCCCAAGTGCCCCACTGGTCGAGTTAACGCATCATCTAGTTTCTGAAATAAACTATTTTACACACGAAAAAGCAGTTTTAAATTATCTAAAAAATTATCGCCATTTTAAGAAACCGCTGTGCACTTGCCAACTATTATAGACTTACATATATATATATTATATATATATATATATATATATATATATATATATATATATATAGTTGGATATATTTGTTTCAGGGACTGTAATATCAGAGCGTGTCAGCTGGATGTGGGAAGAAAAGGCTAAGTGATAGAGGTGATGCAACTGGAATATTTTTTAATGCGGCGTTTGATAGTATTCTCTCACTCGTGTCAATGTGTGTCCGTCATTTCAAATGTAGTGAGGTAAAATGGGGTTTAACGTCGCGTCCGACATTATTGCACTCATATGTGTGTGTGTGTGGCTGCTTGTACTAGTCCGGACTGGTGCCGATTTTATAGTGCTAGCTCACTGTGATACCATGCCACATTTTAACATGAATATCCCTCTCAGACACAGTGTACTGACTCCGAGCCGACCAGTCCTTGTTTTAGCCCCTTGGTGCCGAGCGTCAGGCAGGGTAACAACAAGTACCACCTTTTAACGTCTTTTGGTATGACGCGGCCGAGGATCGAACCCCGCACCTTCCGCTCTCCTGGCAGACGCTCTACCACTAGACCATGGAGGCGGTCTGAAATGTAGTTTTACGACGCATAAATAACGTATAATTATGTATGCCTATTGACGTTAATATTTTACTTTTATGAACCGTTTACCTTATCACATAACCCTGCTTAAACTTGGGGGCGTTAGTCAAAGGCTTCTTGAGTAAGCAAACAATGCTTCGATGTGTTAGAGCCTAACAGTTCCTGCTGGATGAACTCCATCTTCCCGAGGCAAGGGAGTTAACTGATATTAAAGTCCAGTTTCCACCTTTACCGAAATAGACTGGAATTATGGAGTTGAGGTTTTGCTCGACTAACGAGTCTGTGCATAGTCCAATCAAAACGGCGTAACGAAAACAACATCCGATTCGTAAACTGCCGTGCTGATTTCGGCCGGTTGCAGGATTTGCAGAGCATGTGTGCCGTCGTCAGCTGGGCGTCAACATATATTTTCAAAATCTTTTTATGTTTTTAATCAAGGTGCTCACGTGTTTTAATGCACTTCGCGAAGTAAGACCCGTTTTAATACAATATAGATCTTGATTATCGATCAGATCCTCTCACTGGCGAGTCCATTTTGTTTGGAGCAAATGCAAGTGATATGAGAGGTGGAATCTGATCGGTCAATAGGAGGGACATAGAAGGGACATAACTCGTAATAGCCACTGGTGGTGCTACGATCGAACCAATAAATTACGGCCTAGTTCGGCAAGGGTGGAAACTGGACTTATAGAGTCAGTTAACTCCCTTGCCTCGGGACGATAGATGACCTCATTTGCATATTTATCGGTGAACAAAAATGGCATCTCAATTCTGACCCGGTAAGTTCACTCGTGAAAACTTAGCCAGGTCACTCGACGAGATAATTAAGTTATTTGTGAAGACAATATAAATATCCTCTATGAATTAAATGTTGCTTTGACTGAACGAGCACACGAATGGAATAATGTCTTTATTATCCCTATTCCTGTCACTTTCACGTTGACAAAAATGTGGGAGACTGGCTTTCACGGGAGATATCGCTTGTATGAGACATTCGCTACTATGACGTCACAATCAAATGACATCACTCATCTCTCTGCCTCTGAAGCTGGTTAGCTATGCTTTTACTCTCAAGACACAGGTTATTATAACTGAAGCAGTATCACGAGGGGTATATGTGGTATTATGCGTCCCTCGTTGGGTTTTACACCACTGACAAGAGATTTTCTGTCCCCGCTCAGAAATCCACGTGCAGAATGTTTTCTTCATCGCGGGGTAAAAGGGATTTATTCTCCCGCTCAGAAATGTATTTCCCTCCCAGGCGGATACGTAGTATTTTATCAAAACCAATCAGATCTCAACATTGTGACATGGAGGTAAGATAATAATGTTTACACAATAAAATAGTTAGAGGAATGATTTGGGATGATAAATAGAATCTCACCGTTGTGTCTTTTGATATTAAATATATCAACACGTTTTAAGCTTGTGTTGACCCGTGTTGATATAGCTGATATCAAAAGACACTGAGATTATCTATGTTAATTGATTGGCAAAGAAACGCAATCCTTCAGTTGATTTTGTCAAATGTTTGATTTTCAAATGAATTCCATATTCTACCTTCTCAGTAAATTAAAATGATTAATCCTGCCATAGAAACTGTTTGCAGTTTTTCACATGGGTGTATTCCTAGGTCCGTTGACACTATTTTTATGATACGGAAACATTTCTTGCCTCGACAAAATCAAAGGCAGTCAGCTGGGAGTCGCAGCAATTAATCGAGCTTTATTACCACCAACCAGTAAGGCTTATTACAGAACACAAAATCATATTATCCTGCCAGTCAGTGTTAGTTATTGAGGGGTGGTGGGGGGGGGGGGGGGGGGGGGGGGGGGGGGGGGTAGCCTGGCGTGAATAAAAACTGCACTGGCTCTCAGTCAGCCCTTAAGATTACTTCTATATGGTTTTATTCATAAAAATATTATTTGATTTAACGCTTTTAAGATTTTTCAGCATAATACACAACTGCTGATGGGTATCTTAGACATCTTATATTTGAAAAAGATAAATATGCTTTTTTCGGGACAAATTTACAGCAGGTAGGAGTTTTGTGGTTGCAAATTCATATCTTACCCTAGTCTCTATATCTCAACGAGGTAAGGGAGTTGACTGACTATAAAAATCCAGTTTCAACCCTTGCCGAACTGGGCTGGTTATGGAGTCATATTTGGCGAAGTAAGACCCGTTTTATCATAATATAGATTTTGATTATCAATCAGATCGTCTTGACTGGGCGCCGCCTTTTTTTTTGAAGCAAATGCACGTGATAATCGAGGAGGAACCTGATTGGTCAATAGGAGGGACATAGAAGGGACATAACTCATAATAACCACTGGTGGCGCTACGCTATACCCAAGAAATTCCAGCCTAGTTCGGCAAGGGGGGAAACTGGACTTTTATAGGCAGTTAACTCCCTTGCCTCGGGAAGATGCAGTCTCTGTTGAACCAATAATTTTTACACAAAAAAAATATATAGTATACTGACACTGGGCGTGATCATATATATCTTGCAGCTGCTATGTTCTGCGTTACAAGCACCTGTGGAAAAATAGTGGTTTTTAATTTCAAGATGGGCATGAGCAAAGTGTTTTGTCCGATAATATTTTGACATCAGGACACATTGTCATTGACATAAACCAGCCAATCAGCATGACGTCATGATGCTCAGTGGGAATTACTCACTGAAAATATTTTTAGTGTTAAATAACTTTATTTCACGAATCACTCAGCAATATATTATAATATTATGACCAATGAATGGAATCAATTCTAACCCGGAATCCTCACTGAAAGTAATTTCGTCTATTGCTGTGATACATTATAACTAGTCTATTGAGTTGCATTGACACTCCTTCCCATATTTTGTTGGCTTAATTTACATGCACATGTAATTCTAGAAGCCTTGTCACTCGTCATTTATTCAACATAATGCTCAATCCGATAGTGACGCTGTTCTTAGGATGAATACGGATATATGGTGACAGACCAAGGTTCACAATCAGGTGGGAATCGGTATTCGGACTCATGATCAGCGGATCCTGATACAGCTAAGGCACGTAACTGCGCGAGAAATGAAGGTACAAAGTAACATACAAAAGTCTGGTGTAAATTAACATTATTCATCTGCACGATCCTGACACAACTAAGGGGCGCAACTCTGCAAATAGAATTTTGGTGTACTATACCATTGTCTTAAACCCGAGTAAAATGAAAACAAAACTTATTTTATTTTTCGGTATGACAAATATCCCAGCCGATACCAGTTATGGTTTGCCGGATAAAACTGTAATTGTGTCACAGGTTTGAAAACGTCCCTTCCGGTTTTGGAAAATAACACATACATCACTTGTTGATCAGTATTCATCAGATTTTGATCCAGTAAATAGTGCACCGCGGTCTTATAATCCTTCTCAAGCTGGAGCAAAACGTCCGGAGTTCCAACATACATCCCTCCGCCAATCCACACTTTATTATTGTGGACTATGTTGATAAAGTCGAGGTTCATTTCCGGTTCCGCTATCTCTGTGACGGCAACGAGACTCGAGTTCAAATCAGGCGGCGCAATGAGCACAAATGGATCCTTCCGGTTGAAGACGTCACGGAAATACCCGATGTCTAACCAGCAGTAGAATTCGGTCTTAAAGAATTTGTGTTTCAAGGTATCTGCAAGGAGCTCGAATTTGGCATGCTGGGCTGAGGAGTACGCAGGCTTCACGGTGTTTGGATAATGTCGCGGGTAATTTTTTTGCTTGTATATTTGGTTTATCCTTTTCATGATGTCAAAGCTCCATAAATTATTCCTATTGACGAGAAACAACTTCGTCAGTCTGAATGTGGTTTTGCGAACATTTTTCATGTGGTTGTAAAACCGTCTTGAATCCGTGTAAATCACCATAGGATTAAACATTTGACCGTAGAAATTGGCCCACTGTTCGTAAAGCTGGCGTCGCAAGAGTCGCCTCCCCTTGACGAAGTCTCCGATGTCGAAGTAGGCAGTGACGACGGTCATATTTGCGGTGATGTTGCCGGCTTGATAGACTCTATGGCCAGCTTTGGAGTAGATGGCGAGAGATAGGTTTCGTGTGATCTGAATCCCGCCTCTCTGGATGTCCTCGTCGGGGTACTGATCCTTAAAACAAACACAAAACATATTTTATTAATGTTTGTTGTTTAGCGCCGCACTCAGCATATCCCAGCTGTATGACGGCCGTCTGAAAATACTCCGTCGGGGTACGGTGACACGTTGGATGCTCATGATATCAATCACTGGATTGTCTGGTCCATACTCGATTATTTACAGACCGCTGTCATATAGCATTTTAATATTGCTGAGTGCGGCGTTAAACAACAAACAAACAAACATCACAAGTACTCGTGTGCGCTCTACTTTGTCAACTTGTGACAATTCAGCGTCTTGTTGACTAAATTGTGCACTTTGAGGTAAAAGCACGAAATTTGGCACACAGGTTCTTCATCCCAGTGCAAGCATTTATGGCTATAGAGCCATCCAAAATGGCCGCCATAAGTATCCTTTAGTGGTTCCGATATCTTTATCATATTTGGTAATATGGTAATTATCTTTCATTTGATCCTTTTTGGATACTTGGTCACCTTAATGATTCCAATATGGACAATGTAGTTGGTTATGACAAAACTAAACACGTCTTGCCATTTGTCGATTTTTACTATTGCATTTACAATGCCTAACTAGATTTGATGCAATTAACAGACATAGGGATATATTGGCGTGACAGCAAAGGTTTGTTGGTAGCATCTGGAAGCTGAGACAATCCTTCTCAGTCAATAAATCAATCAGTCTTTATACGGTACTGAAGTGGCCACGTGACCTATCGTACATACGATATACAATCCTTTTCTTAGCCTCGAGGAAAAAGTATGGTTATTCTGATCGGTGTTTCATGTAAATATTTCATGAAGAGGCTAATCGATATGTTGGTTGTCTTCACTACGGCATGGCTGTACGATACAACATAACTTGTCTTCAAAATGTGTAGTATCTATTATTTATGTCCTTGTAAATAACAAAAGGTGAGGGTAGGGGTGCATTTACGTTCAAAACTGAGTGAATATGAATTTATTACATCAGTCTTATCAAACCAAATCACAGCGGGGACACCAATGGGGTGTCAAACTTTGACCTTGAGGTGGGTGAGGTGAAATTGGGTTTAACGTCGCGTCCAGGATTATTGCACTTATATAGCGACGTGCATGCACGTGTGTGTGTGTGGCTGCTTGTACTAGTCCGGACTGATGCCGATTTATAGTGCTAGCTCACTGAGATACCATGCCGCAGTTTAACATGAATACCCCACTCAGACACAGTATACTGACTCTGAGCCGACCAGTCCTTGTTTGAGCCCCTCAATGCCAAGCGCCAGGCAGGGTAACAACAAGAACCATCTTTTAACGTCTTCTGGTATGACGCGGCCGGGGATCGAACCCCGGACCTTCCGCTCTCCGGGCGGACGCTCTACCACAAGACCACGGAGGCGGCACTGACCTTGAGTGATAAACGAATCTCTTGACCACTAAGATACCCAATCCCATGACATTGATAGCGAGTAAGATCTGATGTCCCAGTCAGTGAACCTGAATAAATTATACCATCTGAGTTGCAGTTTACGCCGCTTACCGTATTCGACGTAATAAGCGCCCCGCTCTAATAAGCGCCCACGGCGATATTTGCTAATATATTGGCAAGTGAAGAATCCCAATTAGCATTCCATCCTATTGATCAATGTACACAAGACTTATTTATTCGTGTATAATACGTACTCGTGTGTTATATGCACCCTTAATTATGGGCAATTAAATTCTTGAAAAATATATCTGTCGTATATAAACAGTTCAGGCCGTCAGCATAAACCACGAAATGTATCTTTCAACTCTGTTTTTTTCCACCAAACTAATATTCCAATAAGAGCCTCCTATTTCTAATTTTGAGAGCGCCCTGGGCGCTAATAACGTCGAATACGGTAAGTGATATTTAAGATATATAACGATGTAGGTGGGTGCACAAGTAATGGGCTTCGTGTGCACAATGTGGGAAATCTCAAGCTGACGCTTCTTGTCCTAACGCTCACCGTGAAAATCAGCGTTAGAATTGATCTTCAGCAACCCATGCTTGTCGTGTCAGACGACTGACGGGATCGGGCGGACAGGCTCGCTGACTTGGTTGATGCATGTCATCGTATCCCAATTGTGTGGATCGATGCTGATGAAGTCGATTACTGGATTGTCTGGACCTCGTCGAGTGCGGCGTTAAACAACGAACCGGTGATTTGGTGAATCGTATTTCCAGATGTACCAGTGAAAATGTGATTATGTGTTTGTACAAGTGTCCATATTACATCTCTGTCACGTGGAAGGTCAATATTCGAGTCTGTGCCAGGCAAACCGGTGATTGATAACATGAACAACGACCCAAGCCGTCGGAGCACATCAGCAGACAATCATCCAGGTCCTCATAAGTCGGATCCTGCAAGCCTGTCGTGTTTGGGTGAGTGAGTGAGTGAGTATGGTTTAACGCCGCTTTTAACAATGAAACAATATTCCCGCAATATCACGGCGGGGAACACCAGAAATGGGCTTCACACATTGTACCCATGTCGGGAATCGAACCCGGGTCTTCGGCAAGACGAGCGAACGGTTTAACCACTAGGCTAACCGACCGCCCCTGTCGTGTTTGCGACCTGTTTTGCCTGGAATCATGTGGTCTCACGTGGGCAAATACAAAATCCGTTTTAAGGATGTTCATAGTGCATGTTATAATTGTTTGTGAAAGTTTCTTTGTCGAATATATTTATCAATATTTACCTTGAAGAAGAAAAGAGGTGTGTTCATCTGGATCACAAACAACACGCACATATTTAGACATCCCATAATTCCTAGAAGCCATAGCAACCACAACTTCCGTTTCCGGGACATCAGCGTAGATGGATGTCTGCAGAGGAAGGCTCTGCCTCTCTGAGCTTGGTACTGAAGTAAACAACGAGGGTATATATATAATTGGCATCCATTAAAGAAAATACACTGAACTCTTGATAGATTTCCCAGAAACGTTATAGATTAGCAATTGCACAAGTATGTCTTGGCTTCCTGTCGGTGGAAACTTTTATCGATCCAATGTTTTGTTTCTAATCGTCCTTTTAAAAATTGATTCGGTCAGGTGTAAGATGTTTATTTTTATTATCATATTGACAAATTTGCATCTCTGTCATGAAATTGCTTTTTCTGCATGCAACGCATTGTTTGCAAAATCAAAATATATTTGAGTGAGTGAGTATGGTTTTACGCCGCTTTTAGCAATATTCCAGCAATATCACGACCGGGCGTCACCAGAAATGGGCTTCACACATTGTACCCAATATTCCAGCTATGTGCTACTGTAAATAATCGAGTCTAAGCTTGTCGTTAGAGGCGACTAACGGGATCATATCGTCAAGCTCGCTGACTTGGTTGATCCTTGTCATCGTATCCAAATGCGTAGATCGATGATTATCTGGTCCAAACTCGATTATTTACAGACCGCCGTCATAAAGCTGGAATATTGCTGAGTTCGGCGTTAAACAACAAACAAACAAACAAACAAACAAACAAAACATCATTTTGATATCATCCATTGACAGTGACAGCATTTATTCCTCGGTGTAGAGAAGGTGTTCCACGTTTGATTGTTGTTTAATTTGGAACTATTCAATTCATTTATGAAATAGAGGAGTGGGTTACAACAAATACCCCCGAGTTTTTTCTTCGTTTTAACAAAGGTAGCTCAGTTCTTGTGAACACTGCGTCGCTCGGCACAGCCTGTTTCGTACATGCATAGTCATAGACGACGATCCATATGTCATGAAAACAGCTGATTGGTAACATACGTAAAGACCATTCTTTGTGAGCCTCTACATATTAGTCAGGACAAAAGCTAAACGGCACAACACACTCACTTATTCAAAGACAAATGCGTCTTACCTCAGAATACGGTTACCGGAACAATAGACAATATGGAACCGCGCTCCCGACGATGGGCTTATGCTACTGAGCTTCCTCGACGTGGAACAGGAGCACCAGAACAATCTTCATCAATATTTACACTCGATAGTAGCTGTCAATAATCCCTTCATAACTACAAGTTTACGAATCTTCCTGAGATATGTGCTTTTGGTTTGTCCCAAAGTGCCCGACCCTTTTGGGGGACTGTCCCTTTCACAAGAAACAAATACTTGAGATAGACCTACTGTAAATAGCGTTATTCTCACCTTCCGGACGTAAGACAAATCCAGTGTGTCTGTGTGTGTCTGTGTGTCGTTGAAGTGTTTGTTCGTGTTCGTCGATCGATTTTGCCTACAGGTATTCTTGAGCAAGCTAAACACAGTGTATAAATGTAAATTGAATAGGAATTATTGGTAAATATAGAAAAGCAAAATATCGGCCTTGACCCCGATCAATATGCAGCACTGTACCATTACGTTGAGTGAGTTGGGTTTAACACCGCTTTTAACAGTATTCCAGTTATATCGCCGCGTGTCAGCTTAATGTGGGAGGAAAGCCCGGAGTGATGCAGGTCTCAGACATTTACCACCTCGGCGAAACCCACGAGCATGGGTATGGTGCTGACAAACCTAGAAACATAATCGGGGCGAACTGGGATTCGAACCCACAATCATAGGTTTCTGGCGTGCCAAAGGGACGCAACTCTGCACAGTGAATCACGGCGCCTAAGACGACTGGGTCACCCGTGCCCACCCCATTACGTTGAAGGGGTGAAGAGTATAGGTATAGGTGAGCACATCAAAGTTAGACCTTTAGCCAAAGCTTGACCTCCTCTGTGGAATGGACTTCCGAGGCACGTTCAAAGTATCTGGACTTTTCAACGTTCATGGAACATATAAAACAGTCCACTTTGAGAGAGCCTTTGTCCAAACTGTTGGAGACCCTTAAAGATCCGGGGTAGAATAGGTCTTCAGCAACCCATGCTTGCCGTAAAAGGCGACTATGCTTGTCTTAAGACGCGACTAACGGGATCGGGTGGTCAGGCTCGCTGACTTGGTTGATGCATGTCATCGATCCCAAATGCGCGGATCGATGCTCATGATATTAATCACTGGATTGTCTGGACCAGACTCGATTTATTAACAGACCGCCGTCATACAGCTGGAATGTTGCTAAGTGCGGCGTTAAACACCAAACCAACCAACCAAATTGTTGGTTATTAATATGAACTTTGTTGTTGTTACCTAAAATTGATTTCGAGGATCACAGCAACCAACACGAAAAGACGAAGGTCCTAATGTGTATGAGGGGAACAGTCCAATATTTTCACAGGGGTAATCGGTTTGCTGTATACCAGATCAAAAGGCACGTGACAAAAAGATACAAGAGGGGGATGTATTGTAAGTACAGTATGGGTGATCTGAGGCGTGTTCAGGAGGGCGAACGACCGCGCGAGAGTACAGTGAGGCGCGTACTCGCTCTCGCGGCACAGTATCCAAAATAGCGTCGCCGGGGATCAAAACAGCCCTGTCCACAAGTGTCATAGGTTTACACATATAATTTCATCACAAGTTTGATGGGTTCATACTTTGATGTTCATGATAACAAAGTGTTTATTTTTAATATTAGTTACATGTCCATGTGCTGGACCAGACAATCCAGCAATCGACATGAGCATCGTCTGTGCAATGGGGATACGATGAAATGCATCACCAAAGTCAGCGAGTCTTATCACTCGATCCTTACGGCAAACATATGGGTTGCGGAAGACCTATTGTCTTCCCTGATCATCGCGGGTCAATATATTGAAAATGCAAAAATATCTTTTTGATGGTAGATCTAGTCTAAAAGATTATTCTTTTGACATCGGTTCCATTCTCGTCAAAGGCAAATATTTGTTCAATGTGCGACGCCATCTTGGATTACGAGGCGAACTACCTCTCGGGCTCGATCGCGAGTACACGCGTGCGCTCGCGCGTGTTCAACAGCGCGCGCTCGCGTAATATTGCGAGCGCCAGCCCTCCTGAACACGCCTCTGGAATATCAATGGCATTCGTTAGTTCGACTTATTCGCTAGCGACGCAAGAGACGTTGTGGACGGTAGCATGTTGCAACAACCACGTGGGTCTACTGTGCAGGTGCGACACGTGCACTTTCACAATGACCAGAAAAACTGAATGAACTCTTCCAAGTCACGGGGAACTCCTTGATGTCAAAATTGCGACTTCTGCGCTGGATAAACACTTTCCTGTCCATCAGCAGCAAGGATGTAGATGGGCTCAGTATATATTACTCAAAACAAGTTAAAGAAGACGGAGACAGACTTAATGTAGTCAGAAAAAATCGAATGGAACTCATGCACTGAAGGGCATCGATGATGATACGCAATCATGATCATCTCTGCTCTGCGTGCATTTCTCTGTTAACTCTCATGGTACGTATTGCTTCGTGTTTGAAGGTCGACATTCACCGAGATTTCAGTGTATAAAGCACTGAATCATAGCATATAATACGTCAAGGCCAGAGAATAACCAGTCTTTCAGGTGAGGTGAGGTGAAATGGGGTTTAACGTCGCGTCCAAGATTATTGCACTTATATAGCGACGTGCATGTACGTGTGTGTGTGTGTTTGTGTGGCTGCTTGTACTAGTCCGGACTGATTCCGATTTATAGTGCTAGCCCACTGAGATACCATGCTGCAGTTTAACATGAATACCCCACTCAGACACAGTATACTGACTCCGAGCCGATCAGTCCTTGTTTTAGCCCCTTAATGCCGAGCGCCAGACAGGGTAAAAACAAGCACCATCTTTTAACGTCTTTTGGTATGACGCGGCCGTGGCTCTACCACTAGACCACGGAGGCGGTCTACCAGTCTTTGAAACAGATTCCATTGGGCGTTAAAGGCAAAATAGCGGTGACAATTATATGAACAGATCACTGACAATCAGTGATGGCAAAACATGTCCTGCCCTACCGGTATCACCCGCCACACACAAGTTGCATAAAAAGTAGACATTTCTTGCCCGACAGAGTTCAGCACTACTCCTGCCATTCGATGGCGGCATGTAAACAAACCAGAAAGAAATTGAAAAATAAACTCACCATTTGCCTAAATCCTTGTGGAGTTCAGAATTTGTTGTGTGTCTTATTTCGAAGGGATTGCCCGTGTTGCTACAATATCCAAGCCCTCACGATAATGGATAGGCATAACCTCAACAGCATGCAGATCATCTTACACTGAAGCTCAATAATTCATAGCTCATTTTGATCTTAGTGACATTTACTCTTCAGGTGATGACGAATCTTTCGAAAAGGAAGATGATATCCTGTATATTTCAGTGGTATCACAATAGGATGTTTATATTATCTATAGTTCTGGGGCACGGGTGGCCCAATCGTCTAAGTCGCCGCGATTCGCTGTGCAGAGCTGCGTCCCCTGGGCACGCCAGAAATCTATGATTGTGGGTTCGAATCCCGGTTCGCCCCGATTATGTTTCTAGGTTTGTCAGCACCATACCCGTGCTCGTGGGTTTCACCGAAGTGGTAAACGTCTGAGACCTGCATCACTTCGGGCTTTACTCCCACATAAAGCTGACACGCCGTGATATAACTGGAATACTGTTAAAAGCGGCGTAAAACCCAACTCACTCACTCAAAACGCAAGGCAAGAATTGAGGTTTTTGGAGGTGACCACATTTCGTTTTGTGGTGATCGGATGAATCAAGGCTGGTCAGTGGGTCATCATGTAGACTTATCTCTTAATTTCGTGACTTTCTGTCTCCAAATCCCGCTACACTTTATAGAAAAGCGAAATACAGCAGCGAGTAGCTAGACACCATTTCTGGCTACTACATCGCATGAATTTACGATCTCTTCAAATGCAATTTTACCTTATAACACTAGGCCCAAGAAAGTGTCTCTGGGGTGGTTATCAACGGGTTGTGGATGAGATTCGGCATCACAGAAGTGTCTCTCAACAAAACTAAGATATATTGACACGTAATGCACCTGAAAAATGGAGTGGTGGCACGTTGTGTAATGGCCACTGGTTTAAGCGGGGCAGATAGCAATGCATCCGGAAGCCGTTCCAAGGCTTAAGAATTCCATATTTGATCTGATTATTATCACCAAAAGACTTGCCTCACTGTAGCCTGTAAATAATCTGGACCAGGGAATCCAGTGATTGATATTATGAGCAGCGATCCACGTCATAGGTATACGGTCACCAAGTGCTTTCAACGGTTTTCTTTGTTATTTGTTGTTGGTTAACGCCGCACTCAGCAATATTCTAGGTATATGACGGCGGTCTGTAAATAATCGATCCACGCAGCTGGGATACAACAGTATTCTAGTTTGTATCACGTGATGTCAGCTTAACGTGGGAGGAAGGCCGAAGTGACGCAGGTCTCAGACGTTTACCACTTGGGAAAACCCACGAGCACAGTATGGTACTGACCAATCTAAAACATAATTGGGGCGAACCAGACCTCGAACATACAAACATAGGTTTCTGGCATGCCCACGGGACGAAACTCTTCACATCGGACGCCCCAGACAACTTGTGCATAAGTGAGTATGGTTCTACGCCGCATTTAGCAATATTCCAGCAATATCACGGCGGGGGACACCAGAAATGGGTTTCACACATTGTACCCATGTCTGGAATCGAACCAGGGTCTTCGGTGTGACGAGCGAACGCTTTAACCACTAGGCTATCCGACCCTTACTGGTGCATAAGAACAGGACCAATTCTAAGCAGGAATCCCCAGGCGATCAACTCACTACAAGTTGGTTGGTTTGGTTGGTTTGTCGTTTAACGCCGCACTCAGCAATATTCCAGCTATATGACGGCGGTATGTAAATAATCGAGTCTGGACCAGACAATCCAGTGATTGACATCATGAGCATCAATCCACGCAATTGGGATCGATGACGTGCATCAACCAAGTCAGCGAGCCTGACCACCCGATCCCGTTAGTCGCCTTTTACGACAAGCATGGGTTGCTGAAGACCTATCGTATGTGGGCTGTTAACGTGGATGCAAGGTCCTATTATCCATCTACCAGGTGAGCTGGAGACTCCTCGCGCCCTGACCAAAACATGGCTTAGTGCGTCCTCCAGGAACTGATCACAATAAACCCCTAACTCCACGACCTCATTTATTTCATTCTCATTACAAGCACAGAATAAAGACGTATTCCCCCCAACTGGTAAAATGGTAGGGTATAAACTACTCAAAAGAAGTTCAAACACATCAGATTGTTTTCATATGACTATAGTTTCATCTGATAGGGATGGTGGGCGAGAGACAACTGGAACTCGTTTTGAGTGGCATATATTTGACATTGAATGATTACAGATGACAACATGCGCAATCGGGTTAAAAAGTCTAACCACTTTGTTTTCTCTCGGATAAATTTAGGATTTAATATTTTTTGGACATTGTGCAGATTTCAGTTATTGTGACCATAAACTAGTTTCATTCCATGGTTTCATGTGTGTGCCGCGAGTGCCGTCTAACTTGAGAACTCCCTCACTGCCGAGCTCATGGCAGCCGCCAAACTTCAAAAAGAACTTCGATAACCCACAAGCGGGAGACAGGGCAAGCTGATCACCATCTTAGGGAGGTGAGGTGAAATGGGGTTTAACTTTGAGTCCAAATTGTGTATAGCGACGTGCATGCACGTGTGTGTGGCTGCTTGTACTTGTCCGGGCTGATGCCGATTTATAGTGCTAGCACACTGAGATACCATGCCAAAGTCTAACATGAATACCCCGCTCAGTACACGGACTCCGAGCTGACCAGTCCTTGTTTTAGTCCCTTGATGCCGAGCGCCAGACAGGGTAATAAAGTACCATCTTTTAACGTCTTTTGGTATGACGCCGCTGGAGATTGAACCCCGGTTGGTTGGTTGGTTGGTTGGTTTGTTGTTTAACGCCGCACTCCGTAATATTCCAGGTATACGACAGCGGTCTGTAAATAATCGAGTCTGGACCAAACAATCCAGTGATTGACAGCATGAGCATCGATCTACGCTATTAGGATACAATGACGAGCCTGACCACCCGATCCCGTTAGTCGCCTCTTGACAAGCATAGTCACCTTTTACAGCAAGCATGGGTTGCTGAAGACCTATTCTACCCTGGATTTTCACGTCAAGCATGGGTTGCTGAAGACCTATTCTACCCTGGATCTTCACGGCAAGCATGGGTTGCTGAAGACCTATTCTACCCCGGACTAAGTTTTAAGTCCCATGTTGTCATCTGATAATACCTGGTGCCGAAGGAGAATTTAAAAATTAAACCAGATTTACCTGTAATTCTCCGAGGGACCAGAGAACAGTGAGATCACATGCCAGAGACTCTCCCTTAGCTCTATACATTCTTAGTCAGCCCACATTACAAATTCTTTAAAGACTGAAGCCAGATTGCACAGTCGCAGTCTCATGTGATCTCACTTCTTCCCTTGTACCTCGGGGAATTACAATCAAACTTTACCTTACAAGTGAGTATTGTTTAATTCAAATTGCTGTGTGGCTAACATTACCGATGCAAACAATTTTTAACACCCGTAAACCTTAAAAATGATTATGGCAATGACAGATCAACGATAGTCTTATGAAAAATTGGATGTTCTTTTAACCTCTTTTGAGTAGTATTTGCTTCACGTTCTCCTTAAAGGCTTTACGTTCACATCAAGTCCGAAGTTCCTTCGTGAAGACAAAGCTTTCAGGGCACTTTGAGCATCGTTGGACAGTCTGAGTTTGAGCCTGTCAGACAGAGACACGGGACTCTCCATCATGGTTGTCTCAGCAGCTCCAGACACATCACGACTCCCAGAACACCCATTGTCTGTCTCTGTCACAAAGCTGTCCCTTTTGAACAACCCATGTACACACAAATCTCTCTGGACCATGGAACTTCCCACGGGTGAATCGTCCTTACTGCTGAAGGATGATGCACCACTCAAATCGTAACCCTCAGAGCCACTCTTAGTGAAACTGTCTCTGTCTTTACGGTTGTTTTCCTCTCCTGAGTGAGGGTGGAGCGTTGTTGAAGTTCCCACACCGCTGAAGCAATCTTTGCTAGGAAGGGACTTACCTCTGGATGGCTGGTCATTATTTAATGCTGTAAATGGAGTTTTATCACCTGTGGTTTCAGTTTCCCATTCAGGCAACGTATCACTGTCAGAGTCCTCATAGAAATTTGGGAAAGGCTGCTTTGCCGAGACTTTCACACAGCCTGATGGCTCATGCAGCATCTGTAGAAATGTTCGATCACCTTCTAGTGCCTTCGGGAACACTTTGTCAGTCGGCACGAAACACTTGGTTGGGACACACATGGGTCTACAGTCCCCCACTTCACTATCAGAATCCTCACACAAGTCAATCACAGAATCCTCTGTCGAAGATTTGACAGAGTCTGGCCATGTAGATTGTTCATCTGTATCCGACTCTCTGGACCTGCCACTGGTAGCCATTGGTTGTTTTTGATGCTCCTCTCCTAAGTTCGGGTAAGAGTCACATGCAGAGTCACATGCAGAGTCACCTGGCAAAACCTCATGTTGAACCACTGGGAGACCGGATCTACTGCCCTTTCTCCTCAATGACAGCTTGGACTTGTTAGGAAGTGTTCTTTGGGAACAGGATGAGACTTGGCTTTGAGATGAAAGCATGATCTGGTCATCAGTCTCAATACTGGCTGTGCACTTCATGTCAGATGAAGTATCTGGTCCAGTGTCAGTTCCAGGTGCTGATTCCTTTGAAGTTTTTCCCCCACACTTTTCAGAACTGTTTCCTTGGGCAACAATGTCATGTTTCTCAGAACAGTTAGTGTGTACATCATGTTCCAGAATGTCCTGATTAATGGTGTTCTTTCCTATTTCAGGCGGTGTACTGGATTCTGAACTCTCTCTTATCAGCCGGCGTCTAGATGCCACACCCTCAATTGTACTGACGTCAACTTTTGTACTAGAAGACTTGGAATCAAGTGATAACATTTGGAAGCTTGAGTCGATATCATCACTCCCATCGCATGTCGTCGACTCAACACCTCCACAGGATGGGAGACAATTTTCATTTCCCTCCATATTGAGATTGATGGGACTACCAATGGAAGGTCGTCCTTCAGGCTGAGAATCACAAATTGGACTTCTATAACTGACAAAAGAAGATTTGATAGATGTTGAACTGGCTGTCATATTGGCCAAACTGTCATTCAACAGCGATGCCTGCATGCTGAAGTTGCCAAACTGTAACGTTGAGTCGACAGCGGAGGTGAAGGCTGGCGATGGAGTCTGATAGAGAATAGTCTGGTTCGTGTGTGCAGGTCTGCTGTGAACAGAGTCAGGGATGCAAGGTCTTACCAACAATGAAGGAGAGGGAGTCTGATACAAAAGAACCTTTTTCTGCATGTGACCAGACGCAGGACCTGTTTCAGGGGTTAGTGGATGGAATGGAGGTCTCTTTGCTCTTGTTAAAGGTGATGGTGTTAGGTTGAATAGATGGCTCTTAATACTGAAAGGTTTCATAGGTTTAGGGCTTACATTGGAAGGATGGGGTGACCCATTTAGTATTTGTGGACTACTGGAGGAGTTAATTTGGAAAGAGGAATGATCATGACAATGCAAGGTATTCGTATAACTATTGTGTAGGGTGTTGCTACTTGTATTATGCACTGCCCTACCATTTAAATAGAGATGATTCGTTCCAATTTTCTCAGCACTTGGCAAATCTAAGGAGTCGGGAGATGCACCACTGCTGACAGAAGCTGGTCTGCTTGGTCTGACGGGGATATCAGGAGTGTGAACTACAGTCATGCAAGCAACATGGCTGAAGTCATGCTCACCACAATATGTACCAGAAGTGAAGTCTGAAACTGCTGGAGGACCATCTGGTGATCCTTCACGTGTTTCTACTTTAAATGGTGGATCTGTACCTGCTAGTGACTCTCTAATTGGTGGAACAACTGCTGGTGGACCATCTGGTTGATGACAGGATGATCTCTTATTTGATCCCTCAAATGTTTCAACACCTGATCTGTCGTCCCGAGACAGATCAGTTAATGGTGGCCCTGTACCTGCCAGTGAATCACCATCTTGTCCTTTAACATTTGCATGTGAGCACTTACCCCTTAGTCTGCAATCTGTTGTATCAACAGATAATGGAACACACTTTGAACTATCACACATTTTGGAGATAGGACTGAAGTTGTGATGGTCACATCTACTCTCACATAACCTACTTTCAGAAGGGGTCTGGTTTGATTTGGGATTGGTGACATAACCTGACTCCCCAGATATATGAGACAATACAGTCACATGGGAAGCCAGATCATGTGTGATGCCATTGATAGGCTGATCTTTGACACACCTGCTCAGAACAGGTTTGGACAAATCTGCGAAATCCTTCTTTTCCCTCCCCTGAAGCTGGTTCATCACTGGTTTCTTATCTGTTTCACAAGACAAAATCGGTTTCTTGAAGCAGCGGACTTCAAGAGATGCACCCTTTGAGCTCGGTTCTGTCACTACATGTTTTTCTTGTTCACTTTTCCTTGTCCTCACAGGCCTTACTCTCTGCATTGTGTCAACACCACTCTCTGATATACACTTGGTCATGGTATGCTGTTTGAGGGCCAGACACTGTTCAAATCCCCCGGACACAGACTGACCTTTGGTGGACTGGCCAAGCTTCAACTGAAGCCTCTGAGACAAGGAGAGGAACACCTCCGAATCTGAATCAGACTCGTTTTTGTCCGAATTCTCATAGGATTTATACTTCTCGGAAATCTCGGAAGCATCTCGATAAATGACATATGGCACATCTCCACCAGTACTATGTTTAGTGCTAGTGTTTGGAGTACCTTTTAACTCAGATTGAATTCCATAAAGTGAATCAGTTTTGGATCTGCTTTCATGTAATGCAGTATTATTTCTTGTTCTTTTTGCACTTTCATCTTGAGCACCAAGTTCAGTCACATACTGAGTCTTTGAATACAACACATCTTCGTCAGGACAATCTGACACGGTATGACCTTTACTGCTCGTCTTTCGGGATGTCTTGGTTTCCTGTTTTACCCTGACATCCAGCTCATCAACACCTTTGATGTCGATAGGTTTACGTCGACTCTTTGCAGTCAGACCAGGAACACCTACAGGTCCTTGTGCTGGAGGTGCCTTCTTCAGGTGATGAGAATTCGACTGTACACGCTGATTCCCATCTCTCCAACTGTTTGCAGGTGCAATGTGGCAGGAAGCCTGCTGTGCACACTGAGTGCTGTCCATCTGAGCGTTGTGACGAGTGTCCCCGTCACCTTGTAGCTCCAGCAGCAGCATCTGGCTGGACAGGTCGCCCAGCTCATCCTCTGGAGGTTCCTTCTTCTTGGATTTCTTTGTGCCTAAAAGATATGAAAGCGTATATATCTTACCAGCAGGTTTCAAGGCCAGTTGGAGGCCATTTGAAGGTCAAAGGTCTCTGTACAGGCAGAAGCAAATGCTCCAAATATTCATGGCTGAAATACTTCCACTCTGGAAGAGAACTCTAAGGAGCCATACATTCGCTATTAGGATGGGTCTTGTAATTTTTGTTGAAAAACATAATATGTTCCCTAAAATGGTGGAAAAAATAGCAAAATCATTCACTAACTATGCCTGAGTGAGTGAGTATGGTTTTAACACCGCTTTTAGCAATATTCCAGCAATATCATGGTGGAGGACACCAGAAATGGGCTTCACACATTGTACCCATGTCAGAATTTGAACCCAGGTCTTCGGCGTGATGATCAAACACTTTTAACCTCTAGGCTACCCGACCATATTCTGTTAAAACTGAAGATATTGTGACTAACCCAAATAATACATAATCAGCAATTTTGCATCTTTTTGCAGCAAGGACTTTGCACAAAAGTTTGTGTGTCTTGAGTTAAATATTGGAAATTGTTTCTTTAAAAAAGTTTAAGGGCATTAAAAGCTCCTCCTTAAGTCTTCATACAAGCTTCTGAAGATATCTTCACATTGAGGTCTTTTCAAAGGGGCTGTGGGGTAACCTAGTGTTTGCTCGTCATACCAAAGACCTGGGTTCGATTCAAAATGTGGGTATAACATGTGAAGGTCACTCATGGTTTCATGGCGGTGATATGGCTTGAAAAAAGTTAAAAGTGGCTTCAGAAATATAGGTATTGGGGGATGCTGTAAATTAGGTGGCTGAAATACCTTTCTTTTTCTTCACCTTCTTGGCGGCCAACTCCTCTTCAAGATCGTGGACGAGGTCAGGGAATGCTCGAGCAAAGAGGCCCTGTTCCTCCATTGTTGTGTAAAATTCACTGCTGGTGTTCACATCATCCACTACCAAAGACAAAATTGTGAGTTTGAGTTAACAGTATTCCAGTAACATCACAGCATGTCAGCTTCATGTGGAAGGTATGGCTTGGAGAGTCCAAATTTACTACCGGGTACCCATCCCGCTATTACCCAACCCTACCCCGGTACCCACTGTAGGTCTTAAGAGTTGAGTACAAAATGTCTGATTGGGAATAGTTTGAGAGTATCCCTGGCAAAATGTGTTTAGGTACACGTATAAAACGATCTGGTCATGCATACACTGAAGTTGACTGAAGTTTGATTTTTATTCAAACATATAAAATTCAGAAGGAATGGGTACATGGTCAGAAAGAAATGCTAACATTAATGACTTGAAGTGTGACCATAGAATTTTAGATGTTTTTTGTCATAAAACAATATATCACATGACTAACCACGGGTACGGGTAGTCCTGTGGGTACGGGGTCCTTCTCAGTACCCAAACCGAGTACCCAAGTGACCCATCCCGACCCTAGTGGAAGGCAAGCCCGAAGTGATGCAGGTCTCAGACGTTTACAACATTAGTGAAACCCACAGCACGGGTATGGTGCTGACAAACCTAGAAACATAGTCGTGGTGAACTGGGATTCGAACCCATGCAACTCTTCACAGCAAATAGCCCTGTCTTGTAGTAGTTTATTAAAGATTGAAAACCTGTTTTCTCTCACATACACCAGTAGGTCATTACATTTATCACTGGACAATGTAATAGTGATACACTATTGTACCATATCGTAACAGTCTTTCATTGAGATGAAATAGTCATTTGGTTGACATGCGGAAGAAACAATGACAAAGCAATGTTAAATAGTAACTCATTGATTTTTGCTGTAATACTGCACCAGTAACTTGAGCTATGATGACTTTCATGACTTATTAATATAACACCTGGTATCAAAATGTCACAGTTTATTCAACTGACGGCCTTGTCATGAGTAGCAGCACACCTTCTTCATCTTCCCGAGGCAAGGGAGTTAACTTACTATAAAAGACCAGTTTCCACCCTTGCCGATCTAGGCTGGTATTGAGGAGTCAATTTTGGCTGGGCTAACGAGTCTATGCATAGTCCAATCAAAATCGCGCATTGAAATTGAAATCCGGTTCGTAAACTGTCATGCAGATTTCGGTCGATTGCAGGATTTGCAAAGCATGTGCACCACCAACTCGTCAGCAGATATTTTCCAAATCTATTTATGTTTTTAATCAAGGTGCTAATGTGATTTGATGCATTTCGCGATGTAAGACCCGTTTTATCACAATATAGAAACTGCTTATCGATCAGATTGTCCTGACCGGGCGCAACCATTTTGTGTGAAGCAAATGCAAGTGATACGAGAGGTGGAATCTGATTGGTCCTTAGGAGAGTCTTAGAAGGGACATAACTGGTAATAGCCACTGGTGGTGCTACGATCGAGCCCAGAAATACCAGCCTTGTTCGGCAAGTGTGGAAACTGGACTTTTAAAGTCAGTTAACGCTCTTGCCTCAGGAAGATGCACCTTCTTATGCAGAATCAAGAAATAGTCACTGTGACTATTCCCTAACTGTGCCTGCATGTATATATGGGTCATTATAAATTAAACATGTGAAGACAATCCCAATTGCGTGGATCGAACCTCAGGATGTCAATCACTGGATTGTCCAGACTCGATTATTTACAGACGGACGCCATATAGCTGGAATATTGCCGAATCTTTTGTAATTTTTTTTGGCTTGATCAAATTAGTATGTAACCAAAACAGTTGTGTACCATCAACCGTGGAAAGGTCCTCACTACAGCAACAAGCACACAAACTCCTATTGCCACCATGACCATAACATGAGATGTGCAGTAAGCAGTACACACGTAAAGGCAGGGTTAGAAATTGGCACTAGTCCTATAGTCCTTGCCAAACTGCCCAATGGCAAAGGTATCATAAGGACTAGAAGAAAATTGCCATTTTTAAGAGTTTTGCTATATGTTATCATTATAAGGACTAGTGGACGAAAACTGTTAGTTTCTAACGCTGTAAAGGGAAGTAACTGTGTGCCATATTGGATCCAATTGTTGTTAGGATTTTAGGATTAGTATTATAATATTTTTTATTTTTTTTGAAAATGGAAAAAATAAAAATACTCGTGTGGCAGACTTTATGATGATGCAGGCAGTGCCTGAGAACCAAGACTTTTATTTTTTAGGAACCATCTTCTCTTGAAAAGAAAATCATGAAAATTATAGGGGGGTGGGGCATAAGAAATGTCCTGAGAAACCTGCTTATTCATACCAGTTCCTGGAGTTCAGAACTAATTGTGAGTGGAGTTATGTGGCAATTGTGGTGATTGTCAGTGGCAGCAAATGATAGCAGCACTGGTAAATTTTTGTGAGCTGTATCATTTGATTAGAGTTACCTCCCTTGTAAACAAACATGACAGTCCACATCATTTGAGAAGTTTCAGGAAGGTTATTCCTAGAAAGCTGGCTGTACCATAAGAGAGACATGAGGGAGATTTGAGGCGATAGTGACAAAATTCTGGACATTTGTGAGTGCACTTACATCATTACAGGGCTGGTACGCACACTGCTGCTGCTACTTTTGTCTTTTGGGATTGTAAAACTAAAACTGTGTGTTTCAATATAATTTGTTTGTCATTCATTGATCTTGTAAGGTCATTTACTGATTTCTTTAGTTGGTTCTGTACAAACCAATTACTGGGTTAACCTTCGTGTTGCAATTTCAGAATCAGCGTGTAACAGTAGGAGAGAAGGAGTGAGTGAGTGAGTGGGTTGGGTTTAATGCTGCTTTTAACAGTATTCCAGTTATATCAAGGCGAGTCAGCTTAATGTGGGAGGAAAGCCCGAAGTGATGCAGGTCTCAGACGTTTACCACTTCTGTGAAACCCACGAGCACGGGTATGGTGCTGACAAACCTAGAAACATAATCGGGGCGAACCGGGATTCGAACCCACAATCATAGGTTTCTGGCGTGCCCAAGGGCCGCAACTCTGCACAGCGAATCGCGGCGCCTTAGACGACTGAGCCACCCGTGCCCGAAGGAAAGAAGGAAGGACACTGGACAGAAAAAGACCTAAAAGTTCTTTACCAAATGACAGTAAAACATTTATTTGAATTTTCAGCCTACGGAAGATGAGTGATATAAAAGTGTTAACTCTCACCTGACTTGAACCACTCCACTTCATAGACAGGTACTCCATGTCGGACACGTGGCTTCACAACCCTGTGTGCAGAAACGCGAACATGGCACTGAGTGAGTTTGGTTTATGCTTTGAAAAGTATTACAGTAATATAGCCCCCAAAATCATGCAGGTGTTTGATTTGTTTGTCCAGCTCACTGACTTGTTTGATGCATGTCATCATATCCCAATTACGTAGATAGATGCTCATGATGTCAATCACTGGTTTATCTGGTCCAGACTTGATTATTTACAGACCGCCGTCATGTAGCTGGAATATTGCTCAGTGCGGCGTTGAACAACAAACAAACAAAAGAGTAGATCTAGATAAGCACATCATATATCATTCCATCATCCCAAGTCATGCTTTGGAAAAACTTAAACCTCCTTTAATTAACAAACAAATGAAATATTCCAATTGTACCAGGAAGAAAACCTAACCATTGTGATTTTATGAATGCTTCAAAGACTTTGAGAAGATTCTGTCCTGGAATAGGTGAGGTGAAATTGTGTTTATTATTGCCCTTATATAGCGTGCATGTACACGTGCGTGTGCGTGTGCGTGTGCGTGTGCGTGTGAAGGTGCTTGTACTAGTCCGGACCGATGCCGATTTATAGTGCTAGCTCACTGAGATACCATGCCGCAGTTTAACATGAATACCCCACTCAGACACAGCATACTGACTCCGAGCTGACCAGTCCTTGTTTTAACCCCTTAATGCCGAGCACCAGACAGGGTTACAACAAGTACAATCTTTTAATGTCTTTTGGTATGACTCTCCGAGCGGACGCTCTACCACTAGACCACGAAGGCCACATTTTTCCATACCTATTAGGTTTAAGGTAGGGCAAATTTTTCAACGTGGTGTCAGCCATATGCACAAGGTCCCACAGAGTCACCAGGGGCAGAACCTTCTCGGTGGTGTAGTCGGGCGGCCATTCCATCTTCGTCTCTGCATACTCCTGGGACATTCAACAAAGGATTATTTCAAACTGGTGAGTGAATGTTGTTTAATTCATTGTTTACAATCTGAAAGCTCTCCATAAAGAATGTTAACACTAAGTTTCACTGGGTTTTACACACAAGTCTCATCGGAAAGAGACAACTGTGAGATCAACGGGCAGTACTGTCACAAGCATAGCAGTGTTTGAAATAATTTTAAAACCCAACAAGACAGTCAGGTAGGGGATAGGGCTGCAACAATACACCTAGGTCACGATACGATACGTATCTCGATACTTACATCACGATTCGTTATGAATCTCTATACGCTACGATACAAGAGTGACAAGAGAAGACAAGCGATAAATGAATTAAACTTAGTTTATTAAAATGAAAAATTAAATTAAATTAAATAAATATATACTGTTTTGAGTTTTTTTCACTTAATGAATCATCTGCCATTTCCAAGTAATAGTTAGCTAACACAAAAGTAACAGTCCTACAGTAAGTCCCCAATGGTTTCTTTAGCAAAGGACGAGCATCTGCTTTTTCCGACATGTTAGAGTTAGAGACCGCTCAGCCAATCAGAAAGCTTGAACTGCTACTGATATACAAAGCAAGCATAGCCGCTGTATTTTCGAAGACGTACATGTGTGTAGTGAAAATTATATTGTCCCAACGTTTTTATCACTCGGTTCGAATTTAAAATTCATTTAAAACACATTTAATAAAAGTTTGTTAAAAAAAACGTATCGTGAAAAATCGAGATACAGCACCTCACAAATCGTGCAGCGTATCGTCTGGAGTGATTTGCGATGCATCGGTGTCCCAGGATATTGTTTCAGCCCTACAAGGTGACCCGTAAATGTTGCCTGCCCATGTTCAAAGTTACCTTACAGCATTCAGACATTATAAATAATGAAAAATCGCAAACAATAAGACACAAATTGTGTCTTGATTCAGTTGAATTAATGTGAACAATCATTTAAGAATATACAAGGAGTAATAATAAAACTGAATATCTTAAAATGATCTGCCAGATAGTCAGACACAGGCAGGCAGTTATTTCTCCCACTGGCGTATTGCCAAATATTTGAGTCCCACAACTAGCTGACACATCCAAAACTGACCTGTGTTTTAGCAATGTGAGGACGTCTCCATGTAAATGCCTTCTTTGGAGTGGTTTCTTGTTTGCTTAGAAATTCTTCAATAACCTGGAACAGAGATGTTGTTGAGGTAAGTGTGATTTGATATCTCTGATTGAACAATCAGAAAATCTAGTGATTGATATTATGAACAAATATCCATGCTGTCGGACTACGATGACAGGCAATCCACCAAGTCACCGAGACGTATCATTCTATCTTCTTACAACCAGCGTAGTTGAATGACCGCACTCAGCAGTATTCCAGCTGTATCATGTAGACCATAAATCGTGTATAATTGAGTCTGGAGCAGGAAAATTAGTGTTTGTTTGTTTGTTGTTTAACACCACACTCAACAATATTCCAGCTATATGACGGCGGTCTGTAAATAATCGAGTCTGGACTAGACAATCCAGTGATTGATATCATGAGCATCGATCCACGCAATTGAGATACGATGACATGCACCAACCAAGTCAGCGACCTGACCACCCGATCCCGTTAGTCATCTCTTACGACAAGCATATTCACAATTTACGGCAAGCATGGGTTGCTGAAGACCTATTCTACCCCAGATCTTCACGGGTTGGAAATTAGTGCTATAAATCATAGCAACAATCGACATATTATCTTCTAAAAGACCAGTTTCCACCCTTTCCGAACTAGGATTGAATTTCTGGGCTCCATCGTAGCGACACTAGTGGATAGTACGAGTTATGTCCCTTCTATGCCCCTCCTATTGACCAATCAGATGCCACCTCTCATATCACTTGCATTTGCTTCAAACAAAATAGTGATGCCAGTCACAATGTTCTGTTCGATGATCAAGATCTATATTGTAATAAAACGGGTCTTACCTCATAAGGTGCAATGGAAACATGAAAAGATTTGAAAAATATCTTTCACCGCCCAGCTGATGGGACACATGCTTTGCAAATCCTGCAGTGGATCAAAATCTGCATATTGAAATCCATGTTGTTTAGAGACGGATGTTGATTTCGTTAAGCAATTTTGATTGGACTGAGCATGGACTCATTAGTCCAGCCAAAATATAATTCCAGCCTGTCATCGGCAAGGGTGGAAACTGGACTTTTAGTCAGTAACTCCCTTGCCTCTGGAAGATGTCCACAATTTGTTTGATATTTCCCTGCACCTGTACATTGTGTGCAATGAACAAACACACTGTTTACTGATGAAGATGATTCATCTTCAAGCTGACCTGTGCTTGGGGGAAGTCTGGTGTTGCCAGAGACTTCTGTCGAATGAAAATCTCAATCTTGCTGACACACTGACTGACTGTCATCTGTTCCCACTGCCGAAACCTGAGTGGACACAAAATAGCATCACACATTAGCAGTGTTCTGCCGAGACTCTGAACAAACGGGGACAAGGACCCATTCAGCATAAAAACATGGGGTCATTTTCAAAAATTTATGTTGTTGTTGGTTTTTTGTTTAACGCCGCACTCAGCAATATTCGAGCTATATGACGGCGGTCTGTAAATAATCGAGTCTGGACCAGACAATCCACTGATTAATATTATGAGCATCAATCCACGCAATTGGGACCGATGACATGTGTCAACCAAGTCAGGGAGCCTGACCACCCGATCCCTTTAGTTGGCTTTTACGACAAGCATAGTCACCTTTTACGGCAAGCATGAGTTGCTGAAGACCTATTCTACCCCAGTCTCAAAATTTATGTGGCTACACACTAACGTAAGTTGTGGTCAGCGATTCTGTAATACCGAGTTCATTTGAGGCAGAAACATCTTTAGCATTATCAGAACTGTGACTTCTACAGTGTTCGCGTTAACGCATAAACCTGCTTTTTTCACGCATTAAAATCATAAAAACAAGCAAAAAATATTTTGCACGCACAGATTGTGATTACTTAAGTTTGTATTAATACCATAAAATATGAAACTATTCAAAGCTGATAGCCTGCTTGCGATGTTCAGACGAAAATAAATCAAAACCTGGAAATTCCCATTGCTAAAAATAAGAACGTGGCCAGATGGCGCTTTGAATCGCGTCCTATATATTTCCATATATGGTCTTTGGGCAACAGAATAACTAATCTCAGACACAGGACGTCATATTTATTTTATAAATGATTGAACTTTCATTATATCAAAACTGGACCGTAAGTTAAAGCATGGTCATAATTATTAGCTGTACTAGTACTGATTTTATTGAAATAAAAACTTCACACGTGAAATATTTGAATTGAAAATATATTTTTTCATTTCTGCACGCACAGTACCAAAACCTACCGCGAACACTGCTTCTATATTTGCAAAAATGTGTAAGCTTGATTCTGATTGGACAATTTGTTACTTTCAGCCAATGAATGGCGCGGATAGTAAATTGAGACAACTGAGGCAATGAAAATCATGATGTTTACATTCAATAATAGAAGCAGCTGTCTACATGAATGGCCCCTTGTCCCACTGAGAGTAAATATGCGGCAGTCGATAAAATATTTCGAGAATCAGGCAAGACTGCTGCCTTGGCAGAACACTGCACATTAGTAACGGGTATCTGTCTTACTTTTGTATTGCAACAAGTTCCAACAATAATTCATGCGTTCTCTCATCTCTAATTTCTTACGAAACTGAATAAATATAATCCAAATGTCTTGTCCTTAAACAGACTTTTCCTCACATATTGTAGTTGTCCACCATTTTGTTGGATGTGCTAAGGCTTGCGTAATAGGCACATAAAATACAGCAAGCTGGTCGCGAATAGTTTCACTTTTTTTTTTATCACAGTTGCTAATTTCTGAATTCATTATTTTCATTCCACTTGTCACTTGTGTAAACTTTGCTAACAAGAACTACCGTATTCGACGTAAAAAGCGCCCTGGGCGCTCTCAAAATTAGAAATAGGGGGCTCTTATTAGAAAATTAATTTGGTGGAAAAAACCAGAGTTGAAAGATAAATTTCGTGGTTTATGCTGACAGCCTATAATGTTTCTGTACGACAGATATATTTTTCCAGAATTTAATTCCCCATAATTAACGGTGCATATAACACACGAGTGCGTATTATATGCAAATAAATAAGTCTAGTGTACATTGATCAATCGGAAGGGGTGCTAATTGGGATTGTTCACTTGGGAAGTTGCGATAGATTAGCAAATATCGCGGTGGGCGCTTATTACGTCGAATACGGTATATATGCATACTATGCATATTATGACACAAATTCATTATTTCAAATTGTTGTTTGTTTGTTTGTTTTCTTTTTGTTTAACGCCATAGCAATATTCCAGCTATATGACAGTGGTCTGTTAATAATCAAGTCTGGACCAGAATTCCACGCAAAATTCATGCATCAACCAAGCCTGACCATCCGATCCTGTTAGTCGCCTCTTACGACCAGCATAGTCGTCTTATGACAAGCATAGTTGCCTTTTACGGCAAGCATAGGTTGGTGAAGACCTATTCTAACGCAGATTTTCATGAGTATCAAATTGTGGTATACCGGTAATACCCTGCACCTCTATTACAAACAATCTTTCAAGGCCGATTAGGCCTCATATATAGTGTGGTGATTGTGAATACATTTAATTTTAAAATAGGGTAGAAAGGGTAGGGTATATATTTGATATCAAATGAGACTCTGGTGAGATTCTCTGTTTATTGGAATTGCACTCCCAGATAAATATTGATGCCAGACACAATCTAACCTTTTGAGTATATCCACACCTTTGAGGGACTGGAGATACTTGATGACTCGCTCAACCCCCACCCCCGGGACCCCCCCTGGCAGGTAGTCACACCCCAGGAGTAGTGCCACGCCCACCAGCGACTCCCGGGATACCCCCAGGTCCTGCTCAATGGCTGCCATGCTGAAACTCTCAACATGAGGGTCCTGAACAGAGCAGATTAGAAAGGAGTGAAAACATGTCTGTAACATTCATCAGAAAATTCAAAAAATATATAAAAATGACCTAACATACTGCAAGAGTGAGTGAGTGAGTGGAGTGAGTGAGTGAGTGAGTGAGTGAGTGAGTGAGTGAGTGAGTGAGTGAGTGAGTGAGTGAGTGAGTGAGTGAGTGAGGTGGAGTGAGTGAGTGAGGTGGAGTGAGTGAGTGAGTATGGTTTTACGCCGCTTTAAGCAATATCACGGCAGGGGACACCAGAAATGGGCTTCACACATTATACCCATGTCGGGAATCGAACCTGCGTCATCGGCGTGACGAGCGAACGCTTTAACCACTGGGCTACCCGACCGCCCCTCTAGTGAGTGAGTGAGTGAGTGAGTGAGTGAGTGAGTGAGTGTGGTTTTACGCTGCTTTTAGCAATATTCCAGCAATATCATGGCTGGGGACACCAGAAATGAGCTTCATGTCGGGAATCGAACTAGGGTCTTCGGCGTGACAAGCGAACGCTTTAACCACTGGGCTAACTGACCGCCCCTCTGAGTGAGTGAGAGTGAATGAGCTTCACACATTGTACCCATGTGGGGAATAGAACACATACTGCAAGAAGTCTTGAACAAACTATTAATTAAAGATCATCTAATTAAAGTTTGTTTCTTTGTTGTTTAACTCTGAACTCAGCTTTATGTAAATAATCAAGTCTGGACCAGACAATCCAGTGATTGCTATCAGGGGCATCAGTTTTCGCAATTGGGATCAACCGAGTAACCGAGCCTGGCCGCCCGATCCCAATAACTGCCTTTTACGACAACCAAATGATGCTGAAAGTCATTTCTAACCCGGATTTTCCCGGGTCTTGTATCAAAAATGTGGTTTTCATGCAAAATAGCAAGTTCAGCACAAAGCACCCTTTTCTTATGATACCTTAACTTTTGGACAACTTGGAAAGGCTTCAGTATGACATTACTTTATTTCATTTTCAGAATGGCACTATTTTTTATATCAAAATACATTGGGGGCACGGGTGGCCCAGTCGTCTAAGGCGCCGCGATTCGCTGTGCAGAGTTGCGCCCCTTGGCCACGCCAGAAACTTATGATTGTGGGTTCGAATCCCGGTTCGCCCCGACTAGGTTTGTCAGCACCATACCCGTGCTCGTGGGTTTCACCGAAGTGGTAATCATCTTAGACCTGCACCCCTCCGGCTTTCCTCTCACATTAAGCTGACACGCCGTGATATAACTGGAATAATGTTAAAAGCGGCGTTAAACCCAACTCACTCACTCACCAACTCAAAATACATTATAAAATAAAGTTTGCACACCAGTGTTTCAATATCATCTATTAATGGAGATGCAGTATGCATCATAAAAAAATATCATTTGGACATATTTATCTTATCATATTAACAGTGGAGATAACAATGGTTGCCAAATTCAAAACCGTTTATAAAGGCAGATGTGAACACTTTAATAAAACCATTCTACCAGATGTAGAGAATACATGCCGCACCTTGTTGTTCATGGTGAAGTTCTTGTAGACGGTGCGAGCTCCGTACAGGAACACGTCTCCATCGTCCGTGATGCACGCATCGACGAGCTGAAACAGTAGGGGATATCAGAGGAGGGCTTCACACATTGTACCCAGGTGGGAATCGAGTCCTGGTCTTCAGCCTGAAAATGCGGATGTTTTAACCACCAGCTACCCGACTGCCCAGGACTCATCATAAAGGTGGAGTGAGTGAGTGAGTTTGGTTTTCAGGGGCTTTTAGCAATATTCCAGCAATATCACAGTGGGGGACACCAGAAATGGGCTTCACACATAGTACCCATGTCAGGAATCGAACCCGGGGCTTTGGCGTGACGAGTGAATGCTTTAACCAGTAGGCTACCCGACAGCCCCTCATAAAGGTGGAAAACCATATGGTTACGATTATTTTATTTCATATCATTCAAACTGTATCACAAACTAGAAATATGTTTTCAAGGGGAGGTAAGGCATAAGAAAGATATTCATTAGAGGAAAAACAAGATAAAGTCCCCCTCTGACTGTTAGGAGCACCTGACTCACCCCTGCAGCATCAAGGGCAGCACACATGGCCTCGGCCTCCCCGCGACTGTGAATATAAGGGATTCCAAGCAGGTCCAGAAGCTGGCAGCACTGAAATATGGATTATCAATGACTGAATCTAAAATAACTTATCAATATAACCCTACAAACCATAACTTGTTTTATTAACTGATGTCATCCTCTGTATTGCCTTGAAAGACTAAATTGTCCCCTTTCACACATTCTGGGTCAGAATAGGGCCTAAGTTCTCGTGTTTGTCAAAAGAGCAGATTAAAATAAGGATCCGGAAATAAGGCTTTGACACTGCTGACTGTCATCATTACCGGATAGTATGTTTGTTTGTTTGTTCTTTAACACTGCACTCAGCAAAAGTACAGTTTATACGACAGCAGTCTGTAAATAATTGAGTCTGGACCAGACAATCCAGTGATTGATGTTATGAGCATCGATCCACGCAATTGGGATACGATGACAACCAAGTCAGCGAGCCTGTGATTGGTACTTGTATCATGAAGGGAAAAATCAGGATCCACCAAAGCATCGGTGTATCATCCCACCAGCAGTGTATATGCAACTAGTTCTCTGTCTGCAATGGCACAGATGATCGATAAATAACTTGTTTTAATATCAGGAATCAGAGTATTGCCCTTATTCATATACTTTTCCTCACAACAGTATGCTGGATCTCAATCAAACCCCAAGAGCCTAAAGGTGTAGTTTACAAAATTGACTGCAACTGTGGCCAATCTTACATAGGTGAAACATCCCGCCCCACAGCGGTAGAATCTAAATGTTTTAGTCCACTAGTCCTTGTAATGATAACGTAGCAAAGTCCTTATGAATGGCAAATTTCTACTAGTCCTTATGATACCTTAAATATTGGGCAGTTTGGCAAGGACTATGGTGAAGTGAGGTGAATTGGGGTTTAACGTCGCGTCCAAGATTATTGCACTTATATAGCGACGTGCATGTATGTGTGTGTGTTTGTGTGGCTGCTTGTACTAGTCCGGACTGATGCCGATTTATAGTGCTAGCTCACTGAGATACCATGCCGCAGTTTAACATGAATATCCCATTCAGACACAGTATACTGACTCCGAGCCGACCAGTCCTTGTTTTAGCCCCTTAATGCCGAGCGCCAGACGGGTAACAACAAGTACCATCTTTAAACGTCTCTTGGTATGACGCGGCCGGGGATCAAACCCCGGACCTTCCGCTCTCCACTGGACCACGGTGGCGGTTATGCAAGGACTATAGGACTAGTGCCAATTTCTAATGCTGCCCATCAACACCAGAATCAAAGAGCACAAAACCTCCACCATCAAATCAGACAATAAATCAGCCATCTCGGACCACATCAGCAACTGTCCTAATCACAACATCAACTGGGACAACGGCCAAATCCTCTCCAACAACCTACATGACTTCACTTAAAGAAAACTAACAGAAGCAGTCCTGATTCTCCGCCACAAGCCATCAATCAACAGAGATCCGCCTACTATGAACTGAATAATCACTTGTTTAATTGGCTTCATGTCCCATTGGCTTCCATCTACGTGTTCTCTGTCCATCGTGTTGTGACAGTATTATCCTTCTGTTGTCAACACTTATGTTATCCCACTCATGTATACAATGATTGTTACTGTTAATCCTCTACTGTTAATCCTCCACCTACTACATATATTGGTTTACTCTCACTTTGCCAGCAGGCTGGGGAGATTAACTTGTGACTTGCCAGCTATAGCCTGTTCTGATTATGACCAGCCAATGGATCGAGGGCGATCTCCACATCCACCAGTGGAACCACTTCAACAGTGATGGGCCATGTACAAACAGCCACCTAGAGGGATGGAACAGTCGACTAAAGAAGATCGTGGGAAAGGCATATCCCAACATTTTCGAGATGATTACCTTCCTTCCCAAAGAGCAGAAGTCATCAGAAATTCACAGAGTGCAGTACGAAGCAGGACAGAAAAGACATCCCAAGAAGAAGAAGACCGCAAGATCGCCAATTTGAAGATGAGGTTGGAGAGGCAAGAAATTGACATTATCCACTATTCCGGTGTTGCATCAGCCATTCTTATCAAGTTAAAAAAATAATGTTATAATTCATGTAAATCATGTTCTGTTTGTTGTACCAAATTGAAAAGTATCAACTGTTGCGTGATCATGTCGCTGTTTTTGAAACAATATAATGTGTGGAATAAATGACACAAAAATTTATCATGAGTCTGTTGTTTCTACTGTGTCCTAAACACCATCCAAATACACCATTCAAAAACACCATTCATAGCGTAACAACCTTGTGTGTTAACATAACACGGACATATCATCAAAGAAAAACCGCTGGTCGACGTAACGCGAATAATTTTAATTCTTCTGTACAATGTCCCCCATTCAGTCTTGCTTGACAACGGTATAAGGATCTATACCGAAACGTGGCTTTTTACAGTATCAAAGAAGTTGTTATCCATAAAATTGTGTCTACCTTGTGAACAGTATGCCAGCATCCAGATAACTTTTTGAGCCATTAAGTTTTTACTCTGCAGTTTCTATTTTAATTGTGTTATTACATTTTCCATTGGGTAACCAATATTTTTTCACTCATCCATTCATCACTCTATTGGGTTTCTCCAAAATTAATGAATGTTTTAAGATTTACAAAAAACGAAACAATGTTTTCGATGGATATAACTGTTCTAAATATATAGGCTTAACTCGGAAAGTAAATTAGCTCGTTATTGTGTTTCGGAAATTAGCTCCTTTGTACACATGCTCAAAAAGCTTCATTGGGTATTCACGCTTGCTGTTTTTATACATTTGAGTTTTTTATCTAATGCATGCCTTTCTGTACACAAGTTAATTGAGAGTAATTTGGTTTTGAATATTTGGGGGGTATTTTACGCACATATGCTGCTTATCTGTAGTTCTGGTATGCTACATTCCTTCTTGCTTTGATCATGTAACAGTTTAGAACAATGATGTGGAAGGATAAGTTCATCAGAGACATTGTATGACAAATCGATATTTTAAGACAATGCAAACTGAATGCATGGCTCGCATTGGTCAGAGTAGTCTGCTGTAAAATGATTTGTGGTTACTCTCCAGATACATGAAAGCCGAGATGTATAGCTACCTCTCGGAGTCTGGCGTTGAAGTTGGAGCGTCCCCCTCCACCTGCACGTCCCCCCCTGCCCCGCCCGAGAGCCTGCTGGCGCCTCCTCATCTCCTGCCACTTGAGCTGTGGAGCCGCGCCCTCGATCACAAACACCAGTTTCACCCCCAGCTGGGTCAGGTAGCTGACTCGGAAAAACAGGTTCCTGAAGAAAAAGGAGGGAGTGAGTGAGTTGGTTGGTTGGTTGGTTTGTTGTTTAACGCCGCACTGTAGATAATCGAGTCTGGACCAGACAATCCAGTGATTAATATCATGAGCATCCACGCAATTTGGATCAATGACATGCATCCACCTAGTCAGCGAGCCTGACCACCCGATCCCGTTAGTCGCCTTTGTGACAAGCATAATCACCTTTTTCGGCAGGCATAGTCACCTTTTTTGGCAAGCATGGGATGCTGAAGACCTGTTCTACCCCGGATCTTCACGGGTCGAGTGAGTGAGTGAGTGAGTGAGTGACTGACTGAGTGAGTGATTTCGGTTTGACATCACTTTGCACAATATTCCAGTTATTCCACAATATTCCGGTGTCCCCATTTATGCAGTAGTATATGTCCCGTAAAAGTCAGTGAGTAAGGTGCGTTTAATGCCGCTTTGAAAAGTATTCATTTATGTCACAGAGTATCTTGACCAGTTTGGTGAAAACCACAAGCACAGTAAGGATGCTGACAAACCTAGAAACATACACTGGGATTCAAATCCATGATCATTGGATTCTGGTGAGCCCAAGGGGCGCAACTCTGCACAGCAATTAGGGGAGAGTTACACGCCCTTCTCGTAAGGCCTTGTTTCTGTATCTGACCTGAGGTCAGGGCCACCTTATCAAAGTAGGTGGCTGGGTCTTATCAGGGGACGGTGACCATATCTTTAAACACTCATGCTTTATCAGAAACATAGGTGTCGGCTGTAAATATAATAGTTTAGTTGAGCTACAGATAAGCAGCTATTTGCATAAAATACCCCCACAAAATATTCAAAACCCAATTACTTTCATGTAACTTGCGTACAGAAACGCATTCATTAAATGAAAAGCTCAAATGTATAAAAACAGCTCACATAAATTCCCAAAGAAGCTTTTTCAGCATGTGTACAAAGGACCTTATTTCCAAAACACAATTACGAGATAATTTACTTTCTGTGTTAAGCCTATATATTAAGAACAGTTATATACATCTAAAACATTATTTCAGTGTTTGAAAATCTTAAAATGTTCAATAATTTTGGGAAAAAAGCAATTATAGAGTGATGAATAGATGAGTGAAAAAATATTGGTTACCCAATGAAAAATGTAATAACCAATTTAAAATAGAAACCCTAGAGTAAAAACTCAATTGCTCGAAATTATCTGGAGCTCTGGTTTAGATAACAATAAGGATATACCTAGAACAGTGTTCACCACTAAGCATAAAAATACAGGGGTCTCATAATCCTAATGTTGAACGTTAAAGACTTAACAGAGCTCCAGATAAGCTTTTGGTGTTGTGGGTATTTTACCCATGCATTTTAAAATCATTGGGTATCAGTAATTTTATCTGAGTATTCAAATTTCTGTTACCCAGTAGTTTTTACACATGTGGGTATTTAAGTTAAATATTTAAAAACACTATTCATCTAGGCCCTGCAAACTGGTTTCGTGTTGGTTCGAGGTCTTTATAGGACTCAAAAATACCACGATACTTCCACAAGAAAGTGTGATGGCAAATGATCATGATGTAACTGTCATCGTGGAGTTTGGCAAGGTTGACGGAATGCCCGTTTATAATTTCAAAATAAGCTGCTGATTTGCTAATCGAATACGCAGGGTTATTTCACAATATTTTGATGATACGCACAAGTTTTATTTCTGTAGCGTATCTGTAATGTTTGTTGCGTATTTGATACGCTTGGATTTTATTTTACTGCATATTTCTGCATTTCTGATGCGTATTTTATGCAGACACGCAGCTTATCTTGAGCTCTGTTTAAGGGATCCCGGATTCAAATAAAAAACAAGCAGATATCGAGGGCCTGAGGACCACCATTAAAATTGACTAACACATATCCTTGAACCTGACCAGGTTCCCCATTTTAGTTGACTGATGATGAGACTGAGCTACTCCGGACCTCTTCAATCTCAGTGCTATGCTTATGACTTAACATATGAACCCTTGATTTGTTTGTTTGTTTGTTTAATGCTGCACTCAACAATATTCCCGCTATATGACGGCAGTCTGTAAATAATCAAGTCTGGACCAAACAATCCAGTGGTTGATGTCATGAGCATCAATCCAAGCAATTGGGATACAATGAATTGCATCAACCAAGTCAGTGAGCCTGACCACCCAATCCCGTTGGTCGCTCTTATGACAAGCATAGTCGCCTACTGCGACAAGCATGGGTTGCTGAAGACCTATTTTACCCCAGAACCCAAGGTAAAGCAGCCCTAGACATTTGTTTTTCTTAAGACTTGTGCAGAAGACTATTGGGAACCTTATTTCACTCAACCTCAGAGTTTGCAGCCAATCCTGATTGAACGAGTCAAAAAAGTTTTCTCAATCTCATTAAAATCAGATCTTTGTACTCGCTACCGCTAAACAAAGATCTGAGGTCACGTCAGAACGACCTTTCATCCGACCAATCAGAGCGTCGCTTACCAGATCATGAAAGTGACAGTCGGAATCTGTTTTCTAATCATGCAACCACGTAATATCTAACACGTGGTATTCCGCACGACAGTTACAGGTTTTATGTTTATATCCATACAATCTAGGCCATCTATAAGCCATTCCAGAGTGTTCTTCTTATCAGTTTTAATATTTTTAATCGAGAATACGTCAAAATATGTTTCGAAGCGTAGTCGCCAGTTTGAAACTAGTGTTGTAAAGCTCGAGAAAGCTGCCTTCTGATTGGCTCATGTAGATTTCTTGACAGTCATTTCATTGGTCGGTCAAAATACAAGAAAGGTCGTTCTGACGTGACCCGTAATGGGATGTCCTCAGATCTTTGTTTAGTGGTAGCGAAAAATAAGATCTGATTTTAATGAGATTGAAGTTTTCTATGTTTACATTTTCTGTCAGTTTTTTTCTTTTTCAATTTGTAGAAAAATTGAAGCAATGGGAAATATAGCCCTCAAATGCTGCCATAATGACAACCATCAATGGATTGTTATTTGTCCTCAGCAAAATTTAGTTGTCTCGGGCTAATGGACTACCATGAATTTCGAAGGCTTGAAGATGACAGGCAGGCCTGAGGTTAGGGTTGAAAGGATACAGCAAGGTCACGCTACAATACATATCTCGATACATAGGTCACGATACAATATATATCTTGATACATAGGTCAAGATACGATATATATCTTGATACATAAGTCACGATACAATATATATCTCGATACATAGGTCACGATACAATACATATCTCGATACATAGGTCACGATACAATATATATCTTGATACATAGGTCACGATACATAGGTCACGCTTCAATACATATCTCGATACATAGGTCACGATACAATATATATCTCGATACATAGGTCACGATACAATATCTTGATACATAGGTCACGATACAATACATATCTCGATACATAGGTCACGATACAATACATATCTCGATACATAGGTCACGATACAATATATATCTTGATACATAGGTCACGATACATAGGTCACGATACAATACATATCTCGATACATAGGTCACAATACAATACATACCTCAATACATAGGTCACGATACAAAACATATCTCAATACATAGGTCACGATACAATATATATCTTGATACATAGGTCACGATACAATACATATCTCGATACATAGGTCACGATACAATATATATCTCGATACATAGGTCACGATACAATATATATCTCGATACATAGGTCAAGATACAATACATATCTCAATACATAGGTCATGATACAATATATATCTCGATACATAAGTCACGCTACAATATATATCTTGATACATAGGTCACGATACAATACATATCTCGATACATAGGTCACGATACAATACATATCTCGATACATAGGTCACGATACAATACATATCTCGATACATAGGTCACGATACAATATATATCTCGATACATAGGTCACGATACAATATATCTCTCGATACATAGGTCACATTACAATATGCATCGCGACGCACATGGAAACTTCTTAATAAATATTTTTGGGCAAGTTCAAGGATAGGCTAGCTGTAAACTAGGGCTGCAACGATTATACTATGAGGCGAATACGATTTGTATCATAAATATAGGGTAACAAATACAAATATTAATTCACGAATACAATAACAGGTCAGCAGATGTATTATTTGTTATATTCAGTGAAACAATAATAATATAAATTATTTGACATGGTTTGTTAATTATTAATATATTACACATTTATATAATGCACTTTTCCAGGTGCTATAGTATCTGCTCAAATGCGACGATGACCAGTGACCACAATACTGTCAAATTAAATATTATAAGAGTGTTGTCTTTGAAGAAATCTATGCATATAATATAACCTTATGGATATTTTTAAGTACAGGGTATATAAATGCACATGATTGCATTTTCATAAATATTCTCTTCTAGTGGCCACGAAAAACGAATTCAATTCATGAATGGATACAGTTCAATTCACCAAATACGCAAATGAATCGTTACAGCCCTACTGAAAACACATGTTCATAGCAGCTATTGTCAGTACTTAGTAGGGAATATGGAATGGTAATTACAACACACTTTGCAATATCGGACTGACAAAACTGCTGGGTAGGGCACATTTCTACTAGTCCTTATGATACCTTAACTATTGGTCAGTTTGGCAAGGACTACATGACAAGTGCCAATTTCTACTGCTTGGCAAGGGTGGAAACTGGACTTCTAAAGTCAGTTAACACCCCTGCCTCAGGAAGATGGTGAAACTCACAAGCACGAACTCTGTATATAGTTGTTTGGATGATGTACAAACCTCAACGACCTTATTGGCTGCCTACACGACGAACCTCTGGTTTGTTTGACCTCGATAATTTGCATAGCTGCAGTGACATAAACTGACCGGCAAACCAGTATACAACCACGTTTGAGTGAGTGAGTGAGTTGGGTTTAACGCCGCTTTTAACAGTATTCCAGTTATATCGCGGCGTGTCAGCTTAATGTGGGAGGAAAGCCCGAAGTGATGCAGGTCTCAGACGTTTACCACTTCGGTGAAACCCACAAGCATGGGTATGGTGCTGACAAACCTAGAAACATGATCGGGGCGAACCGGGATTTGAACCATGATCATAGGTTTCTGGTGTGCCCAAGGGATGCAACTCTGCACAGCAAACTGCTGCACCTTAGACGACTGGGCCCCCGGGTCCCTGATGTATATCTTAGACATCTACCCTCTTGGTGAAACCCACTGGTACTGGCATCGTGCTTAAAAGCAGAGATAATCAAATCCAAGAACAAAGAATTATCCCCCTTGAAGACCTGGATCCGAATTGGTTTTCCGCACGACGTTTGTCGTAAGGTATTCATCAAAAAAGACAAGGAGTAAGTAGCAAGAGTATTATCTTGTATCGATACCGAAAAAAACATATTGTGTATCGCATCGTCGCATGAAAGCTTGCAATGCGCCGGTGCACCAATATCTATCGTTTCACCCCTACCCAAGGTCCTGGGGTCACAAGCACTGCCCACCTGAGATACGGCCTGGCTACGACCCCCTGCATGGACTTGACACACTGGTTCTCACACACCCAGATGCTGAGGTCCACGGCGATGGTCTGACCTCGGAGTGAGGACAGCGGCGTGTGCTGCTTGACAGGAGCCAGAATAGTCCACAGGTTCGTCACCCCCATCTGAAAATACCGTCACAATCGGCATTAGGCCTCGAGTTTACTCCACATTGATCACAATTTCAGGTATAACGTTATATCAGTGATATATATGATATATCAATGATGGATGATGGTTGGTTGGTTGGTTTGTTGTTTAACGCCACACTCAGCAATATTCCAGCTATATGACGGCGGTCTGTAAATAATCGAGTCTGGAACAGACAATCCAGTGATTGACATCATGAGCATCGATCCACGCAATTGGGATCGATGACATGCATCAACCAAGTCAGCGAGCCTGACCACCCAATCCTGTTAGTCGCCTCTTACGACAAGCAAAGTCGCCTTTTACAGCAAGCATGGGTTGCTGAAGACCTATTCTACCCAGGATCTTCACGGGTCTAATGATGGATGAATGCTAAAAGTGATGCAGATCTAATTGAGTGAGTTACTTTCAACAGTAATCCAGTTATATCACGGCGTGTCAGCTTAATGTGGGAGGAAAGACCGAAGTGATGCAGGTCTCAGATGTTTACCACTTCGGTGAAACTCACAAGCACAGGCATGGTGCTGACAATCCTAGAAACATAATCGGAACGAACCAATCATCATTGGTTTCTTGTATGTTGGTTGGTTGGTTGGTTTGATGTTTAACGCCGCACTCAGCAAAATTCCAGCTATATGACGGCGCCTGTAAATAATTGAGTCTGGACCAGACAATCCAGTGATTGATATTATGAGCATCGATTCACGCAATTGGGATCGATGACATGTATCAACCAAGTCAGCGAGCCTGACCACCCGATCCCGTTAGTCGCCTTTTACGACAAGCATAGTCGCCTTTTACGGCAAGCATGGGTTGCTGAAGACCTATGCTACCCCGGAATCTTTACGGGTTGTTTCTCGTATGTGAAAGGGACGCAACTCTGCACTGCACAGCAAATTGCGGCGCCTTAGACAACTGGGCCACCCATGTCCCTGATGTAGATGAGTGACATCTACCACCTTGGTGATGCCCACTGGTCCTGGCATGGCGCTTAAAAGCAAGGATAATCAAATCCAAGAACGAAGAATTATCCCCAGTGAAGATCTGGATGAGAACTGGTCTTTAGCAAGACATTAGTCGTAAGTGGCGACTAACGGGACTGAGTAGTCATTCTCTCCGACTTGGATGATTTATTACATTATGTCCTAATTGTGTAGATTGATGCTCATGATGTCAATCACTGGATTGTCTGGGCCAGAATCGGTTATTTACAGAGCGCCGTCATATAGCTGGAATATTGCTGAGTGCGGCGTTAAACAACAAACAAAGAAATAAGGGAAGCAACCATGTACAACTAACTTACTACACCTTAGACAACTAGAGTACCTGTGGCCCCAAATCTGATATTGAAGAAATGGGAAAAAAATTCTCATCAGAAGCATATTTCTTACTTGACCAGGTCACTAGGCTTCTTTTCTCAAGTAGAAAGAGATTCATCAGAAAAGCATGGCAGGACAGCTTAGGCAGGTTGCAGTTAATGTTTTGAACCATTTATTTACTCTCATCTTATCATTCCGTTGGGTATTTATACTTTTCTTTGGGTATTCAATATGTTTTTATTCTCTTGGGACCAGGCCATTATGTTTTGTAAACCGATAAGTCTACATTTTTTTTAACTAGTTCTACTTCTATGCTGTTTCAGGTAACGTCTAATTAGCATATGTTTGTTAGCGGTGCGCAGTTTTACTAGAATTACCTGTAAAAATTGTTCATGCAGTGTTATTTAAATGACAAGCAGCGTCAAGTGAACAATGTTTCTTTTCAGTTCCCTGCCTTGAGAACGGGAAATGTTTGAAACTAATTTTGTTTTGATTTTGTTTGTTGTTTAAAGCTGCAGAAGGCAATATTCCAGCAATATGACTGCCGCCTGAATTGAATCTGATTGAGCATCAATCCACACAACTGGTACATGATGACATACAATCAGCTAAGTCACTGAACCCGACCACCCTATCCATTAAGTCGCCTCTTACAAGCCTAGGTTACTGGGGAACTATATCATTACTCAGAATACCCCCGGGTTGTTACAAAGTAAAGCGGTTCAAGGGGTGGGACAATTTTTTTAGTTCAATCACAGTGTCAGTAAACATGATAAATAACTGACGGCTCTTCAGCATCAACCAATACGGCGTTTATAGTGCTGACATGGATTTTTCCAGGATTCCACATTTAGTTCCCTTGGCAATCTTGGTGAACAAATTGTTATTTTGCTCAAATTGGTCAGTGCCTCTACAAAGTCATAACATTAATTATTGAGGTTGGAAATATGGAATTCCAATGTGGAATTTATTTACTTTTACTGACATTTGCCGCAGACTTGGGCCCAAATATTGGCCACGGAGCAGATCTGGCTAAATCCCTAAACTATTACCGCAACTCTCCATTATTCATTAATACACTAAAACTAAAATCTACTGAAAATAATGAAAAGATACGAGTGAAAGAGAGGAAAGTCAAAGTTTTGGGCACAGACTGCGGACGTACAAGGGAACGTTGGTTGGTTGTTTAACGCTGCACTCAGCAATATTCCAGCTATATGACGGCGGTCTGTAAATAATCGAGTCTGGAACAGACAATCCAGTGATTAATATCATAAGCTCGATCCACGCAATTGGGATCGATGACATGCATCAACCAAGTCAGCGAGCCTGACCACCCGATCCCGTTATAGCAGAATAGCCGAGTCTTATCAACTATAGGCCTCACTTCATATACAAGGCCTGAAACAAGTTGAAATGGCTTAAAACCTCATCTACTCATTTAGAACTTTCGGTGGGTATGAATTAACTGGAGATGTTCTTTTAATATTCGCGCAGTATCAAGGAACAACAAAGAATGTGCTTCACACAGCGTATCCAAGTAAGTGATAGCACTTTGTTGTTGAGCGTGACAATCAAACGCTTTAACAACAAGGCTACCCTATTTTGACAGCTCATAGATCTGCCATAATTTGGGCAAAAGTTTCTAAAAGAGGACTGTGTAGAACTGCTTGTATGAAATATGAAAACAATAAGCCATATTCTTGTTGGCATTCTGCTTAAAGAAATGATGCATCAAATGTGATTGCTGAGCATGTGGCTACCGCCTTCTCCTTTACCTCTTTGTCCCACCCAGCTGATTGTTTCACCTGTCCTCTTCAAATTCCCGCCATATTTATCACTCTCGTTAGCACGATATTGATTAATACCACCATATTTTTTTAATGGTGTGATAATTTAGACAATCATGATTCAATACATTACAAAGAATATTGTTGTTTTATAAAAACATTTCAAAATAATCAATATTTTGTCACGTGACTTTACATTGGAGTGCGGGAAAGAGTACTCTGCCGGTGCGCGCCAGATTTTAAACACCTGTGAAATATAGAAGAATTTCATGGATTTTACTAAGTATGCCTCTCCTAGGTAAAAAGGTTTTCAACTGTCTGAAGCCCTTAAATGACATTAAGGCTGAGGAGGCCGTTTTTACCATCCCACACACCAAGGAACAGTTCCGATCTAAAGCGTATCCTTTTGTCAAGTGACCATCTGCAGCATCCAATATGGCGGCGCGCATGGATTTCATTGTAGAAATAGTAAATTTATCATATTTTCTACATTAGTGTTGCGATCTTCATGAAAGTCTGCATGCAAGCTGGAATTCAGGACACAGAACGGTGAGTCAAATTTCGTTACAATCGGGCAGCATTTGACCAAAATATCTCAAATAATCATTTCTGCCGAAAACAGCGTGGAGTGATTGTTTACATCTCTATGGTGATCACGTGGTATTAAAATATTAAATTTTAACCATTTAACTGTTATTTGGTCATATTTATATGTGAGCATTGTTATCAGATTGACCACAATAACGCGCAGTTCAAAAACACCCTTCCGCGATCCGCCATTTTGTGTTTGCACGATTCTGCAAAAATCGCGTCGTCTGCTGCTGTCAAAACACGATTCCGATTTATTCACCACTGTTACATTCAATAAATACTCAATATTGAAGCTTGACCTTACACTTACGATGAAACAAACTTATATTGTGTTGATGTTTGGCCTTAATTTGATATAAACTCATTTAAGTTTTGAAAATTCATCGAAGCAAAATGAAGGAAATGAGTGTAAACACGATATACTTCGACATTTTGCTGATTTCGTATGTACTTTACTGAATACGTGTAAACATGACACACATTGTCAATAACTTTTAGAATAGATGTACTTAATTACTGATTGTTCCTTAACCAAGTGAGTGAATTTGAAAAACGGAAAGATCTATATGGGGAAAGGATATGGACCTGTCAGTGTACTGGACACATTAACTTGACGCATGAAGAGGCATGGAATTCAGAGAAGGCTGTGCAGAAAACTCTGAAAAATCAGTTTGCTGCATGTTATGAGAAATCTGTTCTTGAAATTGTTCACCACAGTAAGTATTTGTTGATATTTGTTGTCATTTTATTACACATTTCAACCCTTTTTCTCATAGAGCATGAAGAGTAGATCGTTTTGAAACTAGTGCCAAGTTTTCCCACCAGGGGGAGTTGTTTGCATGGTTGGTTTTCCTTGTGCAACAACATTTTTTTGTTTCCCTTCTTCAACCTTACTTTGAATATGCTCATAGAAGTATTATTTTGAATGCTGTGACATGTGTAATGTGTCCAGGTGATAACTGAGGTATGAACATGATGAAGAAAAAGGTGTTGTATATATTTTAGGAATAATTATTATATTACTGTGGATGTTAGCTGGCTTCACATTCCTCTTTGAAGTCAAGCATGATATAAATTTATGTACATTGTCAGATACATCAGCACATTTTTGACTGTGTAATATCAATGCAAAACTTTTTATGTAATAATGAAGATAAAATTTATTTTACTGTTTTCTTGGAGACAAATGTTTAGAAAATGATTAACTACATAAGGAACATAATTTATTACAATTTTCTATTTGCTTGAAGTTGAATATACACTTTTCTAGAAACATGAGTTATTGACCATTTGAAAATGTTCACTTTAGTTGCTATTATTATCTAGATTACGAGTAAACAAGGTTATTTTTCCTCCATCACAATAAGCCAATAGTTACACAACATTACTATTAATTTCTATTATTTCTGGTTTGACAATGTTGATATAATAACATGGCTAAGCTCTGAAATTAAGATCATCATTCAGATATTTCTGTCTTTGCAAGTTTTAATCTGTACTTTTCAATTATCTAAGACGTAATGAGAAAACACATGTTGATCAGTTATCATTGGTCATTGTTTGGGGTCAACAGTCACATGACTACTATTGCTGCACTAGCATGATAATGTATCATTCTTTTTCAAAATGAAACAATGTCAGTCATGTGCCATGCAGTCTGGTTTCTCTGATTCTTCGTAAGTCTTTGCATGGCGCTAATATCGATACAATAATGGTGGATCCATGTTATCAGAAAAGGCACAAGGAAACGCAAGGTTATTTTGATCTTCATGGCTAGCATGAAGGACTTGACCCAAGAAGATCCGGGGTAGAATAGGTCTTTCAGCAACCCATGCTTGTCGTAAGAGGCGACTAACGGGATTGGGTGGTCAGGCTCGCTGACTTGGTTGATGCATGTCATCGATCCCAAATGCGTGGATCAATGCGCATGATGTCAATCACTGGATTGTCTGTTCCAGACTCGATTATTTACAGACCGCCGTCATATAGCTGGAATATTGCTGAGTGCGGCGTTAAACAACAAACATTAAGGACTTTGTAACATGGTCGTTTGTGAACCTGCTTTGTGGCAACCTATTATATACATATTTGTGGCACTTTTTCATTGTTTGAAAGTAATGTTAAAATACCGTATTCGACGTAATAAGCGCCCAGGGCGCTCTCAAAATTAGAAAGAGGGGGCTCTTATTATGATAGTATTTTGGTGGAAAAAAACAGAAATTCCAGAAATTAATTGCCCATAATTATGGGTGCATATAACACAAAAGTGCGTATTATATGCGAATAATTAAGTCTTGTGTACATTGATCAATCGGAAAGGGTGCTAATTGGGATTGTTCACTAGCCAATATATTAGCAAATATCGCCGTGGGCGCTTAATAGAGCGGGGCGCTTATTACGTCGAATACGGTAGGTCTGAATTTTAGAAAATAATGACTTTGCAAAAAATCCCAAATTTGAACCAAAAAACGTTTTCCCCATATTTCCTGCATTTAGTTTGAAATCATTGATAAATACCTCTGATTACTGTCAAAAGCTTTTAGAATTATTTTTGTTATGTAATGTTTTCAAACAGAGTTGTCTCCCCTTTAACTAACTGCAGACAAAACATTGCTATGAGATATTTGCCTGAGGCAGGTACACTGATTGTATTTCAATGATTTGATTTTTATTACAGTAGGACTAAAATTTCCAATCAATGACATCTCTATGTAAACCTAAACTCTTATGTTCCAGGTACCCTCTCATTGGACACGTTAGTGGACCAAGCATGGCTGAAGCTGCAGCAGGTGCTCTGTGTGACCGAAAAGATCAACCTGCGCATCAAGAGTACAGGAAAGTAAGTGGAGCAACAATTTACAGCATTCACATCTTAGCATATCAGACAGCATCTTCCCAAGGCAAGGGTTTCCACCCTTGCCGAACAAGGCTGGTATTATGGAGTTACATTTTGGCTGGACTAACGAGTCTATGCATAGTCCAATCAAAATCGTGCATCGAAATCAAAATCGAAATCTGGTTCGTAAACTGTCCTGAAGATTTCGGTAGATTGCAGTATTTGCAAAGCATGTGCACCGACAACTCGTCAACAGATATTTTCCAAATGTTTCCATGTTTTTAATCAAGGTGCTCACACATTGCGTGATGTAAGACCTGTTTTATCACAATATAAACCTTGATTATCAATCAGATCGTCTTGACTGGGCGCCACTGTTTTGTTTCAAGCAAATGCAAGTGATACGAGAGGTGGAATCTGATAGGTCTTAAGGAGAGGCTCAGAAGGGACATAACTTGTAATAGCCACTGGTGGCGCTACGATAGAGCCTAGGAATAACAGCCTAGTTAGGCAAGGGTGGAAACTGGACTTTTAAAGTCAGTTAACTCTCTTGCCTTGGGAAGATGATCAGACAGTTAATACCTGTGGAGAGGTCTTCAGCAACCATGGCTTGCCGGAAAAGGCAACTAACGGGATGAGGTGGTCAGGCTTGCTGACTTTATTGATGCATATCATCCCATCCCAAATACGTAGATCGATGCACATGATGTCGATCACTGGATAGTCTGTCCAAACTTGATTATTTACAGACCACCGTCATACAGCTTGAATATTGTTAAACAACAAATAAACAAAACAAATCTTTCTCAGATGTATGAATTGTAGCAACAAAGACAGATTCATATGTTCAGGCTCAGCCATTTGTTTGTGATCACTGTCATTAACATGTTTCTTCTTGGTATTGTTTCTTAGATTCAGCATGGTTTGTTTAAAATTGACAGGTCATAGTATTCGGTTCCGAGTTAATCTCAAAGCCAGGGTTCGTTGAATATTTCTACTTTATGGGGGCTTTGATTTCATTGTCAGGAACATTCTGTGTATCGTTACTCCTGGTCGTCCATTTGTGCATCAATAACATGAGTATTTGGGTCATTTGAAGTCGAGAAAATCATTGGTATTAACAGAAGACAGTCCAGTCTGTTTTGGCAGTCTGTGACTTAGCCACTCGTCCGAATCTGGAGTCTAGTAGAATTCAGTTCACTCGAATTAGCTCAGAAACAGTAGTCGAGATATAATAACAATAAAATTGATTGAGAATTGTGCCAAGAGTCAAGTTCAGACTTGTAGCCTAAAATGTTTTGACACAGACTGTTATGGTGACAAAAAGAAATTTAAAACAGTTATTTCTCAAACTTTTCTGTCTGTCAATGTCTGTTCCCGAATTTTCCTTTTTCACCATGGCTTATTAGTTGCAGTAAAGAACCAATAAATAAAGTCCATGTGACTATTTTTGTTTTTGCACAAATGTGACAGTTGAATTTTGATTGGACCATTTGGGACTTTCATCCAATGAAAATCACTGATAGTAAAGTAGGTGAGGTGAGGCAATGAAAAATAAGGCTTTACATTCTATAATAGAAATAACTGTGTGAGTGATGTGAAATATTTTTGAGAGTGACCCCATAATTATATATAAAAAAATCTAGCTACAAATTTTGTATGTGCCCAATGACCAACTGACAATAAGTTTTATACGTCAATCAATAATTTATTGTGGGCAGGCCCCATGCAGCAGAACACTGCGACTTCTTTCATTTAGAATTTGTTTTAACATTTTTCGACCAGTCCTTATCCGATTATCTTCTCACTTTTTCAGTAAGCTGTCTTTTATAATGTTATGGTTTCAATGACCTCTTAACTTTAATTCTTTGTTTTGAACACTATTTCATTTAGTTAATGGTAATCCCGTCATCAATACAGCAAGTATTTGTTCCATGTAAAAGCGACGAGAACACAAATACTCCACAGTTACCTACGATTCGTGTTAAAACTTCTCGTTATTACGTACGTTGCACTCTATACTGTTTGCACCTGAATTGTGCCTACAAATGCTGAATAAAATTTTGTTGATTTGAAATTGCTGCTAGTGAACAAATTAATCTTAAATTTTTTATTATTATTTTTTCAGTGCCAAGGGGTTTTCTGGAACAGTTGTCAGCATTGACACAAGTGGTGTTCAGGTGAGTTTGCACTGGTCAAGTGAAATCTAAAACATTGGTGCTTTTTGGAGAAGCATCTCCCGTGAAACAGCTATGATGTTTCATGTTTTATCCAAACATTGTCTTGCTGTCCATCATTTCGAGGAGCCAGCTGAACAAGTCTTGGCTATCACTATTGGCCAAGCGTCATGTCGTTTGTTCCAAGGAAGTGGTTGTCTTTGTTTCTTTCATTTAAGGGGCGGTCGGGGAGCCTTGTGGTTAAAGTGTTCGCTCGTCACGCTGAAAATCGGGTTCGATTCCCGACATGGGCACAATGTGTGAAGCCCATTTCCGGTGCCCCCCGCCGTGATATTGCTGGAATATTGCTAAAAGCGGCGTTAAACCATACTCACTCACTCACTCTTTCATTTAAAATTTGACCCCACTTGTCACAGGAAGGACCTAGGATCCTTTTGCCATTTCAGAGACGAAAATAACTCTTAAATGTTGCTGCAATGTTAACATAGTATTGCTATGATTTTACTATGGTGTTATTATGGTGTTCAGGGTTCACTGTAGGGATTTTCTAACATGGGCCCCATATCTATAAATTTCAAATATTTCAGAGGTAACCAACACTTGTGTTTGAAAATGTGGGCCTTTTTACAAATGTAGAGGCTTAAAGCGCAAAGCCCACATATACCTTGAATTATCCCTGGCTGTTGCTATGTTACTATTGTGTTGCTATGGTGTTAGTGTTACCATGACGATACTCTGTCCTGCAGGCCAACCCCACCAGCAACTGTAGCTCACCTTCCAGTGATAAAGAAAACAGTTCCGGAGAAGGGAAGGAGTCCTCACCTAAGAAGTGGGTGCCCCCAAAGGTAGGAAGTGAACATTATTGTGGTATATCCCTATGGAACGGGTTCTCGGACACTTATGTAACGTTCATAGTTTTCTCCCTAATCACATGAACAACTGTAAAACATCCCATTCACTTATAAAATACAACCTTCTCTTAAAAACAAGCCATCATCTGAGTATTCACAATGTCTGTGTGATGCTACATTCTCGGTTAAAGCATGCATAATCACAATAAATGTAGCCGTCTGAAAACGAATGATCCCTTAAAACCTATGATCCTTTATTGTGGTATACAACATATTTCAAAATAGTTAGTCTGACAGGAATGAAAGTCTACAGGGGCAAGTTTTCTCCGAAAATCAAGTTATTTTTCCAAAAATTAATTTGTACTAGCCCGCGGGATTTTGTACAAGCCCCGGGCTAGCAGGCTAGTATCAAGTTCTAATCTACTAAAAATTATCTCTGGACTAGTTTGATGACCAATGGTGTCCCTTCTGCCAAGGGTGTGAAAGTAGTTAAATACATTGTTGACCTGCCTGGTAGTGGTGTAGTGATTCAGTATTGTATCCTGATACAAGGCCTACTTTACCATACAATATATCATTAACAACCCTGGTATCGCAATACGTACAATACATTATATTACAAGTAATATTGGTGTAAAAACGTGAATAATAACAGACATGACAGATTAACTATAGTAATATGAAAGAATCAGGTGTTCTTTAACATCTTTTGAGTAGTATATATTCTTTCAATGATGTCCCACTTGTATGTTAGTTGTAAAAACAATTGCTTGAATACTTTGCCAGTAAGCTTGATAAGTCAGTCTTTCTTCAGGGCTAACATTTCCAATCGCGTAGATTGATACTCTGCAACCCATGTTTGTCGTAAGAGGCGTCTAACAGGATCAAGTGGTCAAGCTCGCTGACTTGATGCATGTCAATTATTTACCATCTTCCCAAGGCAAGGGAGGTAACTGACTATAAAAGTCCAGTTTTCATCCTTGGCAAACTAGGCTGGAATTTCTGGGCTCGATCGTAGCGCCACTAGTGGCTATTACAAGTGATGTCCCTTCTATGTTCCTCCTATTGACCAATCAGATTCCATCTCTCCTATCATAAACAGAGTATCAGAGTATCTGATCTATATTGTAATAAAACAGGGTCTTACCCCGTGAAGTGCGTCAAATCATGTGCACTCCTTGATTAAAAGCATGAAAGAATTTACAAAATACCAGGATGTCTGGTTCGTTATACGATTTTGATTGGACTATGCATTGCCACGTTAGTCCAGCTAAAATGTAACTCAATAATACCAGCCTAGTTCGGCAAGGGTGGAAACTGGACTTTATAGTCAGTTAACTCCCTTGCCTCGGGAAGATGATTATTTACAGACAGCCATCATATAGCTGGAATGTTGCTAATTGAGGCGTTAAACAAGAACAACAAACACAAGTGTTTGCCTTATCTTCCATTGATCATTGTTTCAGCTGCTGCCTTACAAGTATAGCATCAAGCTTGAAGAGGAAGACAAAATCATCAATGGTATTCCTGCCTGCGACCTTGTGTAAGATATTCACATTCACAATTTCAACCTTTGATGTTCACCAGGGCTCCAGATAATATCCTGAGCCATTGTGTATTTACTCAAAAATTATTGCTGTTGTGAGTATGTGTTACACACTTGCGAGAGCACACAAACAGATACAAATTCGAAGTCACCAGAAACAGCATTTTAAGTGGAATTATTCTTTAAAAAAGTCCACTGATTGGTTTATCTGCTTGAAAATCAAGATCTATTTTGTAATAATTAAATATTTGTTGTGTTCATTGAAATTCCTGCATTCTGATTAGCTGAATTGGTCACATGTTATTGCATTCATTTTGCAATGAATGTAAAAAATTAAGCCACGCCCACCGAGGCGCACTACTTTTATTACTGCGGAATGTCGGGGAATCCCAATATTACAGTCAAGGGAATTCCCTTTCTGCTCACGTGTATCGTCATGCACAGGACATTTAGCGGCTTTCATGCATATTCATTGTCCAAACTACCCTTTGAAATCGAAGGCCTAGAATGAATGAAAGCAAACGTGCAGGCTCGCTCGCCTGTTTTTTTCCCCATTCGCCTCGGTTCAACCTTCATGTCTTGGGTTTCATTTCTAACTAGCATTATTCCAATTGTGTTTTATTGTAATCAGGGAAGTAATGTTTGAATCTGGAGGTAACTGACCATGTTATTTGAAACAGCCGCCTTCTCCGAACATATTTCTTCCGGTTTGTTACAGTCTGACTGTTGCAGTTCTTTTCGCCTCTTGCCTTAATTGACAGGTCCAATGAACATTGTTTTGATCCTACTCTCTGTTGATTGGCTACTGACTGTGTAGGCGTGTCAAATTATGTGCATAAATTAAACGATCACCTGATTCATGCCACACCATAGTATACATTCCTACACCTGGAATGTTCAACAATCGCGTCATTTTTGTCTGTTTTGATATGTACAACTGTTTTTGGTTAAACTATTGTAGATAAAACATGTTTTACGTTGTCAAATTTAATCATAAGCATTGACTGTGTATTTTTTTCGGTTCATTGAGGTATGAAAAGATTCCCAGGACCTCATTTTTGTCGGAAGAGCTAACTAAAATTGGGATTGTTGTCAGGCCATATGACTTGGCTGGGTGTTGATTGTTGTTCATGCGTGGGTTAGTCCGACCCAGACTTGTTTATATATCGACAGCTGTGGTAAAGCAGGAATATTGTTGACAGTGACATTTTATATTTTTTCATGTTTTTTCTTTCCAGACGAGTAGATCGACCCCCGTCCAAAGAATTGCTTCGGCTCTTCATACGAGCCAGTGCCCTCCGCGTTGGCACCACGTCCACCAGTCCCTGGGTCGTCAACGATGCACTGGTCAACAAATACTCCTTACCCAGCAAATTTGCCGACTTCCTTGTTTCACCAGCTAAGGTGAGCAGTTGTTTCAGGTGTACCGTACCAAGTTTGAAGTTAGAGAGGGTCCAGGGGTCCTAGAGGATCCTGCTGTTTGATTCCAGGGACCCCCTAAGTCTTTAACATTTACATTAAGATTATGACAAGGACCCTGGACTTCCTGCTTAATGTCCAACATACTCCATGGGGATGCTGGGTTAGAATTGCTACCCAGCAACCCATGCTGGTCGTAAGAGTCGACAAACAGGATCAGGTGGTCAGGCTTGCTGACTTGGTTGAAGCATGCCATCATATCACAATTATCGATGCTCATGATGTCAATCACTGGACTGTCTGGTCCAGACTCGATTATTCACAGACCAGCATCATATAGCTGGAACATTGCTGAGTACGGCGTCAAACAACAAACAAACCTATGCTGGTCATTAGAATCCAAATAAAGGATCAGGAGGTCAAGCTCAGTGACATGGTTCACTGTCATTGTACCCCAACAGGGTGATATTGGTCACTGGATTGGATTGTCCAAACTCAGTTATTTACAGGTCACCGTCATGTAACTTGAATATTGCTGAGTGCATTGAACAACAACAACAACAAAATACTCGTAATTATGCGTACTACTGATAAGAATCCCTGGAAATAATTGACATACTCGTTTCATGATGTCTACATATTTATTTAGACGCATCTGTTGTTGCAGATGGCTGAAGCAGCAAAGCGAGCAGAAGAGGAAGGTGTCCGTAAACGAAAACATCATCAGCAGCATAAACAACCAATGTCTGCTAAAAAACTGAAAATTACAAAGTCCTCCAAAATGTCTGATAGCAAAAGAGGGAACTCAAGTGTAAAGAAGAGGATAAAGAAAAAAGACAAGGACAAATCTCCTGTTAAGAAGAAGAAAGTTATCGATGAAATACTAATTGAGAGTGAAAGCTCGGACGATGAAGTGCTCGCGAATCTGAAAAATTCCAATGATTCTGATTCGGACACACCATTGGTCAGTTTGAAAAGTCAGCTGACGCCGAAAAAGAAAAAGAAGAAAGAATCAGATGATTCCGATTCAGATACCCCTCTCAGTAAACTGACACCCAAGAAAAAGAAATTGAAATTAGATTCTGGTTCTCAAAAGTCAAGGTCACCCAAGAAATCGCACACGAAAACAGCCTCCAAGCCTGGAAAGAAATTGAGTGCAGCTACTGGTGCGAAGAAGAGGGGCAGACCCAGAAAGGATGCTCCAGCAACGCCAAGCAAGAAAGTCAAGAGAACGCCCACTAAAAAGGTACGTCATTGGGTTCTTACCATTTATTCTTATCAAAATTGGGGCTAAAGGGGGCTGTTCTTAGTCCAGTCGTAGCAGTGGCTTCATCGACAAGGATTCCACCCGATCTAACATCATCGAAATCGCTATTGATAGTTGCATTGTGTCTGTTGTGCAGGCACAAACCTATGATTGTGGGTTGGAATCTTGGAAAATAGTTTGCTTTACTTTATACAACCCAAGATTATTCCCACGCCACTGTTTCAGGGAATGAAGCAGATGACGCTGCTGGACATTGCTGGAAAGAAGGGAAGTCCAAGAACTCCAAGCAAGTCGGTCAGGAAATCTGCCCCACCTCCTACCCCAAAAATCGTAAGGAAGTAAGTAAATAAGTGTTGTCCTCACCATATAACCTAGACTTGATTATTTCATAGGCCACTGTTTTGTAGCTTGAATATTGCTGACTTGGGCATTAATATAACTTTTGAAGAAATTGTTTTTAATATTAAGCTTTTCGAAGTTAACAGTTGACAAGTAAATTAACCAGTGTTGTGTAACGTATGGCTTCTTTGTTTCAGAATACTGAAGTTGAGCTCTGAGAGTGACCACAATCGTGTGAAGTATGCCTTCTTGGTGAAACAAGCAGCCATGACACTTACCTCACAACAGAAGTCCAACCTCCCTGCCCCCATCAAGGACATCATTCTAAAGAAGTGTGAACAGCTCAATGAAAAGAGGCTCATGTACGTGTTTCCCTTCGCATGATGAACTTGAGGGCCAACAGTCTGCCCAAAACTATTGCAACTACAAGCATGGCTCTTAGCATCTTTTTCAGTAGATTTTAGTGTTATTGTATGTACTATTGTAAGCTGAGCTTACTAGCCCAAACAGAATTTTACTTGACTTGGGGGGCGGTCAGGAAGCCTAGTGGTTAAAGCGTTCGCTTGTCACGCCGAAGACCCGGGTTCGATTCCAGACATGGGTACAATGTGTTAAGCCCATTTCTGGTGTCCCCTGCCATGATATTGCTCAAAGGGGCGTAAAACCATACTCACTCACTCACTCACTTGACTTGGGCTTTGTGTTGATGTCCCACAGTCTTACCTCACCTTATATTACCGTTTTTCTTCCAGTGGAAAATTATTTTTGAATATTTGAGATGCTGTCTGTCTCTTGGACTGACATGAATGCTGACCCGTGAAGATTCCGGGGTAGAATAGGTCTTCAGCAACCCATGCTTGCCGTAAAAGGGGACTATGCTTGTCATAAAAGGCGACTAACGGGATCGGGTGGTCAGGCTCGCTGACTTGGTTGATGCATGTCATCGATCCCAATAGCGTGGATCGATGCTCATGATATATTTATCACTGGATTGTCTGGTCCAGACTTGATTATTTACAGACCGCCGTCATATAGCTGGAATATTGCTGAGTGCGGCGTTAAAAAACAACAAACCAAACCAAAAGACATAAATGCTGGTGAAATAAGTATATTCACAACATACAACATAGGGGTGTTGTCCTAACATTGTGCCATGTTATATAATAGCAGTAGCACAATGTTCAATCTGCGACTTCAGCCACTTGTCCGAAGCCCAGGTCTTGTTAAGTTGTGTTCAGTTTAGCATGCTCCTCTTATAATAGTCCACATAATAACACGGAATTCTACGGAAAATGGTGCCAGGATCCTAGTTCACACCAGTTGTCGGACACGTTTTTGGAGCTGTTAGTTGTCTTTTCTTCACAAAACGTTCCATGACCTGTTTGACTTTGTCCAGAATACAAATGTCTTTGTCATTGGTTAATATCCTTACAGTCATTTTGGTCTTCAGAACCTATGAGCTTTTGTTGCATGTGTGTGTGCAAAATGAGTATGGTTTTACACCATATTGAGCAATATTCCAGCAATATCACAGTGGGGGACACTCGAAATGGTATTCACCGATTGCGTTCATATGGGGATTCGAACCCGGGGCTTTGGCATGACAAGCAAATGCTTTTATCACTAGGTTACCCCACCACAAAATTAGAAGTGCTGATGCAAGGAAAGCTTGGTTTTTTTATTCAGTTTTGTTTTTTTTATGTTTGGACTGCCAAAAGTTTATAAGTGTTTGTGTTTGTAAGACAAATTAAAAGCTCCCAATTTGAACTGTCAATAGTCAAACATGGTATTGATGACAACAAAGAGGAATTTAACATAAATGTACTGTGATCAACCCTCAGATAACTGCACAGTGACGCTTCTTGAGTGATCATTACGCCCTATTTATAAGGAGACCTGATATTATCACCCAATATGATGAGACCTGATGTTCTTATTGTCCTATGTAATGAGACTCGATGTTACCACCCTATGTAATGAGACCTGATGTTCTTATTGCCCTATGTAATGAGACTCGATGTTATTGCCCTATGTAATGAGACTCGATGTTATTGCCCTATGTAATGAGACTCGATGTTATTTCATTATGTAATGAGACCCGATGTTATTATCCTATGTAATGAGACACGATGTTATCACCCTATGTAATGAGACCCGATGTTATCGCCATGTATAATGAGACACGATGTTATCGCCCTGTATAATGATACCGGATGTTATCGCCCTGTATAATGAGACCAGGTGTTATCACCCTATGTAATGAGACCTGATGTTATCGCCCTATGTAATAAGACCCGATGGTATCACATTATGTAATGAGACACGATGTTATCACCCTATGTAATGAGACCCGATGTTATCACCCTATGTAATTAAACCCGATGTTATCGCCCTGTATAATGAGACCCGATGTTATCGCCCTGTATAATGAGACCCGATGTTATCGCCCTCTATAATGAGACCCGATGTTATCACCTAATGTAATGAGACCCGATGTTATCGCCCTGTATAATGAGACCCGATGTTGTGAGCAGGGAGAAGATGACGCCGGAAGAGCGAAATGCCTACGTGAGGGTAAAGAAGCAGAAGGTCAAGGCCGTGAGGCAGCAAGAACGGAAGGAGCAGAATAAGGTAGGTGGCGTTGTCATGGTTTCAGATATAGATATCAGGTTCAAAGTATAATGCATATCATCATTGCTGTTGGTCAAGACCTAGTCGTTTTAATAAACCTTCGTCTGGACTGTAAGACAAGAAGTTAAACAAATGGAAAACATTGAAAAAGATGTACTTCCCAAACAAGAGTGATAATTGTTTTTGCTATGTGGGTCAGAAATTCTTCCATTTTTTCATGCTGAGGTGAAATATTTCATGATGATTATTTGTTTGTGTTGATGCTTCTGTTCCCAAGAAACTACGAGTTACAACTCAGGGGAGATAATCCTGACTGATACTCAGTGGCGTTCGAGCTGCTGCCCTCAGTTTGGTGGTGTATTCAGAATGCCTAAAGAACATGGACAACGCTATTCCCCAGAATAGTTCCTATGGTTCAATATATTTTCTATGTTGTCACATCCCTGATTATGTCCTGTGTAAGTTGTTTTAAGACCTGTGAAGATCCGGGATAGAATAAGTCTTCAGCAACCTTTGTTTGCCGTAACAGGCGACTATGCTTGTCGTAACAGGCGACTAACAGATGGGGTGGTCAGACTCGCTGACTTGGTTGATGCATGTTATCGTATCCCAATTGCTCGGATCAATGCTCATGATGTCAATCACTGAATTGTCTGGTCCAGACTTGATTATTTACAGACTGTCGTCATATAGCTGGAATATTGCTGAGTTCGATGTAAAACAACAACAAAAACAAAACAAAAGGTGTTCAAAATGAGAATGAAATTATTGCAGAAATATGAAGACCTTGACCTGCAGTCAACTCCATTGCCTACACCGAAACCTGTTCACACACCAGATGGCCTTCCTAATGAATGTTTTGGTGATGTTGCCATGGTTACTCAGTTCCTGAGCAGTTATTGGGGACTGCTAATGCCAGATGATGAATATCCTATTTATTCAGGTAATATTCTCAGGAGATATTATTTTTTTTTAAATATTGCTATCTTTAAGAATATGTCCTGATCTTCAGTATGAATTTGTTCATTTTTTAATTTATATATTGCCAGCATTGGTAGAAATAAAATAGATGCTTTTGGATTCATGTATCGGTCATGACTGTTTCAGGTAAGTATACAGGTTAAAAAAAAACATGCTTGTCTCAAGAGAAACCAAATGGTTCGAGTGACTTTCGTGTTTAAATGTCATCATATCCAAATTGTGTAGATTGATGCTCATGACTCGATGAATTGCATATGACAGTCATATAGGTGGAATGTTGCGTTAAGCCGCGAACAGTAATTTCTGTAAGCTCATGGTGCTTATAAATAATCGACCCGTGAAGACCTAGGGTAGAATAGGTCTTCAGCAACCATGCTTGCCATAAAAGGCGACTATGCTTGTCGTAAGAGGCGACTAACGGGATCGGGTGGTCAGGCTTGCTGACTTGGTTGATGCATGTCATCGTATCCCAATTGCGTGGATTGATGCTCATGTGTCAATCACTGTATTGTCTGGTCCAGACTCGATTATTTACAGACCACCGTCATGTAGCTGGGATATTGCTCAGTGCGGCGTTAAACAACAAACCAACCAATTATAAATAATCACTGTATGCTGCATTACAGATATGTAGAACCCACTTTTGTTGTAAGGGTAGTTGGGTAGCCTCGTGTTCACATCGTTCACTGGTCACACTGAAGCCAAGGGTTCGATTCCCCACTGTGATATTGTGGGAATATTATTAAAAACAGCGTAAAACAATACTTGCTCTAGTAACCATCCCCCACTTGCTCCTTTTGAGACCCAAGCTTGTCAAATTTTATCAACACTATAATCAGGTGAAATTTGGGCTATACAGTGAAGTCCCGTTAATCCGACATGGTTGGTTTCATATGATTATGTCGGATTAACGAGTATGTCGGATAAACGAAATTAAGTTGTATCAGCGTTTGCGATTGAAAATCGGACAATTTCACAATAGATAACAATATTAACACGTAATGAAAAATGAAATATTCATATTGTCATGTTACATTGTTTGCGGAAAATGTTTTCTAATCATGCACTCTAAAGCTGAACACAAAAATCGGTTTCGTGCTGTATTCCTAATTCAAAATATTTTGAAAAGCATAGTCTGGAATGAAAGTCGCCAATTTGAAACGAAAGTTCACGAAAGGTCATTCTGATGTGACCTGTAATGGGATGTCCTCAGCGGAAGTGTGAACTTGTATCTGATTTTAATTATTTTGAGATAATCTAAGCATGTGGATTAATCTTGTTTTGTTCATTTAAAGCATTAATTGTTTGTTGTTAAGCAAGTTTATATCTGCAGCCGTTGTAATATGCAGCTATCAGCCAACTCGTCTCGCATCAAAACACGGGCTGTGTGCTCGCGGGCAGATGACCACCAGTACGCTGATCACTGTGTCAGATTAACGAGACTGATTAATGAGTGATTTCGGTAATTTGTTGCAAATAAGGTGTGTCAGAGTGCGAGTGCGAGTGCGGATTAACGGGTCTAAATAGCACTGATTAAATCGGTTCCCATCATTAGTGTCCAATAAAGCCGATTGTCGGATTAACAAGTGTCGAATTAACGAGACTGTATGTTGCCTCTTGCCTCTTGTTGCAGATGACTTGATGACAGCTCTGGCATCTGGACTGAAAGGCTCCACGTACGTCGCCCGTGTCCTGGTCGTCTTGCTCCAGACATTGTTGCAGGATGAAATCGCTGAAGATTACAAGGAGCTGCGTGTGAAGCTGGGGGACGTTCCCATCAACCCGTACACTGCCTCCGAGCTGGTCAGGTTGTGTCTACGGCGGAATGACACCGGTGTCGGCCACACTGACGACTCCTATGAAGATGATAACGACAGTGAAGTGGTACGTCGGACTGTTAAACCTCCACATTCTTCTTGCCTTGTTTTCAATCTGCACGTCTAACATGGTGACATGGTGACACGTTCCTAATGCATAATACTCTTGACATATTTTCACTTGGTTTTGATTGTGTAGGCGTTTTTGGTTGTTTTAGAAAATCTGCCACATTCTGACCCATTGTTCAGTCTTACTTGACAACAGTGTAAGGTCTACTTTGTCATCCATCCACTTCTGAGAAATACCTATAAAACAATTAATTTAATTCAGGGTTAACCTGCTGAATGTCCAGTAGCTTGATAACCTTAATTGTTATAGCACATCTGTAAGCTGCTCTGCTTCAGAGGTGGCGGTCGGGTAGCCTAGTGGTTAAAGCGTTAGCTCGTCACGCCGAAGACCCGGGTTCGATTCCCGACATGGGTACAATGTGTGAAGCCCATTTGTGGTGTCCCCTGCCGTGATATTGCTTGAATATTGCTAAAAGCGGCGTAAAACCATACTCACTCACTCTGCTTCAGATAGATAGAGTTCCGTTTTATTAACATCAGAAAATAAAGTAGAAGAATGACCATTTGTGAGAAGTATTGGTCCTGACCTTATTTGTTATTACTGACAGACACAGACAGACAGTTTATTCAGTTACAAGGCCATATGGCCCATTGTACAGTTCAGTTTTAACAGATACATAAAAATCAACGTGATCTAATTCTTGAACATAGCATAATATATTCACCTGAGTCTAAATACATGTGTCAAATACATTGCTAAAAACTTGATAACATCTACATCGATCGAATTCAACAAACTGATAATTAATTGATTGTCTTTGTGTGTAATATCTAAATTAGATAGAAACTTTAATCTCATTTTTCTCATGTAAAAAGAACATGAAACTCGTCTTCAATCTCCTGGTTGGTACAGATAGAACATATACAATTTACAAAATCACTTTCCTTGGTTCTATTTATTGACAAGGAAGTTATGGAGAGATATTCTAAATTTACAAAGAGCTCTCAATAGAGTTTTATCTTACGGGCATTAGTGTGACAGTGTTGTCAGTGAGTGAGATGTGTGATGTATGTTTGCGTCAGTGAGTGAGATGTGTGATGTATGTTTGCAGCCGGACCAGATCATCCAGCAGCTAGAGACGCAGGAGTTCCACGAGCTGGAGGCGGAGTCCAAGCTGAAGGTGCTCTCCGGGCTGTGTCTCCGCCTTCTCGGAACCTACTCCATACAGGACTACATGGAGAACAAGCAGCAGGAGGCCAGCCAACTCTCGTAAGTCAGCCCTTGGAGACACTGTCACGCCTCGAGGGACAGGGGCTCGATCCCCGTCAGCATCATACTAAAAGATGGTACTTGCCTATCGCTCAGCATTAGGGGCTAAACCCAGGACTAGTCAGCTCGGGGTCAGTGTACTGAGTGGGGTATTCATGTTAACTGCGGCATGGTATCTCAGTGGGCTAGCACTGTAAATCGGCATTAGTCCGGACTAGTACTAATGACAAACACATTTGCTTGGTTGCAATCAGATTCCACAGTGTTGCTTGCAATGTATTTTTAGCAAGATATTGATCCAGTTTGTTATGACTGCCTGCCTGAATGAGTGACTTATTAGCGTGTCCGTGTTTTAGTCGTCAGAAGTATGCCGAGCTGAAGGAGAAGAACGTGAAACTTAAGGAAGAGAAACAGAAGAGGAAGGATGAGGGGAAGGGCAAGGGAGAGGATCAGCCTGAGGAGAAACCAGCAGGTTGGTGGAGATAGGAGGCGTTTTACTTCTGCCGTAGTTTGTCAAGAACATTATCCTGCAATGTCGACCCCTTTCATTATTTCAGCGTTCAGTAAAACCTAGCCACATCCTCAAAATCCTCTGATTATTGTCTGATCAGGGATTTACCAAGACCTGCTTAGAGACTGATATTCGGCACCAAGTCTGCAGCCAATTTCAGTACAAATTCCATCCTTGGAATTACAGACGTACCAATTTGTATAGTTACAGTTATAACCAATGATTACTGATGTAATGGCTTGCTGGACGTTACCTGTATCCCACTGACCACTGGACGAATCTGGAGGATCTACCTAAACTACCTACTTATGTGGGGAATGAGAACTTTAACAAACAATTACCAGTTTTGAAGAAGATGATAGCTTTCCCCAATTTGCCTAAGTCACTTAGTTTGGAACCCCCGATAATTCCCTGCTGACATATTTTTATGACGTTTTTTTAAATGGATTTTCCCATATCTCTACAAGGAAGTGACATGTAGATTAAAACAGATGGAAAAATTAATGATAGACAGTACCTTTTACATTTGACTACATTTTTCCATTATGTATACGGTTAGCTTGGCATCAATTTTAACTGTTGATGTTTATATTTACCATTGCTATGACCCTGGGCAATGACAATTGCAGTGCATTGTTAAGTCAGTGGTAATCAAGATAATTATTTTTGCGATCAAATATTTGATCTCCCTGGCATGTAATGCGAGGGATTCTGTTCTTAGAGATGTGTACTTGACATAGTAATACAAAGTCCCAAATCCCACTTCCATGGTATTATGAAGATCTGGGGTATAGAATAGGTCTTCTGCAACCCATGCTTGCCCTAAAAGGCGAATATGCTTGTCGTAAGAGACAACTAACGGGATCAGGTGGTCAGGTTCGCTGACTTGGTTGATACATGTCATCAGATCACAATTGCATGAATCGATGCTGATGATGTCAATCACTGGATTGTCTGGTCCAGACTTGATTATTTACAGACAGCCGTCATACAGCTGGAATATTGCTGAGTGCGGTGTCAAACAACAAACAAACAAACAAACCATGGTATTGTTTTGATAGCTCAGTACACTACTCTTGTATCCGTACATACAGATTTAATAGAAATTCTCTCATCAAGTTGGACTTCAAAGTAACAGTCATATTATTTGTTCTTTCGAATTTGAGGGTGCTGGGGGGATATTGTCATCTTCTGATGACTGTTGTCTTCACGCAACAATATCCGGGGGGCCAGTAAGTCCCGTCTGATAATGACAATAAACACTTGGAGAAGGCAGCGTCAGGATCAAGGACAGATAACTCCTGTTAGGTAACCAAGGGCAACATTTTGGTTTCTCTGTTATAGGATCAAAGTTCAGAAGCAAATTGCAGGGTGTTGTGTGAGGATAAGTAAACGGACATGAATAACCAAATTTATGTAGAATTGTGAAATACTTGTTGTACACTGATGATTCCTAAAGTTTGGTGTGGGTCACCAGGTGCGACGTTGAACTACTTCTATGGCAAAAAGGAGGGTGAGACTGACAGTGGGTCAGCTGCTGGTGACTCCATGGATGACGTGGAGGGAGACGACCTCATCTCCGTTGTAAAGAGGCGGCGACTAATGACTGCCAAGCAATCGGCAGAGAGAGAGAAGAAGGAGAAAGAGAGGAAAGAACAGTAAGTGGACAGGATGTCGAGCTCGTTGAGGGTTATGGAGATGAACTCTGTGGGTAGCCTAGTGGTCAGTTTGCTTGTTACGACGAAGGCTTCGGTTCAATTTATTGTGTGAAGGCCATTTTTGGTGTCCCCAGCTGTGATAATGCTGAAAGCAGCATAAAACCATACTCACTCTACTGTGATAGGGGCGTGGGTGGACCAGTCGTCTAAGGCACCATGATTCGCTGTGCAGAGTTGCGTCCCTTGGGCACGCCAGAAACCTATGTTTATGTTTCTAGACCCCCGATTATGTTTCTGGTTTGTCAGCACTATACCCGTGCTTGTGGGTTTCACGGAAGCGGTGAACATGTAAAACCGTCATCACTTCTGGCTTTCCTCCCACATTAAGCTGACACGCCGTGATATAACTGGAACACTGTTAAAGGCTGCGTTAAACCCAAACCAACTCACTCCACTGTGAGTTGCATCCCTTTTCCATGCCAGGATCCGCTGCTCACTTACTCGTAGATTCTGTCTGAAGATCTTGTTGTTCATAATATGTGACTTGACTGATAGAATGATATTGAACCCCACCTGTGGGAATCGCTGGTGCTGTCCGGACTGGATCAGTTACATGTCACTGACATAGCTGGAATATTCCTTGAATACAATTATGCTTATTTTATACAAATATTATCTTGTGTTTTTCAGGAAGGAAAGGGAATACCAAGAATATCGTAAACAGCTAGAGAGGGAAAAGTTTGCGAAAACATTCAAAGTAAGTATCTCTGCTCTTTCCAATTTCACAATAGAAATTCATTGATTTATTGTATTCAAACTAACATTAGAATCAGGTGGACAGGCGAAGTGACTTGGGTGTTTCATCTCACTGTCCCCTGATAATGTGAATGTTGCAGATGATGTCCATCACTGCGACTAAGTCATTTCAGGCCAGCGTGAAACTAACGGGGTCAGGTGGTCAGACTCGCTGCCTTGGTTGATGCATTTTGTCATATCCCAATTGCATAGATCGGTGCTCATGATGTCAATCACTGAATTGTCAGGTCTGGACACAATTATTTACAGACCGCCTCATATAGCTGGAATATTGCTGAGTGCAGCGTTAAACAGAAAACAAACAAGCAAAACACTTTGAAGCCGTATTATTTTAACACACTTGAATATTTACATTTATGATGTCTGAACGTTCCCAGATACAGCAGTGCAGTGGTGTTGATCAGCTGTTATAGTGATGTTGATCAGCTGTTCTAGTGATGTTGATCAGCTGTTACAGTGATGTTGATCAGCTGTTCTAGTGATGTTGATCAGCTGTTACAGTGATGTTGATCAGCTGTTACAGTGATGTTGATCAGCTGTTACAGTGATGTTGATCAGCGGCAGTGGTGTTCATCAGCTGTTCTAGTGATGTTGATCAGCTGTTACAGTGATGTTGATCAGCTGTTGCAATGATGTTGATCAGTTAATCAGCTGTTACAGTGATGTTGATCAGCTGTTGCAGTCATGTTGATCAGCTGTTACAGTCATGTTGATCAGCTGTTGTAGTGATGTTGATCAGCTGTTGTAATGATGTTATGACTTGTGTTTCAGGATGGGATGACTCTCGCCCGTAATGTGTTACGACAGACCCCAATAGGCACAGACAGGAACCACTGTCGGTACTGGCTGTTCAACAGTACGATACCCGGGCTGTATATAGAGAAAGGTGATGCTTGTTCCTATTCTTTAGCAATGTTCTGACCTATACATTCCTGGACTGTTTTAGACTTCACTTCAGAATCGGTTTGTTGATTTCACATTAGCCTAGTCTTCCTCCTCTAGGCCTTTTATTATCCCCGACCATGAAGTTGGAGGGGGATCTAGGAATGGGTACCGTTCGTCCATGCATCTGTGCGTCTGTGCGTCACGCAATATTTGTTACAAAACTTTCATATGTATCAAACACATGCTAAACTGGTGCCTTTTGGTGTTTTGGTATTTCTAAAAAAATATTTTTGGTGTTTCCATGACAATAAACTGGACTTAAGACTCAAATACATGTAGCATTCGTATTTAGAGCATAACTCAGAAACTGATTCGAATTTTATTCTGAACTTTGCATACATATCAAACACACGCTGAACTGGTGCCATTTCATGTTTCGTTATTTCTGAACAAAACATTTTTTGTGTGTTGTCTTATTTTTTTACGTTGTTAGCCTCCCTTTCTCCATGCTTTAGAAATTGAGCATCCTCTTTGCAGTGCATGATTTTACATAATCAGCATTAAGGTAATTACCTTGAATTCTAAAAGTCTAAAGTGAACATTGACGGGGGATAGTGCTAACTCTGTGTTCTTGTTATTTATGAGTTAGTTTGCAAAAGAATTGGTCTAAAATTCCATGTTGGTGCTCAGGTGGAACTTCCAGATAAGTACAACTTAGGAATGAAAATGAAAAACAAGTTTATTCCCCCATTTGAAAAACTTGCTTGGTTGATGCATGTCATCGTATCCAAATAGCGTGGATCAATGCTCATGATATTAATCACTGGAATGTCTAGTCCAGACTCGATTATTTGGAGACCGTTGTCATATAGCTGAAATATTGCTGAGTGCGGCGTTTAACAACAAACAAAACAATAAAACCCAAGATGTGATATTAAGAATGTATTTCCATTTCTTATCATCAGGTTGGGTGAATGCAGCTATAGACTACAACTGTCAGGGATTGGGTGACCGAGCATCGAGTGCTCCGAACACACCCAAGAAGGCAGACAGTGTGACATCGGGGTCCCAGCCAAACACACCTTCTAAGTTAAAAAAGAAGAAGTCAGAGACTGAGTCTACGTAAGCATGTAACCTTTGTCAGCGGGCCCAATTAGTAGGCAGTGTCCAACAAGACCTTCACTTCTGTTGTTATTGCTTCAAGTGTTTCAGAGGTCGCCTTCTGCCTAACAACTTTGGCTGACCTGTCCCTCTTTGGGACTCGGGGGACAGGTCAGCCTCCCTCTTTGTGACTCACTATGCTTGTCGTAAAAGGCGACTAACGGGATGGGATGGTCAGGCTCGCTGACTTGGTTGATGCATGTCATCGATCCCAATTGCGTGGATCGATGCTCATGATGTAAATCACTGGATTGTCTGGTCCAGACTCGATTATTTACAGACTGCCGTCATATAGCTGGAATATTGCTGAGTGCGGCGTTAAACAAACCAACCAACCAACCAAATCTTTGGGACTCGTGTGAGAAGGGAATTGTGCGATTTAGTATTCATAAAATTTGTTTTTGTATTGATATGATTTCTGGTTTTGTATTGATATGATTTAATTTTTATCCTTGGCTGCTCTGCTTATATGTTAATTTCACTTCTAAGAAAGTGTTATCCCAAATACTGGAAGGTTTTGCGAGCAGGAAACTACTGCAAAAATTGCGCACACTTTCAATAGTTTCATGGCGCAGTTATTTTTGCAGTCCAACAACAAAGAAAACTTGTAAGGGGTCATATTACATTAATTCACTTCCACACGCTGTCCAACCAGCCAGTACATGATTAAACAAACAATCCCTCGCTTCCTGTGTTTCCCTGATCTCACATTGTCACAAGACCGGTGAAGATCCGGGGTAGAATAGGTCTCCAGTCTCTCATGCTTGCCATAAAAGGCGACTATGCTTGTCGTAAGAGGCAACTAATGAGATCGGGTGGTCAGGCCGCTGACTTGGTTGATGCATGTCATCAATCCCAATTGCGGGGATCGATGCTCATAATATTAATCACTGGATTATCTGGTCCTGACTAGATTATTTACAGACCGCCATCATATAGCTGGAATATTGCTGAGAGTGGCGTAAAAAAACAAACAAACTTAGTGTCGACAGTCTAGTTAGTATGAATTCACTAACCTGCCACATCTTATCAAGTTGCCGACATAACACTGGGTAGTCAAGACACACGCCAGGCAGTCTGTTCTGTCAGACTTTACAGACCAACGTCATGTGATGGATTTTAAGTTAGATTAGGCCCCAGTAAAATATATGCTGTTCGTAAGGCTTTGTGACTTAGTAAATTGTGTGTCATCATACCAAGAAAGGTGCTCCTAATGAGTGGCATTAAACAACAAACAAACAAAGAACTCTCCCAATGCTTGTTTCAGGACTCCTCGTCCTGGTCAGAACCTGTGGTTCTCCTGTGACTCGGTGGAGGACCTGGATACCCTGCTCAAGGCTCTTCAGCCAAGGGGCATCCGGGAGAGCAATCTCAAGTCCGAGATACAGAAGAAGTATGATGACCTATCTAAAGCCATGACTGGCACAAAGACGTGAGGCACATTTATTTAGAGAAATAGATATAAAATATTTGCAAAGTAAAACCCTGCAAAGATAAGCTTCCTTTTGTCTTCATGTAAAGCGAGAGAAACTAACAGTTTTAGCCCACTAGTCCTTTTATGATAACATACAGCAAAACCCTTAAAAATGGCAAATTTCTACTGGTCCTTATGATACCTTCACTATTGGGCAGTTCGGCAAAGACTACAGGACTAGTGCCAGTTTCTAACTCTGATGTATCAGTTTCTACCCTTTGTATAGTGTGGGCGGACAATGTTATTCCTTGTTTTATCGGTGAGCTTGCAGAAGTAGAAGACAAAATCTTTATACTCATTGTTTCATCAATATTATTTATGATATAACTATCCTATTTTTGTTTGTTATGTTGGCCCCAAAGACAGCAAGAAGTAGCCGTATTTGACGTAATAAGCGCCCCGCTTGTGAACAAGCTAGTGAACAATCCCAATTAGCACCCCTTCCGATTGATCAATGTACACAAGACTTATTTATTCGCGTATAATACGCACTCGTGTGTTATATGCACCCTTAATTATGGGCATTTAATTCTGGAAAAATATATCTGTCATACATTAACATTTCAGGCTGTCAGCATAAACCACGTAATTTATCTTTCAACTCTGTTTTTTTCCCACCAAAATAACATTCTCATAAGAGCCCCCTATTTCTAATTTTGAGAGCGCCCTGGGCTCTTATTACGTCAAATACGGTTATCTATATCTGAATGTAAAGTGTATCAAGCAACATGTTTGTATGGTCAACATTGAAGTATTTCCTTCCGTATCAGGCAAGACAAGGAGGTTCTTGACAGCGAAATCACTGAAGACGACCTCGTGAATGGGTTTAGAAAGGTCAGTTAAGAAACATGTGTTTGCATTCCCATTTCTCATTTCCACAAATTCTGTGTGGGTGACCCCGTCCTCAGGGGTCTGCTCTTTGCTTTGCAGAGTTCACCCCTTAGGTATGGGTGGCCCTGTCCTGAAGGTGGCGCTCTTTGCTTTGCAGCGCTCATCCCTTAGGTATGGGTGGCCCCGTCCTGAAGGTGGCGCTCTTTGCTTTGCAGAGCTCATCCCTTAGGTATGGGTGGCCCTGTCCTGAAGGTGGCGCTCTTTGCTTTGCAGAGTTCATCCCTTAGGTATGGGTGGCCCTGTCATCAATGATGCCTCATTTGCATCAGTATTAGAGATCTTAGCCAGCCATCTAATAGCGAGCATTTTGGTGACCAAATGCGGCTTAAATCTATGATTAGTGACCTAAATTTATCTACTTGCCACTTGGATACCTAGTAGTAAACATAACTGGTGACAATATCTGTTGGCTCCCAAAAACTTAGGGTTGCTCCTAAATTAGACATGTTAGTAGCAGCTTGGCTACCTAACAAGAAATGGAACTAAGAGGGTTATCGACTGAAAATGTCTGACATACTGTACTGTATTGGAGTTAAACCAGCTGCATACCCGTGAAGTACCAGGGTAGAATAGGCCTTCAGCAACCCATGCTTGCTGTAAAAGGCGACTATGCTTGTCGTAAGATGCGACTAACGGGATTGGGTGGTCAGACTGGGTTGATGCATGTCCATCATATCTCATTTGCATGGATTGATGCTCATGATGTCAATCACTGGATTGTCTGGGCAAGATTCGATTAATTACAGACCGCACGCACGCACACACACACCCCAATTTCATTATGAAAGATATTTCCCCCTTTATGAAAAGATCTTAGATTTGTTGATTGTATTTTTACATACCAATAATTTGTGTTTCTATTGTATGCAGGAATTGATTGATGCGGAGTTGCGTTTGAGAAATGGCGGCCTTGGCGGCATCCCAATGTTTGATGAGTGGGAGGCCAAGGTCAGCTCAGCAACAGATATCAAGGATCTGGTGAGTCGTTCATGTCCTGACTGTGACTCTAGCCACTCGTCCAAACTCCATGTCATGTCAAAATTGCTGTCTAGCCACTAGTTCGAACACATCTGTTATTCATTTCTGTCTTGTGAGCTCAAGGTAATGAAAGCCGATATCCAGTATTCGACGTAATAAGCGCCCCGCTCTAATAAGCGCCTACAGCAATATTTGCTAATATATTGGCTAGTGAACAATCCCAATTAGTACCCCTTCCGATTGATCAGTGTACACAATGTACACAAGAGTTACAAGAGTTTTTGTATCATTTCAGGCTGTCAGCAAAAACCAAGAAATTTACAATCTTTCAAACTCTGTTTTTTCTCTCACCAAACTTATGTTCTAATAAGAGCGCCCTATTTCTAATTTTGAGAGCACCCTGGATGCTTATTACGTCGAATACGGTATATGTCAGTATTAAAAACTGGTGAGGGTCTGTAATGGCAGAGTAACTGTGGTAATATTAAAGAATCAGTGTTCTTGGGACCCCCCAAATATTTAACTTGTAACATTAGGGTTATGACAAACAGCCATTGTTGTTCCTGTGTGATAAGGACCACTTGTTTTATACTTGATGTCAACTAACAACAGAACAAGTTTGGGCTGATAGATCTGAATGTTTTTAGCACAGACTGATTTACATGTTAGTGATCAGGTCTGCCTTGCAGTTTGCTGAATGTTTTATGAGCTACATTTTCTTAAAGAAGTCAAATTATTCATGAAATTGTTGTGTAAATGATGCTACCCCATGGACTTACAAACACATTGCTGTGTGTACCTGACCATCCCATAATGTATGTTGCTTTTTATGAAAGCTAATATCCAGGTTTTCATTTCAGGGTGCATGTTTGAAAGAAGTTCAGAAAAATGTAGCGGAAAAGTTTTTTAAAGGTTTCATGAAGCCTAGATACTACATGTACCTCACGCAAGTCAAAGAAATAAAGGAAGAAGAGGACAAAGGTCAGTGTTTGCATTTACAACGGCCCATGTGCAAAAATACACCGTGAAATATTCTGGCAAAAATACAAACCAACGTGCGTCCCCGGGAAGCATTCGAAATTCTGTTTCAATTTAATTAATGTTTACTTCACACTTAACTTATTTTTGTTGTGCAATATCTTGCAATATGTATCAAAATGCAGACCAAGTATTGCAATATACAGCCTTAATTGAGAGAGAAATTGAATGTGTCGTGTTATTTCAGCGGAAGATGAGGATGATGAAGATGTGATTGCCTCCAAGGCTGTGGTGGAATGGTTTGATGCCCTGGAGACCTGCCCCACGTTCTCCAGGCTGCACGTGTTGCTCGGCATGCTCGACTCGTGCATCAGGTGGGAGAAGTCTGCGGAAAATGCTGTAAGTCTGAACAAAGTACCCTGAAAATCAAGTGCACACTAATCTATAAACCTGGTAATAATTCTCTGCGCTTTGAGTGTGGTGTGTGGTATCTATACAGCATGAGGGGCGGTCGGGTAGCCTAGTGGTTAAAGCGTTCACTCATCACGCCGAAGACCCGGGTTCGATTCCCGACATGGGTACAATGTGTGAAGCCCATTTCTGGTGTCCCCCGCCGTGATATCGCTGGAATATTGCTAAAAGCGGCGTAAAACATACTCACTCACTCTATCCAGCATGCAAAAACGCCATGCAAATGACTATTACTTTTCTTAGATATGCATATTTATTTATTTTTCTTTATTGTTGTTTTTTATTCGCACTAAATATTATTGCTTCTTGAATCACATCAGTCATGAGTTCCTTTTGTGTGATTTCCTCCAGAAATGCAAGATCTGTCGTAAGAAGGGTAACGATGAGGCCGTCCTGCTGTGTGATGAGTGCAACCAGGCCTTCCACATGTACTGCCTGCGTCCCGCGCTCGTCTACATCCCCAAGGGAGACTGGTTCTGCCCGGCCTGTATAGTGAGTATACAAATTCAACCTTTCGCTGCAGGGGACAACACTTTTCAGTCTTATTAGACGAAGACTTTGTGTGTGATCATCTTCCCGAGGCAAGGGTGAAAGTCCAGTTTCCAGCAGATGTCTAGTTCATTACGCAGTTCTGATTGAACTATGGATAGACTCGATTGTCCAGCCAAAATGTAACTCAAGAATTCCAGCCTCATTCAGCAAGGGTGGAAACTGGACTTTTATAGCCAGTTAATGCCCTTGCGTCAGGAAGATGTTGTGTGATAGGCTAAACATTAAGTGGTAGAATGATATGCACCATCCAGTTGAACTGTCAGAAAAGAGATGGTTGATTAAATTTGGTAGGACTGCCGATTGCCCAGAGCGTAGTCCCCTGTTTAAGGAAGTGTGCCATTATAAGTGAGAGACCCATTAAGACACATTTTCAGATAAGCTTCAGGTTATTTTGGTACCCATGGGTTTGATTCTGATTGGATATTCAAAAATGGGGGCGGTATTTGACGCAAATATGCTGCTTATCTGTAGCTCTGCATTGAATCTATTGGTATTTGTGTGGATTTTTTTGTCTAGTTTTACTGAATGTAACTCTGTAAATGAATTTCGCAATAGGGTGGTATGCAATAGTTCAATCTAAAATTTGTTAACTACGCATTGGTAATACTTTTAAAGTGTATTTATGGTTTTAGTTGCATATTGGATCAGCTAGGATTTAATTTGTCTGTGTATTTCAGTTTTACACAAATACCCAGCTTATCTAGAGCCCTGCATTTTGTAAACATGAGTTAATGGCCGAATGCTTTTGTAACCAAAGAAAGAGAGGATCAGTATAGACTTTGGAGTCCTTATAGACAGATGGGGCGGTCGGGTAGCCTCGTAGTTAAAGCGTTTGCTTGTCACACCGAAGACCAAGCAGGTTCGATTCCCTACATGGGTACAATGTGTGAAGCCCATTTCTGCTGTCCCCTGCCGTGATATTGCTGGAATATTGCTAAAAGCGACATAAAGCCATACTCACTCACTCGCTCACTCACTTATAGACAGATATGCACAGTATTGTGAACTTATATGTTGTGTCCCCAGCCACAGTCCAAGAGACGACACAGTCGAGAGGTCAAGCGGTATAATGAAGATGCTAATTCAGATGATGTGAGTATACTTTTACATCGGAAAATATTTTGCTTGTTTGTTGTTTGGAAAACTGGATTATCGTAACAAGACCCAGATATGTCCATTTGTTTGAATCCACACCATATTGTCTTGACTATGTTTTGGGGGTTTGACTGTAGTCAGCTGGAAGGCAACAAGAAAGATAACAAGACCTTATCCTGACTCAAACTAATGCTACTCAGTTGACGCGACAATGAGAGAGTGGCAAGTTACTGGCTTGGTCACACGCTTCCAGTGCGGTGCTCAGCTCAAGGGTGCGTTTGGGTGAGATGTTTTTCTGTTCTCCGGGAACACAGCAGAGGAAGTTTCCACTCCCTTTCTAGAGTGAAAGGAAATAAGCATTTAGTATGAGTCAGGATAAGTATAAATGATATTTTTACTATTTACTCTATTTTTCTGTCACTACAATTTTTTTCTCAGACAAGAGAGAGTAATCTGGTTGTTTGGGATCCACAAAGTTATGTCTCAGGACATCTGCCGTGTCTAGTTAACAATTTCATATCAAATGGTCCATGCCTTATGATCCTACTGGTTTTCCACAAATAGGTTTTTTTGGAAAGTTTTTTTAAGCTTGGTAGCGATGAAATTAGGTGCTGTTGATGAAGCAGGGTGTTGTTGCTAGTGATGGTCGGCTGTTGATGAAGCGGGGTGTTGTTGCTGGTGATGGTCGGCTGGTGATGAAGCGGGGTGTTGTTGCTGGTGATGGTCGGCTGTTAATGAAGCGGGGTGTTGTTGCTGGTGATCGTTGGCTGTTAATGAAGCGGGGTGTTGTTGCAGGTGATGGTTGGCTGTTAATGAGCGGGGTGTTGTTGCTTGTGATTGTCTGCTGTTGATGAAGCAGGATCATGTTGCTGGTGATGAAGCAGGGTGTTATTGCTGGTGACGGTCGGCTGTTAATGAGCGGGGTGTTGTTGCTTGTGATTGTCTGCTGTTGATGAAGCAGGATCATGTTGCTGGTGATGAAGCAGGGTGTTATTGCTGGTGACGGTCGGCTGTTGATGAAGCGGGGTGTTGTTGCTGGTGATGGTTGGCTGTTGATGAAGCAGGGTGTTATTGCTGGTGACGGTCGGCTGTTGATGAAGCGGGGTGTTGTTGCTGGTGATGAAGCGGGGTGTTGTTGCTGGTGATGGTTGGCTGTTGATGAAGCAGGGTGTTATTGCTGGTGACGGTCGGCTGTTGATGAAGCGGGGTGTTGTTGCTGTTGATGAAGCGGGGTGTTATTGCTGGTGATGAAGCGGGGTGTTATTGCTGGTGATGAAGCGGGGTGTTGTTGCTGGTGATGAAGCGGGGTGTTATTGCTGGTGATGAAGCGGGGTGTTATTGCTGGTGATGAAGCGGGGTGTTATTGCTGGTGATGAAGCGGGGTGTTGTTGCTGGTGATGAAGCGGGGTGTTGTTGCTGGTGATGAAGCGGGGTGTTATTGCTGGTGATGAAGCGGGGTGTTGTTGCTGGTGATGAAGCGGGGTGTTGTTGCTGGTGATGAAGCGGGGTGTTATTGCTGGTGATGAAGCGGGGTGTTATTGCTGGTGACGGTCGGCTGTTGATGAAGCGGGGTGTTGTTGCTGGTGATGAAGCGGGGTGTTGTTGCTGGTGATGGTTGGCTGTTGATGAAGCAGGGTGTTGTTGCTGGTGATGGTCGGCTGTTGATGAAGCAGGGTGTTGTTGCAGGACCTAAGCGACAACGTTGATGAGAGGGAGCCCATCGAGCATGACCAGGAGTGCTATGAGTGCGCAGAAGAAGGAGGAGACCTTGTGGAGTGTGGAGATTGTCCTTCTGTCTACCATCTGGACTGCCACAACCCACCCCTCCGACATCTACCTAGGTACGTGTCCCGCTTCTTGGAAGCAGTAGGCAGTTCAAATATGTGGTAGTTTGACTAATCAAAGCTCCTGTTTATCTATCTGTAATGTTAAATCCAGACCCAGAATCAGAATCAGACCAAATTTGGGATTCATACCCACAATCCTAGATTCTGACCTTCCTGGTGATGGCTAATGTTTGCGCCTCAGACAACAGGGCGACCCAAGTTTGCTTGAACCTTGTACAATCAGAACATTTCCTGCTCATGTGATTGAGTATTATTTTTGTCTTGAAGCTCTAAGAAACAGTACACCTATTTTCTTCAATGCATATGATTTTGAGTTCTAGCTCTTATCATGGGTTTCCACTTTCAGAGGGTACTGGGAGTGTGGGAACTGTAAAAGCGGAGGCAGAAGTCGAAGGGGCAGAGGAAAATCTGCGCGGAAAAAAACTAGAGGTAAGACAAACTAAACACTTCATACCAAAGGGGGCGGTCGGGTAGCCTAGTGGTTAAAGCATTCGCTCGTCACACCAAAGACCTTGGTTCGATTCCTGACCTGGGCGCAATGTGTGAAGCCCATTTCTGGTGTCCCCCGCGATGATATTGCTGGAATATTGCTATAAGCCGCGTTAAACTGCTCACTCATACCCAAAAGATAGTACTTGTTTCCCTTCCTGGTGATCAGCATTAAGGAGATAAAACTTGGACAGTTGTTATGGCTTTGTCGATATGGACCCGTGAAGATTCCTGGGTAGAATAGGTCTTCAGCAACCCATACTTGCCGTAAAAGGCGACTATGCTTGTCGTAAAAGGCGACTAACGGGATCGGGTGGTCAGGTTCGATGACTTGGTTGATACATGTCATCGATCCCCATTGCGTAGATCAATGCTCATGATGTCAATCACTGGATCTGGTCCAGACTCGATTATTTTACAGACCGCTGTCATATAGCTGGAACATTCCTGAGTGCGGCGTTAAACAACAAACAAACAAAACTTTGTCGATAATCATATGACTTTTATTTCACTGATAACAGAACCAAGAAGGTTGAATATGATTTATTTCTTAGTTACCCATTATTGTATTGAATTCAGTGTGACCAAAATATTTAAAATGGCGCATCAACAAATATAGTAAGGGGTTTCCATGCACAGCTGTTTTCTTACCTGCGTCACCAGGTTTACTTTTTACTGCTAACTCACAATATGTCATCATCACAACCATTGAATCGCTGATTTGCTGCCATCTACTAAAGTAGTCGTTCATTCAAAAGTGTTAAGGTTTTGTATTTCCTCCCCAAACATTCTGATTACATGGACACATGAAGATCCGGGATGGAATAGGTCTTCAGCAACCCATGCTTGCCGTTCAAGGCGACTATGCTTATCGTAAGAGGCGAATAACGGGATCGGGTGGTCAGGCTCGCTGACTTGGTTGAAACATGTCAACGATCCCAGTTGCGTGGATCAATGCTCATGAGATCAATCACTGGATTGTCTGGTCCAGACTCGATTATTTACAGACCGCCTTCATATAGCTGGAATATTGCTGAGTGCGGCATTAAACAACAAACCAACCAACCACCATAAGATTTGAACTCGTTACCTCTTGCAGTTGTGTTATGTTTATGTTATGGCCCACTGTAATAGTCAGTACTTGCCAATGACCAATGCATGTGTATTTGGTTTGATGTTGAGTTACCACTGCTGTAAACCTATGTTCTTCCCAGCATCAAATGCAAAAGTGAAGTACAATCAGTCCTCGGAGGAAGAGGAGGAGGACGAGGAGGAGGAATCTGAGTCCGATGCTGAAACTCCACGTAAGACCAAGTCCAGTCGGAGAACGGCTTCGGCAAAGAAAGAAACCACGTCATCGGGTACACGGTCATCGTCACGGAAACGGGAACCTGTCCGTGAAACGCTAGACCAAAAGCCAATTTATTCTCGAAGACCACCATCTGAACTCTCTGTGAGTGTTTAAGTCTCCTCACACTTTGATAATCAGGGGTAAAGGTGGCTGTGCAGTGTTGCCTCCCTTGGCCACGCCAGAAACCTTTAGTCGTGGGTTCAAATCCCGCTTTGCTCAAAATATATTTCTAGGTTTGTCAGCACCGTGCCCGTGCTCGTGGGTTTCGCCGAAGTGGTAAACATTTGACACCTGCATCACTTCAGGCTCTCCTCCCACATTAAGCACACTGTGATTTTACTGGATAACTGTTAATATAGGGTTATTGAGCTGGCTTACTCTGTGTTTTGATTAATTTAATAGATATTTTGTCAAAAGAACAGGAATGTTGACTGCAATGTTCTGAAGTTCAGTTCTGTTAACTCGGGTTATCAAGGGGCAGTATTCGAACTTTTACTTGGTCTTGTCTCGGCTTCAATATTTCTGAATATGGTGCAAACCTGGTTTCTCCAACAGCTTGGTGTCTTTGTTTTAGATATGTGAGGAGATTCTAGACAAGGTGATGAAGCACAAGTCCTCATGGCCATTCCTGGAAGCTGTGGACAAGAAAGAGGTATGTCACAGCCTAACTTTATTCCCAAGTCATCAGTCCAATATGGACCGGAGTTATCTAGCAATCCATGGTTGTCGTAAGAGGCCAATAACGGGATCGGGTGGTCAGGCTCGCTGACTTGGTTAATGTCTTCGTATCCCAATTGCATGGATCGATGCTTGTGATGTCAATCACTGGATTGTCTGGTCCAGACTTGATTATTTACATACCGCCGTCATATAGCTGAAATATTGCTGAGTGCGGCGTTAAACAACAAACAAACAGACTTATGAAACCAGTTGGCTGCAATGTTTTTTTCACTTAGGACCCAAATGGCTCCCAGGGGAAATAGTTACACAAGATGGCTGCGGACACTGCAACCAAAGTTATTGTGCATTATCATCCATCTTCCGGAGGCAAGGGTGTTAACTGACTATAAAAGTCCAGTTACCACCATTGCCGAACTAGGCTGTAATTTCCAGGCTCGATTGTAGCGCCACCTCGATTATTTATAGACCGCCGTCATATGGCTGGAATACTGCTGAGTCCGGCGTTAAACAACTGACACTCACTCACTTACAATAACAGCTTGTGACTTTACATGCGTCCACCCGACAGGTTCCCGACTACTATGTGATAGTGAAGCACCCCATGGACTTCCACACAATGAAGAACAAACTGGCTCGCCTCAGCTACTCGTCCCCCGAGGAAGTCATCAAGGAGACGGCCCTTGTCTTCAGGAATGCTGCTCAGTACAACAAGGTAGGAAACTCACTCACTCACTCACTCACTCACTCACTCACTCACTCACTCACTCACTCACTCACTCACTCACTCACTCACTCACTCACTCACTCACTCACTCCATGTCATCGTATCCCAGGGGCGTGAATGGCCCGTTTCACCGAAGTGGTAAACCCTCATACTTTTACCACTCTGGGCTTTCCTCTCACATTAAGCTGACCCGCCGTGATATAACTGGAATAATGTTAAAAGTGGCTTAACCCAATTCACTCACACTCATAGTATCCCAATTGTGTGGATCGATGCTCATCACATCAATCACTGGATTGTCTGGTCCAGACTCGTTTATTTACAGACCGCTGGAATATAGCTAGAACATTGCTGATTGCGGCATTAAACAACAAACAAACACTCACTCACTCACTCACTCACTCACTCACTCACTCACTCACTCACTCTGTGTTGCAGGAGGACAGCGAGGTGTACCAGTGTATGCTGGAAGTGGAGAAGGTGTTCGTGGAAATACTCAGCAAAAAGTTGCCTTTCTATCACTACAGTCGTGACCCTGTTGCCAATGGTTACGATGACCATGGCTACAGCAATCGGAAACGCTCTCGACGATGAAGAGACGTCATCACACATGTACATCTTTCCCATCCTGGCTTCTCGTCAAGTAGTTATCTGTACATTGGGTGTAAATTAGCAAATTGTCATTTCAAAGTTGTTCAGTAATTAAGTTAACTTCATTGTTGTTTTTCTCATCTCAAAATGCTGACGAAAGAAAAATTATGTGAATATTTAGTTCTGTTGAAGAGAGTGTACATATCTTTTGGTGCAGAAATTTAGTGATTGTATACATGTTCAGTGTATTCACGTGGTAAACTTGAATTTAATTTGAATTTATTCTTCACTTTTTGACTGTTTAATGAAATCAGCTGATGAAGATTATCAACAAATCATTTCTTATTTTCAATCTTTCCCAAGATTGTTGAAATGGGACATTGAGCTAAATCATTTTTTTTTTCTTCAGGAAACAGTGCATGTATCTAATTGCATCAAAAAACACAAATTCATTTGGAAACAAAATTCCATTGTAAATACTCTATTTTAGTCGTGAGATAGTGTTTTCATGTTGTATTTGTAAACTGTACAGTGTTGAGTCGGAGACTGTCAAGTCCTATATTATTTTATGTAAAGTGTATAAATGTAGTCGTGATCACGATTTCAACCCCATCACTCTTAACGGCCATGCAGATGTGTGAGAAGGAATTTTAGGCATTTTACTCGAGACAGAATTATCCCATATTTTAGTTGTCAAATGCATGCGTTTCTTCGAACACCAGTCCCATTATCAGTTTAAGATATGAATGGATGATTACAACATGGTTAACTGTGAATCATGACATTGTGTTTTATTGTTAGTTAAATGCGAGGTTACTGTCATTGTAAAATCAGTAATAATTTGAGTAGATGCTGATCTCATTATAATAAGATCTTCGTGCTCGCTACTGCTACACAAGGATCTGAGGACATCGGATGATCCCATTGCAGCTAACGTCAGAACGACCTTTTCCAAACTTTGACCGACCAATGAAATGACTATCAAGAATTCCACACTAGCCAATTAGAAAGCATCTCTCACAAGCCTTAGTGTACTATTTTCAAACCGGCAACTTACAGATATTGATTCAAAATTTGAAAGCCAAACAAAAGAAAATGCTTAATTTTTTAGATGTCTGAGATTGTATAGCAATATTTACCACAGTTTAAGAAAATCTCATCCGTTTCAAGTGTTTATCCCATTGAAAAGAGAGATAGATAGTTTTGCTGGAATCAGTCATACAACCCCTGTCCTTCAGAATACCCTGTGTTAACCTTTTCACGGTTAACATGATTAAGAAACAAGATCTGATTCTAATAAGATTGTGTAGATACAAGAAGACCAGGCGTTACTTTAGTAACTTATTCAACCAGGAAACATGTTGACATTGCTTTGTTAATCTTTGAGAAAGATTTGCCCCAGGTGACTGGTGTTTAAATCTTGGCCTCCAGTTCCGTATGACAGTGAGGCGTTCCCTGTAAACCAAGTACCTGTATGAGTGTCTCTTACAACTTGAAGGCTAATTGGAATAAGATGACAGGTTCTCTGGCATTTTGCTGCTGACAGATGTTTTTTAGCCTTACGCCCATGGATTTGAACTATTTTGTTGATTGTAATGAAATGTCTGCCAGAGAAAGTCATCACTGACCTTTGTATGTGATCTCTTGTTATGTGACTTGTGTTTTATTAAATTGCAAAAAGCATGAATTTAATTAATTTCATTTAAAGAAGTTCATTTATGTGGGAGCAAAATTTACCCAAGGCTGGTTATATATAATTAACAGATTAAATGGATTTTATATCAATATCCAAGTTTACTTGTTTGAAGGTGTGGTGGTTCTGTTGAAACATTTGTCTTTTGACATTAATATTTAAAGAGTAAGAACATTTGTTATGTACAAATATTAAAGAGTAAGAAACTTTGTCACTAGTCATTCTGTTGCCTTCATCTAAGAGTATTATCTAGTTCCACAGTATTGACTATCCATGACATACACCTCAGGATGTTTCTGAAAATGTGTTGTGTTACATTGTAGACCAAACTTGACAGGTTGAGAGGAAATCACTGAAAGTGGCTTCGTCTCTGAAATATGTAGAGATTGATACAGATAATTGGCTTCAAGGTATTCAGCAAATGTCTAAAAATCCCAAATTGAATTTTTATAGAATTAATTTCAGGTTATTACAATAACTTTCTATAATTCAAAAAAAAATATTGAAGGAATTGAGGACTTTCAAAACATTCCCATTTTGGACAAACTAATAATGATCTTTCTCGTGAACTTATAAGAAGCAAGAAAAAGGAAAAGATGTAAGTAATGCTCAGACTGGCTGACTTGGTTGATGCATGTCATCATATCAGTGAATGAATTGATGTTCATGTCAATCACTGAATTACCGGGTCCAGACTTGATTATTTAGAGACTGGAATACCGCTGATTTTGGAGTTAAACTACAAGCAAACAAAAAAATCTAATCATTGTAGACATTGTTTTCTCAACAACTGAACCAAGCTAGTTCATGTGACACCACTTCATAATATCAACCACTGGTTGTCTGTCCAGAGTCGTTGTTTACAGACCACTGTGATGTAGCTGGAATGTTGCTGATGGCAGTGTCCCACAACTATTGAATCAGGCAGCATGGAGAAGCAAGGCTCTTACTGACCTTTGCTTGGCATACAGAAAAGATTGGTCAGCATAGCTTAATGTGACTACTGCTTGGATTGATGATACCGTAGGATTCAACAATGATACATCTTAATCAGGACCAGTAAATTTTATGATTTAGCTGGGTGTCCCTTGATCTTTTATACTTTTAACTAATGAAAAGACACAAAATGATGGAATATTAGCACAGACGAAGACTCCATGAAATTGTTCGATTGTCTTCAGAAATGGGGCAGCACCTCAGTAGGTGCTAAGAAACTGACACCTGGGCCCACTTGCACAAAACGATCTTAGCGCTAAGACTATCCTAAGCCTATGATAATGTATAGGAGTTAAGATGATCTTAGCGCTAAGATCGCTTTGTGCAAGTGGGCCCTGATGGGAGACTTGGCCCCCAGCAACCTATGCTGGTGGCAAGAGGGGACTTAATAGATCTGATGGTCAGACTTGGTGACTTGGTTGATGGCCTGTCAACGTACCCTACAGTATGGATCGTTTCTGGCAGTTTCAATCTCTGATTGTCTAGTTCAGACTTGATTATTTACAGGGTGCGGTCATATAGCTGGAATAGTGCTGAGTGCAGCGTTAAACAACAAACACGCACAAAGAAACTAAGACCTTTATACGTTAACCAGTTACAGACTAGTCTTTCTGTGATTGTTATGAAAGGGGCATCGTATTGTAACCTAAACAGTCCATTAGGGAAATACCCACATGCTTGAATGAGATTTTGTTGCATACACAAACTACAGCAGTAACATATAGGAAATGTTTTAGTCTGTTTAGTGGTTCATTAGAAAATGTATCTTATTTAATATCTAGGGTATGTACTTAAAAGTTGCAGAGCAGCTGATCAGAGTGTCTGACGAAGAGTAATTTATAACATGTCATCCTTTAAATTAAAGCTTAACTTGACATTGAGTGGTGTTCTGTGTTCTTTCTGTCAGCTGCCATGGAGATTCTATGGTGCCACACAGGACCCCTTCCACAAAGCGATCCCAGCGCTACAACTACCTAAGCCTATTTTGAAGTATGTGAGTTACGATCATCTCAGCGCGCTTTGTGGCACGAGGCCCTGGGCAATTTGAGATGAAATGCATCTAAGAGGGGGAATTGGGTGTCCAGATCCGGATCAAATGTGAACAAATTCATCATTCAGCTGAGTTGGTTTCAAGAGTGGCTCCTCCGCTCAAAATTCAGTTGAATTTAATAAACACTTTAGACAAACTTCAGTGACCGCTCTACCCTTATGATTCTTGGATTGTACTCATGATGTGAACCAAGCACCTGCACAATCTTGATCATGTAGACCTTTGAGATTCTCTGCTGAGAAAAATCTCATCGGAATTGGACACACTGCTTGTAAAATGTGGATTGTGTAATTCTAAAATGGCTTTTGAGTATATCACCAGTGATATCCATCTCTGCGAAGATGTCCTTGACAGCACAGACCGTTGTTCACATCACCAGCTTGGGTGCATTTACCAGACTGCTGTGATGAAACTCCAATTGCGCAGTCACATGTGATTTCAGACTTTTAGCCATCGTCTTAGTTAACGTCGTACTTCACCAAATGTCAAGAACAAACGCTGATCGGGGGTCGTTTGTACAGATACCCCAATAGGGTAGATGGATGCGCATGATGTCAATAACTGGATTGTCTGGCCCATACTCAATTATTAACAGACCATGTCGGTGGCATATTGCTGAGTGCAGCGTTAAACGACAAGCAGTAATGACTGTAGGCTTCTCGTGCTTCTGAGTGAGAATGGTTTTACGCCGCTTTTGGCAATATCAAGACAGGGGACACCAGAAATGGTCTTCACACATTGTACCCATGTCGAATCGAACCCGAATACAGTGATTGACATCATGAGCTTCGATCTATGCAATTGGGATACGATGACATGTATCAAAGTCAGCGGGCCTGACCATGTGCACCCTATCCCGTTAGTCGCCTTTTACGACAAGCATGGGTTGCTGAAGACCTATTTTATCAGTTAACAAAAATACAAAGATACTGTTAGGGGTTGATAAAAATCAGTAAGTACCTCCATACACTAAACGAAAGCAACACACGAATACCAGGTAACAGTTTAATCCACATGGTGCAAACAGTTTAAACAGATTCAATGCTGGCGTGCGCCATGTGTCATACTTCGCGGAAATAGATTTGCGTGCACATTGGCCCTGGCCTGCCAGAGCCTTTAACAATAATACACATGGTACAGACACACTGTAAACATGTCGAACACCAAACGAGGCGACACGTATTGGTATGATTGACGTAAACTCAGCGTAATTATTGAAGGTCACCTCGATATGTTGGATGTCGACCATGAACATATGCCAACAGGCGTCCATAGGTCTGAGTATGTTGACAATGTGATTAACAGTCGAAGAACATGTTGTTTATGCCTATGTCACACTGAGTGGATGCTTTTATGAAACTGAAAAATGGGCGACAGTTAAAACAATGAAAAGTGCAAGATTGTAGGGGATGGAAAAGCTACCCAAACGCACCCCTGAACGCAACCAGTGGTTTAGCCCGTGCATGTGCAGTACATGACAAGTAACAGTCAATGGGGGTTTTAAATAGTTCATTCCAGATGCAACTGAACATCACTTTTGGAAGTTGAAAATGCGACGTTTGTTGAATACGTTTATTTCTTATTATCTGCGTGACCGTCAATAAATAATGACACGGGGTATAATACCAAAACAAAAGATTACCTGAAGTCACCAATGTTTTGAGGAAAATTCCAAAGAGATACACCAAAAACCTGCTTTACAAGAATCGCAACAGTGAGGATTTGCATCGCCTCCATAGCGATCGGATGGCGATCTGGTAGCGACCGCACTCGGGAAACTTCGCCCCTTTCCGTAACCACAAAAGAGACAATTTCAGCAGAAACGGTCGATCGTGTTCAGAGGCAGCGCCGGAGCCTTACAAGAGTAGACCGTGATCGGGGCCGACGTATTCCGTTGAGTTTTCAACAGAAGCGTCTCTTGGCTTGCAGCTAAGGGGCGAATGTTAAGGGACAATCAGTTGGTACTGGCGATGAGGTGCAGGCACCTGGCTCGGGTAGACAGGTCACAGTTACACTGACGTTTCCTCAAACCGGAAGTTCCTGCTTCCGGGCCCTGTCTCTGTTAACTCCTTCAGAATGGCGTGGTCAAACTCAGCCAATTCCTGTGGCGTGTCCCATCTGTCGCCCTTCAGGGAGTACAGCCTGGATCCATCGAACACGTGTTCGTTGTCATGACGAAGATTTTGGTGAGTCCCTGAAACAAGGATGCCTCCTTTAATCACAGGTGTCATAGTCAGCCAGTGGAATACCGCATTTCCTCGATTAAACTTCCGGGCGTTTATTTATTATAGACGCTCTTTACCCCAAACGTTTAATCGCAAATATAATAATTGGGAGAATAAAAACTACCCGGCATTTATTCGAGTCCTGGCATTTATTCGAGACCCGGCGTTTATTCGAGACCTGGCTTTATTCGATATCCGTCGTTTAGTCGAGGAACTACAGTTGTTTACGTTTGCAGTACATGTACAATGAGAGTACCAGTGAATGAGTGGGTGAGTGTGGTTTTACGCCGCTTTTAACAATATTCCAGTTATATCACGGCGGGGGACAACAGATGTAGGCTTCACACATTGTTCCCATGTGGGGAATCAAACCCGGTCCTTCGGCGCGACGAGCGAATGCTGTAGCCACTAGGCTACCCGACCGCACCGATGAAAGTATCAGACGTGGGTCTCTTATAGTTAGTGAGTGAGTATGGTTGTACGCCGCTTTTAGCAATATTCCAGCAATATCGCAGCGTGGGCACCAGAAATGGGCTTCATACATTGTACCAATGTCGTGAATCGAACCCGGGTCTTCGGCTTGACGAGCGAACGCTTAAACCACTAGGCTACCCGACCGCCCCGGGTTTCTCAGGGTTCTTAGCCCTGTTAGTGTAGTGAGGGACTGCACACGAACACGTTTATCTAAATCAAGACGGGGATATTAAAAGCTTGGCTTGATATTCTGAACTGATATTCTAACTACGGGTTTTGTCTTCGTTGGAATAATTATGCGTTAAAATAATTATGCTTCTTTACTTAAAATTATATTAACAAGCAATAATTGTAGGAATTATGGCAAGATCGGAGCGACCATTTGCTATTCAAGATTGCCTCTGGATATACAAAATGAAAACAGTTGTTCGTCGTAAGTGGATGCTCTACACTGGGGGATTCAGAGTGGGGTGCAAGAGGTGGGGTGAAGGAGAAAAAAAAATGTTTCTGGATTATTAAATGGTTGTTTCTTTCGAGTGCACAGGCGGCAGGTTCTCGGACATGCGCACCTCCAATCCTGTAGGTCTGCAGGGTGGCGAACTCGGGGTTGGTGGAGCAGTTGGGCATGTACAGGGTGTGGTCGCAGTACAGGACGTCTGCCAGGCAGGACGCGTTACAGTCCCGGGACGACATCTGCAACATAAAGCGCTAATTACAGTCGGGGTATAGAAGCAGTAGCAGGAGTAGAAGTAGAAATGGGGGAAGTAGCAGCTGTGAATCAGTAGTAGTTGCAGAGGTAGTCGTGGTAGTTGCAGCAGCAGCAGTTGTAGTAGTGGCAGTATGTTATTTAACGCCGCAATCAGCAATATTCCAGCTATATGACGGCGGTCTGTAATTAATTGAGTCTGGACCAGACAATCCAGTGATTGACATCATGAGCATCGATCCACGCAATTGGGATCGATGACATGCATGAACCAAGTCAGCGAGCCTGACCACCCGACCCTGTTAGTCGTCTCTTACGACAAGCACAGTCGCCTTTTACGGCAAGCATGGGTTGCTGAAGATCTATTCTAACCCGGATCTTCACGGGTCTGTTAGTTTGGGGGTAGGGTATCAGTAGGTCGGTACACCACACCCTATGTTGTTCTTCCATCCCCACGGAGGTCAACTGGAGCCAGAGCAGAGCAAAAGATAAGCTTTTGGTTATTTTGGTATTTCACTCAGGGGTTTGATTCTGATTGGGTATCCACCAGTATTCAGGTTTTTTTAACCACCTGTTTCTTGACATTTGGGTATTTAACTTAAAATCTGTTTCGTAACAAGCCCTGTAAATCATTTATAACTATGTGTACAGTATACCCAGGGTTAGAAATTGGCACTAGTCCTATAGTCCTTGCCAAACTCCCCAATAGTAAAGCTATCCTAAGGACTAGTAGAATTTTGACATTTTTAAAGGTTCTGCTATATGCTATCATTATAAGGACTAGTGGACTGAAACTGTTAGTTTCTACCGCTGTATACCTGCGTATTCATTTTATTTCAATAGCGTATTTTTAGTTTTTGTTGCGTATTTGATACGCTAGGATCTGATTTGTCCGTATTTCAGTATTTACGCAAATACGCAGCTTATCTCGAGCTCTGCAGGGGTTCAACCAGCCATAAGTACGATTCAATGGATCAGCCGGTAACGAAGAGAGACACTCTCCAATACTCAGGGATCCACTCGACGAGATCCTTCTACCTGGGCGTGTCCCGTCACCTGCTGCAGTTCCCACGCGAGTTGTCTGTTCCTCTCTTCAACCTCCGCCAGGTGGAGCTGTTGTCGGCAGATCAGCAGGTGGAGCTCGTTAATCTGGAATGTTAATTTCTTCCGTCACTGAAATGCCTTCACCAGTCGTAAAACGTGTAAAATGAAGACCAACTTAGATGGGCCAGTGTTAAACCAGTTTCAAAATCGTTCGTCCATAAGGCGTGCCAGAAACCCATCACAGTTCTGGGTTTGAATCCCGATTCGCCCATCTTCCCGAGGCAAGATATTTAACTGACTTTAAAAGTCCAGTTTCCACCCTTGTCGAAATAGGCTGGAATTCCTGGGCTCGATCGTAGCGCCACCAGTGGGTATTACGAGTTACTTCCCTTCTAAGCCTCTCCTATGGACCAATCAAATTCCACCTCTCGTTTCAGTTGCATTTGCTTTAAACGAAATGGGGGCGCCCCGTCAGGACGATCTGATCGATGATCAAGCTCTATATTTTGAAAAAAACGGGTCTTACATCGCGAAATGCATCAAATCACGTGAGCACCGTGATTAAACACATGAAAAGATTTGGAAAATATCTGTTGACAACGAGTTGGCGGTGTACATGCTTTGCAAAACCTGCAATCGACCGAAATCTGCATGACAGTTTACGAACCGGATTTCGATTTCGTTGCGCGATTTTGATTGGACTATGCATAGACTCGTTAGTCCAGCCAAAATGTAACTCCATAATGCCAACCTAGTTTGGTGTGTGTGTGTGTGTACTTGTCCTGACTAACAACGATTGTATAGTTATCGCCCACTGAGATACGATGCCGCGGTTTAACATGAATACCCCACTCAGACACGTATACCAACTCTGAGCCGACCAGTCCTTGTTTTAAACCCCTTAATGCCGAGCGCCAGGCAGGGCAACAACAAGTACCATCTTTTAACGTCTTTTGGTATGACGCGGCAGGGGATGGATCCACTGCGCATTGACGTACCTAATTGGCAGTCTGAATGAGCTGGGTTACCTTGTTCTGTTTGGCGGAGTCAATGGCAATTGCTTTCTCTCGGTCGAACTGCACGTGCAACAGGGAGTCGAGAACTCTCCACAGTGCCCCCGTGTCTGAAATCGTGACACACGTCAATCAATCTGGGACCACATTTCAAAGTCTTCTCAAACAACGGGTGACTGGTCCACTGATGCGTTAGGGATCAACCTTTTGATATTCTGGCAATTTCATCAACATCAGATCTTATAGTTCTCGCCACCGCTTTTGTTTAAGATCTGATTTTAATTAGATTGATATTCTAGGGCAGGGACTGGGATTTTGTATGGAGATTAGATATTTTTTGAGCTGCTGTACCAAAACCAGATATTTGTTTCATTCACAATTACGAACCTGATTTTTTTTTAAATTTTGTATCGAGATTAGATATTTCTTCAGCTACCGCACCAATACCAGAAATTTGTTTCATTTAAAACTACGAACCTGATTTCTTTGTAAAGAAAAACACCTTGTAACAATGTAATTTTTGTGGCAGGCGATTTCCTTTTTTTTCAAGTCTGAAGCATAATTATTTTTTTCAAGAATTTTGGGGGACAATTTAATTTTTTCGATAAAATCTCTACCCCCGACCCTCAGAATATCAACTGGGCCCACTTGCACAAAGCGATCCTAGCGCTAAGATGATCGTAACTCCCATACTTTAACATAGGCTTACAATAGTCTTAGCGCTAAGATCACTTTGTACAAGTAGGCCCAGAGCTGTAATGGTAAGCGAAAGCTGTGCTAATACGCTTTTCTTCAAATGTTGTTCTACATGCGGTGGGGTTTCACCAAAGTCGTAGTGCTAAGATCACTTGGTGCAAGTGGGCCCTGGTCGGTCCCTTACAAAATTCGCCCAAGGAGTGGAGAGGCAGTTTCTTTGATATGGAAAAACAGTATCAAGTAAACTTAAATAAAAATCAGCAAATTGCGCCCTGTAGCCGCCTCGGGATCCGCTGGTCGTGGGTTTGAATCCCAGATTCACCTTGGACATAACCATCGATCTGTCAGCGTCACATCTGTATTCGTGGGTTTCACCAATGTTTTGAACTTCTTTAACCAGAGCTGCTTACTTACACTCTCTTACTTAAATAAGTGTTTTAATCAGTCCAACTGTAGGGTATTGGGGTGGGGGGGTGGGGTGGGGGGGGGGGGGGGGGGGGGGGGGTGCGGGGTCTTCTCAAGACGATTACAGTAACGATATTTGGCGACACGGGTTCGTTGCGTTTCTTTTTTACCTCTGGACTGCTCCGCTTCTCTCAAAACGTTCTTGAGGTAGTTGGAGTCGGCCCTGATGCTCTTCTTGACCGTCATCCATTCAAACTCCCTGTCCTCCAGGCACAGCTGTGGACAAACAGAGGACATGAGGACCAGGGCCCACTTGCACAAAGCGATCTTAGTGCTAAGATGATCTTAACTCCCATACTTTAACATAGGCTTACAATAGTCTTGGCGCTAAGATTGTTTCCTGCAAGTGGGCCCAGGGTGCCTTTTCGCGAAGCCTCTTAGGCTACGAGACGGTTTACGACCCTCCTAATAAAGGATCGTCTTACGATCATTTTTTAAGCCTCTTAACAACGTCGTACTGTCAATCTTAAACTAGGATGTCGCGAGAGTTCACGGCGTCGTATTTTACAAGCAACGGGACCGGAAAGTGAAAAGGCACCTGACAATGTGATCAGGGCCCCGTTCCACAAACTTAACCATAAGGTCGCTTTGTGGAACGGCGCCCATCTGATGATCAATAGGCCTCGTTATATCGCCAAGACAGTCCCCGATTACGGCTGGGACGGGTAACTCGGGGACCCGGGTCGGGTGGGTACTGAGTAGGACCCGGGTACCCATAGGACTGACTACCCGGACCCGTGGTTAGTCACGTGATATTTTGTGTAATGACTAAACTTATCTCGAAATCTACGGTTACACTACAAGTCATTAATGTTTGTTTTTCTTTCTGACTATGCAGCCATAACTGATTTAAGTCAACTTCAGTGTATGCATGACCAGATTGTTTAAAACATGTATCTAAATACGTTTTGCCAGGGCTATGCTATAAAGGTTCCCCATCGGACATTTTGAGACATCTCCTGAGACCTACAGTGGGTACCCGGGTAGAGAAGGGTAATAGGGGGCGGGTACCCGGGTAGTAAATTTTGACTCGTCCCTGCCCTGTTCCCGATCCACAAAATTACAAGGTAAGCCTGGGCGGAAATCAATATACTATTCAGTTCTGTTATCATGAAATGGCACCCTGGTGGGTGGGGTCAATGGGGACGAGCTTACAATCAACTTTGACACTTACAGTCAACCACGCTGTTATCATTCAACCATCCATACAACCAGCATGCGTGTGTGAAAATACGAGCGCCAGGCAAGGTAACAAGAAGTACCATCCTTATCGTCTTTTGGTATGACGCGGCCGGGTATCGAACCCCACACCTTCTCTTTCCTGGCGGACGTACTATCACTAGACCACGGAGGCGGTCGTATGTGTACGTCAGTGCTGATGTGTCCCATGTGATTTATAGTAAAGGTGGGAGTTTCATTTTGTTATGGGTGAAAGCAAATACGTATGTGTGTAAAAGGATGATTAATATCCTACACATGTACCAACCTCTATGATTTCTAATTGCGGTTATATCATATCATTCTTGCATATTTCCCACTGGACTCAAGTAAAGAAATATAGAACAGAACTGAATCGAGTACGGTGATCCAGTGATTGACATCATGAGCATCGAGCTGCAAAAATGGGATACGATGACATGCATCAACCCTGTCAGCGATCCAGTTAGTCGCCTCTTAAAAGCATACTCGTAGTCGCCACTTACGATAAGCAATGGTTCCTGAAGACCTACTCAACCGGATCTTCACGGGTACATATATACATACATACATACATACATACATGCAAGTGCAGTGCAGCATCATATATGATTCACGCAAGCTTGCGGTTATACATCGGTTGATTAACTGCACAAAATACCGTACGATCGAGTATGATTGTATTTTGATGATTTTATTTCAAGGCTGCTTCCGCCAATTTACGTGTGTGTCTGTGTGTGAAAAGGGAATCCCCAATGCACAGGAACTCGTTATTGGTCAGCAAATATATACTATATACACATACATATACAGGATTAGAAACTAACAGTTTTCGTCCACTAGTCCTTATAATGCTAACATATTGCAAAACCCTTAAAAAGGGCTAATTTCTACTAGTCCTTATGATACCTTTACCACTGGGCAGTTTGGCAAGGACTATTGGACTAGTGCCAATTTCTAACCCTGATATAGGGGGTATATAGTTTTATTTACTGACCAATACGAGTACCTGTGTCCCAATGCTACACAGTTCTTATATTAATATCCCGCTACTCCACAATTTACATGTCATTGAATCAAATATGCACTCATTAAAACACACTGTATGAGAGAACGATTAAGCCTTTTACACCAACACATAAGCCCTAATCAGAGACCATATAATAGATTATATGGTCTCTGCCCTAATCTATACCAGATGTAGAAGTATGTGATCAATTTTCAATGTGATTCGAAGTAGTCCATTTCTCATTTTTTAAATATATATTAAGGGAATATATAACTATTTTCTCAGTTCCTAAGTCGCACAAGGTAAGTGACACCATTACATCATTCATGGAATAAACTACATGTATGTTGAGTTGCCAAGAGCGGTGACGAAAACTCGAGAATCTTCGAAGAGTTACCTCCCTTACAGGGATTCCCTCTTAAGCTGTGACGTCACATTCTAGAGGTTTCCGGAAGAGACGAGACAGTTGTACACAAATCCACGCTGGTGTGGAAGTATGGAGAAGGTAAGGGGACTGGTATATATACAGGCGGTCTGTCAGACCACAGCCATACACCAGGCTGGAAGCGTACACTACTGTATACTACCGATACACAGCGAAGCAGAGAGGGAGACTACACACTTTCTGTCTGTCAGATACACTGAAGTGACTTAGTTCAAGAAGCGATTATTGAAGTTTGTTGTTTTGAAGAGAATGGCGCCTAAAGGAAAAGCTCCCGCCATTGGCATAGACCTGGGAACCACCTACTCTTGTGTTGGTGTGTTCCAGAATGGAAAGGTGGAGATTATCGCCAACGACCAGGGCAACAGAACGACCCCCAGCTACGTGGCCTTCACTGACACAGAGCGTCTGCTCGGAGATGCCGCTAAAAACCAGGTGGCGCTGAACCCACAGAACACTGTGTTTGACGCCAAGAGACTAATCGGCAGACAATTTGAGGACAGCACTGTCCAAAACGACATGAAACACTGGCCGTTCCGCGTTGTCAACAGTTCAGGGAGTAAGCCCAAACTACAAGTGGAGTACAAGGGAGAAAAGAAGACGTTTGCGCCTGAGGAAATCAGCTCCATGGTGCTGAGCAAGATGAAGGAGACAGCTGAGGCGTACCTTGGACAGCAGGTGACTGATGCAGTGATAACAGTGCCTGCATACTTCAACGACTCTCAGAGGCAGGCGACCAAGGATGCGGGGGCCATTGCAGGGCTGAAAGTATTGAGAATCATCAACGAGCCTACTGCAGCTGCCCTGGCCTATGGCCTGGACAAGAACTTGAAGGGGGAGAGGAATGTGCTCATATTTGATTTGGGAGGTGGCACATTTGACGTGTCTGTGCTGACCATAGACGAGGGCTCCATGTTTGAGGTGAGGTCAACTGCGGGGGATACTCATCTGGGAGGGGAGGACTTTGACAACCGAATGGTGGACCATTTCCTTCAGGAGTTCAAGAGAAAGTTCAGGAAGGACATCAGCAACAACGCACGTGCCATGAGACGTCTGCGCACTGCATGTGAACGTGCCAAGAGAACTCTGTCCAGCAGCACGGAGGCCGGTATAGAAATTGACTCCCTGCATGAGGGAGTGGACTTTTACTCCAAAATTAGCAGGGCACGATTTGAGGAGCTGTGTTCCGATCTGTTCCGCTCAACTTTGGAACCAGTGGAGAAAGCTCTGAGAGATGCTAAACTGGACAAGTCTCGCATCCACGATGTGGTGTTGGTGGGAGGCTCCACACGAATCCCCAAGATTCAGAAGCTGCTGCAGAATTTCATGAATGGCAAAGATCTGAACAAGTCCATCAACCCCGATGAAGCTGTGGCTTACGGAGCTGCAGTGCAGGCCGCCGTGCTGAGTGGGGACACGAGCGACGCCATCAAGGATGTTCTGCTGGTGGACGTTGCGCCGCTGTCCTTGGGTATCGAGACTGCTGGAGGTGTGATGACCAAGTTGATTGATCGGAACACAAGAATCCCCACCAAGGCAAACCAGACCTTCACAACCTACTCCGACAACCAGCCAGGGGTCAGCATCCAGGTGTTTGAAGGGGAGAGGGCTCTCACAAAAGACAACAACATTCTGGGCAAGTTTGAGCTCACAGGTATTCCCCCAGCCCCCAGAGGTGTGCCTCAGATTGAGGTGACATTTGACATTGATGCTAATGGCATCCTGAAAGTGTCTGCAGTTGACAAAAGCACTGGCAAGTCCAACAACGTCACCATCAGTAATGACAAAGGTCGTCTGAGCAAGGCCGACATTGACAGAATGGTGTCTGAAGCTGAGAAGTACAAGGAAGAGGATGAGAAACACAAGGAGAGAATCGCTGCCAGGAACCGCCTGGAGAACTACGTGTTCAGTGTGAGGGCCAGTGTGGACGAGATGGGCAGCAAGATGGAGGATGTGGACAAGCAGACAATAAGCAAAGCTTGTGAGGAGACGCTGCGGTGGCTGGACAACAACTCCCTGGCGGAGAAGGAGGAGTTTGAGCAGCAGTACAAGCAGCTTGAGAGACTCTGCTCCCCGGTCATGTCCAAACTCCACAGTCAGGGACGTCCGCAGCAGCAGGGCGGGGCCGGCAGAGGGCCCAGTGTGGAGGAGATGGACTAGACACATTCATTCAGGACTGACCTAAACAGTATTAGAATAACACGTGTGTAATGTTGTATGAATGAATGTTGGTGGTTAAATGTTACAGATCTGTTTATATTGATTCAGCACACTCTACATGCTGATCATGACACAGTATGATGTTTATATTTTTCAAACTGTTTTGAATAAATATTGAAAAGCATTTGATTGTGTTTTTTTATGTTTCAATATGCAACCTGTAAGTTGTTTGGGCTATCAGTTGTTTACTGTCATTTTTTCTGTTTGTCATGAAAAGGAAAGAGATTGATCCACTTCTTGGAAAGGCTTCTGTCAACTGGTTGATATATTTGCAACTGAGGATGAATTAAGCTCTATTAAATTCATGTTTATCGGTCAAACATGTTTCCAGTTACAGAGTTGCATCCCTTAGTTGTGCTAGGATGGTGGGTTCAAAACCCATATCCACCCCAATTATGATCCTTGGTTTGTCAGCACTGCATCTATGCCATTGGGTTTCACCAGAGTGATGGGGACATGGGTGGCCCAGTCGTCTAAGGCGCCGCGATTCGCTGTTCAGAGTTGCGTCCCTTGGGCACGCCAGAAACCTATGATTGTGGGTTCGAATCCCAGTTCGCCCCGATTATGTTTCTAGGTTTATCAGCTCGTGCTCGTGGGTTTCACCTAAGTGATAAACTTTCAGATCTGCATCACTTCGAGCTTTCCTCCCACATCAAGCTGACACGCCGCGATGTAACTGGAATACTGTTAAAAGCGGCGTTCAACCCAACTCACTCACTCACTCACTCACCAGAGTGATTATCATGTGACCTGTTGTCATTTATGGTTTCCTGTCCTTTCAGCAGACATGGTGTGACACAACCGATACATATTGTTCAAAGCAGCATTAAAAAACACTCACCTTCCTAATGAGTAAGTCTAGTTTTACATCACTATTAGTAGTATTCCATCAATATCATGGCGGGGGACACCAGAAATGGGCTTCACGTGCTGTACCCTATGGGAAATGGAACCCAGGCAACGAGGTTTAATTGCCTTAATCACGAGACTACCCCACCAGCCGCTCACCTTCGTAGCATGTGTGAGGAAGTATGGTTCTACACCAATTTTAGGGTTCTACACCAATTATTCCTGACATATTGCACATTCCTCTTCATACATTGCACCAGTGTGGGGAATCAAACATGGGTGATCAGCTTGAGAAGCAAACTGTTTCACCTCCAGGCTGTCCCACCCCTTGTACGTGTCCTCTAGGCTGTCCCACCCCTTGTACGTGTCCTCTAGACTGTCCCACCCCTTGTACGTGTCCTCTAGGCTGTCCCACCCATTGTATGTGTCCTCTAGACTGTCCCACTCCTTGTACGTATCCTCTAGGCTGCCCCACCCATTGTACGTATCCTCTAGACTGTCCCACTCCTTGTACGTATCCTCTAGACTGTCCCACCCATTGTATGTGTCCTCTAGACTGTCCCACCCCTTGTACGTATCCTCTAGGCTGCCCCATCCCTTGTACATGTCCTCTAGACTGTCCCACCCATTGTATGTGTCCTCTAGGCTGCCCCACCCCTTGTACGTGTCCTCTAGGCTGTCCCACCCCTTGTACATGTCCTTGAGGCTGTCCCACCCATTGTATGTGTCCTCTAGGCTGTCCCACTCCTTGAACGTGTCCTCTAGGATGTCCCACCCCTTGTACGTGTCCTCTAGGCTGTCCCACCCCTTGTATGTATCCTCTAGGCTGTCCCACCCTTTGTACCTATCCTCTACTCTAGGCTGTCCCACCCCTTGTACGTATCCTCTAGACTGTCCCACCCCTTGTACCTATCCTCTAGACTGTCCCACCCCTTATACGTGTCCTCTAGGCTGTCCCACCCCTTGTACGTATCCTCTAGGCTGTCCCACATCTTGTACGTATCCTCTACTCTAAGCTGTCCCACCGCTTGTATGTATCCTCTAGACTGTCCCACCCCTTGTACATATCCTCTAGACTGTCCCACCCCTTGTACGTATCCTCTAGGCTGCCCCACCCCTTGTACCTATCCTCTACTCTAGGCTGTCCCACCCCTTGTACGTGTCCTCTAGGCTGTCCCACCCCTTGTACGTATCCTCTAGGCTGTCGCACCCTTGTACGTATCCTCTAGACTGTCCCACCCCTTGTACATATCCTCTAGACTGTCCCACCCCTTGTACGTATCCTCTAGGCTGCCCCACCCCTTGTACCTATCCTCTACTCTAGGCTGTCCCACCCCTTGTACGTGTCCTCTAGGCTGTCCCACCCCTTGTACGTGTCCTCTAGGCTGTCCCACCCCTTGTACGTGTCCTCTAGGCTGTCCCACCCCTTGTACGTATCCTCTACTCTAGGCTGTCCCACCCCTTGTACGTATCCTCTAGGCTGTCCCACCCCTTGTACGTATCCTCTACTCTAGGCTGTCCCACCCCTTGTACGTATCCTCAAGGCTGTCCCACCCCTTGTACGTATCCTCTACTCTAGGCTGTCCCACCCCTTGTACGTATCCTCTAGACTGTCCCACCCCTTGTACCTATCCTCTAGACTGTCCCGACCCTTGTACGTGTCCTCTAGACTGTCCCACCCCTTGTAGGTATCCTCTAGGCTGTCCCACATCTTGTACGTATCCTCTACTCTAGGCTGCCCCACCCCTTGTACGTGTCCTCTAGGCTGTCCCACCCCTTGTACGTATCCTCTAGGCTGTCCCACCCCTTGTATGTGTCCTCTACTCTAGGCTGTCCCACCCCTTGTATGTATCCTCTAGGCTGTCCCACCCTTGTACGTATCCTCTACTCTAGGCTGTCCCACCCCTTGTACGTATCCTCTAGACTGTCCCACCCCTTGTACATATCCTCTAGACTGTCCCACCCTTGTACTTATCCTCTAGACTGTTCCACCCCTTGTACATATCCTCTAGACTGTCCCACCCTTGTACGTATCCTCTACTCTAGGCTGTCCCACCCCTTGTATGTATCCTCTAGGCTGTCCCACCCCTTGTATGTATCCTCTACTCTAGGCTGTCCCACCCCTTGTACGTATCCTCTAGGCTGTCCCACCCTTGTACGTATCCTCTACTCTAGGCTGTCCCACCCCTTGTACGTATCCTCTAGGCTGTCCCACCCCTTGTACGTATCCTCTAGACTGTCCCGACCCTTGTACGTATCCTCTAGGCTGTCCCACCCCTTGTACGTATCCTCTAGACTGTCCCACCCTTGTACGTATCCTCTAGACTGTCCCACCCCTTGTACGTATCCTCTAGACTGTCCCACCCTTGTACGTATCCTCTAGACTGTCCCACCCCTTGTACGTATCCTCTAGGCTGCCCCATGCCTTGTACATATCCTCTAGACTGCCCCATGCCTTGTACGTATCCTCAAGACTGCCCCATGCCTTGTACGTATCCTCTAGACTGTCCCACCCTTGTACGTATCCTCTAGGCTGTCCCACCCCTTGTACGTATCCTATAGGCTGTCCCACCCCTTGTACGTATCCTCTAGGCTGTCCCACCCCTTGTACGTATCCTCTAGACTGTCCCACCCCTTGTACGTGTCCTCTAGGCTGTCCCACCCCTTGTACGTGTCCTCTAGGCTGTCCCACCCCTTGTACCTATCCTCTAGGCTGCCCCATGCCTTGTACGTGTCCTCTAGACTGTCCCGACCCTTGTACGTATCCTCTAGACTGCCCCACCCCTTGTACGTATCCTCTAGACTGCCCCACCCCTTGTACGTATCCTCTAGACTGTCCCACCCATTGTAGTATGCTGTAAGAGGTGAGCTAGAATCAAGGGGGACCAGGTTGCTGCTGAAAATAGAGTGCTCAAATGTCGGACTGCTGATGTGCCCTGGCTGGTTAATTCATACTTACAGGCTGGTGAGATTTTGTCATTTGCCTATAAACTGTGGCAACATTTTCTACAAACTACATAAATCTAAGAAACATTGACTTTTGATTGATTACTGCAAGGGGCAAACATCTAAGAATGGCAACAAACCTCTGACTGAAGTAGATACTGAAAGAGGTTTCTTCAAAAAAAGGAATACCCAGTCCTAAGAACAATCAGCAGTCATCTTTTCTATTGCCACTAACGTGGCTATATCCCCTGCCCCTGTTGCAGAATTTATGACATAATTAAATCTAAACAAACCGTCACCTTTTTTAACTGAGGTGGAACTTGTCATGGAAATTGTAAAAAAAAAGAAGAGTTTGGAACCTAAGTCCATCTTGCTGCCATGGAAATGTAAAAAATAAAAATTTCTAAAATTTCTAAATAGCAAAAGGCACCAGTTCAGAATGTACCTGACAGACCTGCAAATTTCATGAACAAATATTGAACGGTTTATGAGTTATGCTCCGGAAACGAACCCTACCGTCACAGAACCTAGGTCCATCTTGTTGCCATGGAAACGTTAAAAAGAAAAATTTCTAAAATTTCTAAATAGCAGACGGCACCAGTTCAGCATGTACTTTACATACCTGCAAAGTTTGATGAAAAAATATTGAACGGTTTATGAGTTATGCTCCGGAAACGAAACGTGACGGACGGACGGACGGACGGAGCCCGTTTCTATATCCCCCGCCAACTTGGCCGGGGGATAATTACCAAAGAAACATGAACCATTTTCATTTCGAACAACCAGGGAAAACAGTTCGGCCTTAAAGCAGTCTGCCAGCAAATAGTGTATGGTAAAGTGATATACAAACGTACAGTGTTGGTGTGGTCCAAGGGAGATAATCCACAAGGTAATGCGCTGGGGAAGGTTTGTAACTTTGTCACGTCATTCATGTCCCGCCCATAAACAAAACGAAGTCGACACTACGATAATTCAGCTTCACTTTCTATCGTAAATATCTCTGCCCCAAAAGGGGCGGAGATGTTAGACCATACTTTTCACGTCCCGCTCATTTTTGGTGTCCTTTTTGCTCAGGAATGCCCCCTGACGGATTTCGGAACGCTAGCGCTTGCGCGCTTATATATAAGCAAAGCTGCCTTACGAAAACGCCCGAAGTGGGGACCCAAATATTGCAGTTGACCCTAATCAGGAAAAGGCGAAGCAGCAGCTCTTCTTATTTCCAATATCCCGAATTGCATGGATCTTTTGGAAATATCTACGTAAGACATCGATATCCCTTTGATGAATGTCTAGTAGTGAGTGAGTGAAAATTACAATCACTGATGTCCAAGATGCGGCTGATTCTGGGTCGCATCGTATATGATGCAAAGATCGAAGCAGAGGAATCAATGATGGGATACAGTCACATCCCTATCGCCTCGTGACTATAACAACACATGTAATGAGATACCCCATATCAGCTTCTGTATACCATGTGAGTTTGTCACTTTGCACTTTATACGAATTTTTGAATAGCCGTTTTAAATGGAAATATATACATCAGACTTTACTTTTTGTCCAGGTGTAAAGATATATTTTGCCGAGGATCGAGCAGGTTGTTAAACGTGTCGAGCCAACGCACTAACCTGTTGTGCACTTAATTATGAAACACGTATTTACCCTATTTGGCAACATGGGGCGGGGCTCCTCTGTTTATACTCCCTTCAAAAACTGAGGGGCGGTCGGGTAGCCTAGTGGTTAAAGCGTTCGCTCGTCACGCCGAAGACCCGGGTTCGATTCCCGACATGGGTACAATGTGTGAAGCCCATTTCTGGTGTCCCCCGCCGTGATATTGCTGGAATATTGCTAAAAGCGGCGTAAAACCATACTCACTCACTCACTCACTCAAAAACTGAGGTCGCGTTTCAGATTATTACACTTATAGAGCGCCAAGATAAGACCCGGGTTAGAATAGGTCTCCAGCAATCTATGCTTGTTGTAGGAGGCGACCCTGTTGCCCTGGGTGCCGTGATACGAAATAACCTTAGCGTTACGACTGTCGTAAGTCTTTGTTAAGGTATGGGAGCTACGACCAACGTAGCGCTAAGATCTCTTCGTACAAAGGCATCCTGGTTCGCCCTCCAACTGCACGTGACAAGCACGTGACTCACCTCCAGGGCACGCCGCTCGTGCTTCAGTTTCAGGATGAGGTCCTTCTGCTGCTTGGCGCGCTTCCCAGTGATAACATGGTCTTCCTCTCGCCTTTCGGCTTCATTCAGCAACTCTGGATATATATAGAAATGGAGTAAGTGAGTTGGTTTAACACCGGCACTTCGAGCAGTTTTTCATTTTTACGAAGGGATGTCGGTTTGGATGTTTTGAGTAGAAGAAAACCCTATGTGACCTCAGTCGGCTTTTATCGCATTTTTATGACACCTGGCAAACCAAGGATTACTACGCGGCAGTGTCGATCTCCGGTTCGAACCACCAACATAAGTTGATCCTGTATGACGGGCATAGCCAATAAAAGCGTGGTCGTTATGATGGTGTCACGCGTACCTTTATCTTATGTGGACTTTTATAAGATAGCTACGCGATAAATCGCAAAGAACAATGAAGAACGAAGTGTGGTTTATGTCACGATAAGACATTGTTCTAACACGACGTCATTTCTGAAGATTCGAACAGGCGCTCGCAACTTGATGACGTCGTAAATTGGACGTCTTTTAAAGAGGGAAGTGACTAGTGAGTTGTTCCTCATAGATGTAGCTAGGCAACGTAGATAAACGCATTGGCCAAACGTTTGCACCCAAAAGTGGGAGAGATGTGACAATCGGTCCTTGGAGGTAGGGTACAGAAAAGAAAAGACCAAATTTAATCCCCCTGTTCATAAATTGGACTTGTCTGACATTGTTGCGGTCGGATTTTATTCAGCAGCGTTAGAAAGTGGCACTAGTCCTGTAGTCCTTGCCAAACTGCCCAATAGTTAAGGTATCATAAGGACTAGTAGAAATTTGCCCTTTTAACAGTGGGAGGAAAGCCCGAAGTGATGCAGGTCTCGGACGTTTACCACTTCGGTGAAACCCAGGAGCACGGGTATGGTGCTGACAAACCTAGAAACATAATCGGGGAGAACCGGGATTCGAACCCACAATCATAGGTTTCTGGCGTGCCCAAGGGACGCAACTCGCGGCGCCTTAGACGACTGGGCCACCCGTGCCCACTTGCCCTTTAGAAGGCTTTTGCTACTTGTTATCATTATAAGGACTAGTGGACTTAAAATGTTAGTTTCCTCCCCTGTTCAGGGAGTCATAATTCCCTAAATACGGGTACTTTTTACTAAAATCCTTAAAGGGTCTATACATAATGTTGATATCTAATATAAAAAATTAACGACTCGTGGTCGTTTATTTTGTAAATATAGACCCTACGCGTAAAGACCTTAAACGATGGTATTAATCGTTTCGAAGGTGTGTTAGTTAACCGTGTTATAGTCAGCTACGCGGATTCATAAAGTTTCCACATCGGTTTTTTTATTCATACCTCAATGAACCGAATAAAATAGTCACTCCTAAAATGGTTTATTTAGAGCTAACAAAACGTCAAGTGTGTTATTCGCCACAGTGGCATAGGTACAGTTGTGTGGAGACCATTTGAGGTGCCTCTCGACCAGATTTGGCTGGAGTATTGCCGAATGCGGCATAAAACCTCATTCACTCACTTTAACCGATCATCTTACACACACACACACATATATATATATATATATATAAACCAACACCATTAAGTGTGTGAGTGAGTGAGTTGGGTTTAACGCCGCTTTTAACAGTATTCCAGTTATATCACGGCGTGCCAGCTTAATGTGGGAGGAAAGCTCGAAGTGATGCAGGTCTAAGACGTTTACCACTTCGGTGAAACCCACGAGCACGGGTATGGTGCTGACAAACCTAGAAACATAATCGGGGCGAACCGGGATTCGACACATTCGAACCCACAATCATAGGTTTCTGGCGTGCCCAAGGGACGCAACTCTGCACAGCGAATCGCGGCGCCTAAGACGACTGGGCCACCCGTGCCCCCCAACACCATTAAGGAACGGTAGGGTGTCTATATAAGACTCGTTGGATACTGGTAGAGCGAATACTTTGCCGGCCCATATTTAAGAACTGCCAAAGGAATTTTAATCTGTTCAAGCATTCCTACTTGATACAAAATATGCTGTATGACAGGCATCTGTGAGCTGTGTTAGGAGGTTTATGGGGGTTTCCGTCGTGATGTTGGATACCAAATGTTTTTGTTGTGTTTGTTGTCGAACACCGCACTCAGCAATATCCCTGCTATATGACGGAGGTCTGTAAATAATCGAGTCTGGGCTAGACAACCCAGTGATTGACATCATGAGCATCAATCCATGCAATTGGGATACGATGACATGTATCAACCAAGTCACCCAGTCTGACCACCCGATCCCGTTAGTCGCCTCTTACGACAAGCATGGGTTGCTGAAGACCTTTTCTACTCCGGAATTTCACGGGTCGGAAACCAAATGCAGTGACCGGCTAAGTACGTCTCCCCTTTAACACACATCAGACTGCAATGGGACCGATCGAAGGTGGTGGCTGTGGTGGTTTTACTAATAAAAGGTCATTAATAAAACAATGATTCTCATTTTTGGTGTCCTGAACAGATGTGCTGTGTTTCAGAGAAATAATAACAGCCTTCCCCACCCCACAAACCCAGAATATTGAATAATCGGTCCCCAAATGGTCTAAAAATAATTCCGACCTTCAAGGTTTTTCTTGTGAATTGTCCATTTCATATTGACGCCTTGTAGCAAGTCTAGTACATCTTGAAAGTCCTGTTCAAACTCGCTCTGCTTAACATCATCCTTCAAACTGCCCGTTTCTGGTGGGTTGTCGGAGTCTGTTTGTGTATCAGAAGTTACTGAGGTTTCTGCTGCCGTCTTCAGAAGACCCACCGCGTCTTCAACGTGAGCAAGAACACAGTTCAGTTTGATAAGGTTCTCCTCTAGAGCCACCATATGGGCTTCGGCATCTTTTATCGGATCCGTGAGGGGGGCGGGCGAACAGGGGGAGGAATTATGGGGGGACGTGTCCCCAGGGCTCTCTGGGAAACAGCCGAGACACGTCAAACCTGTCGTCTGGTCCTTGCTAAATGACGAAGTGTCGTTTGCCTGCAGTTTGAGTGGACTCAGTGACGGACCCAAATTCCGGTTCACGTATTTCGGAGTGGTTGGGTATGTTTTCTTGTCCTGGCGTGGCACTGTGGGTGTTACTGCGGGAAATCTTACGGTTTTCTCGGGGAGGGTACCTTCACTAACGGTGCGACGGATGGTACTGTCATCGTTAGAAGCAGACTGTAAGGTATCACCCGCATCCGTAATCTCCGTTATTGTGATCGTTGGAAAACGCTCCTCAGAACACTGATGCCTAATGTGCAGGCTCGCGTCAATGTCACTGCTGGTCGGGGTGCACATCTCGTCCTGAAAATGTGGATTCGTGTTTTGGTTGCCTTCCTCGTCTTCCTGTCGGAAGGCGTCAGCAACAATTCCCGTAACCAAAGCGTCTGTCAAATCTTCATCGTCTGAACTATATGCGTCTTCATATACATAAACGTAATGATCATCGCACGCCATCTTGTACCAAGTTATGTGCGAATGTCGTTGACGTCACGGTTATAAAAAGGTGTGATGTCACGACAGTGACGTCATAAGAGACGCACATTATTGACGTCATACACATTTTTTGTTTACGTTGCGCACACGCTGTCTCACAGCCGGAGTGTGTTGGTGATAAAGGTTGATGTAGTGAATTTTAGGGTTACGGAAAATATTAAAATATTGTTATAAACATTGTCAGACATGTTCAGATGGTTCACAACTAGATATATTTCTTGTTTTCTCTTGCACGTTTTGTATTGGGTTTCTGGCAAGATCAATTACCGGACAAAAACCGAAGCTATGCAAGCAACTGTGCCCTGTGCAACGTTATGCGAGAATTACGCTCGTGCGGCTTTGGGTCTACCTCTAACTATAAATTAAATTACGGAGGGATGTAGCATATTTAATTTTCTATTTAGTGTGTAAAATGTAACTGCAAATAGTAAATTGGTTTGAAAAACAAACAGTGCTAAGTGATATCCGAGGTTTTCTCATGCATAAAATGATTTTCTCATACGTGAAAAACTAGCACATTTCACCATTTTTATCGTACACCGATAAAAGTACTTTATGTGCGACGATGTTTTTTTTAAATTTTTATTTAACATGTCTCATGGAAACTGAGCGATCAAAACACTGCCTTATGTCTTCACGACATAATGATATACTATGCAAAATAAGTAGGGGATGGTGGGAATCATCAAGTGAGTGAGTGAGTGAGCATGGTTTTACGCCGCTTTTAGCAATATTCCAGCAATATCACGGCGGGGGACACCAGAAAATGGGCTTCACACATTGTACCCATGTCGGGAATCGAACCCGGGTCTTCGGCGTGACGAGCGAACGCTTTAACCACTAGGCTGCCCCTGGGAATCATCAAGACATATCTTCTGATCTATATGGTATTGGTAAATGGCAATGATATGATCGTATCTGGCAGTAGGATCAGATCTAATGGGTTCTAATGGGTGGTGTGGTGAGGTGGTGACGCACAAGGTCGTTACAGAGGTCGGGGGTCAAGTTCGAAATTTGCATTGGCAGCCAACGTCAGCAATATCGAATAAAACCTCCTCTGTTGGCCAGACTTGCACAAATTCTTCGAGGCATTCTTTTGATGAGGAAGTAATTAGAGAAATGGGTGGGTCTAGCTTACATGTTCATTAGCCCTTAGCTTCCCATATTCATCTGAGTGTGAGTATAATTTGACTAATGTTGCACCATTATTAATCGAGTAATAGCCATATCATCAAATGTCATAAACTGATAAAACTTTGACACCTTTTTGTTTGACGTCATGGCTATGTCTTTGTCGACGTCTTTGGAGATAGACGACATTGGTATATTGATTAAATATACATCTCACTTATTTTTTGTTCATGAATTTCATTTTTGTATGAACAATCTTGATTTGTAAAACACGTGCACTTTTCAGGCATCAATTTTATATAAATAAAACACTGCAAAATATAGTGAGTGGAGTTAGCGGTAGCGAGAACTAAGATCTGATTTTAATGAGATTGAATTTGACGTCGCACTGGTAAGCAATAATCCAGCTATATCACAGCAGCATGGAAATTATCAAGTTTGGGCCTGGTAAACAAGTGACTGATAGCATGAGCATCGATCACTGTAATCGATGTGTGACACGATCAGCCACTGTTTTACGGGTGGTGTGAAAATGTGTGACTATTTTCTGTTTTGCTGTTTTTTTCTTCTGTCCCTTTGTAATAACTCGGTTTTGAGATCTTTGTTCAAAATGGTATGGTCTGTTGACAAAAGTATTCAATTCGAAAAAAATAAAAAATCATGTTATTTGTGTCTGAAAATATTTTTTTCAGCCGTGTGACACTAAGAAAGAACTAAAGGTCTGTATTCTAAATAAAATGTCAAAGGGTTATTACTTCCTACGTTCAAAGTGTGTTGACATGGTTTTTTAAGTCTTTGGGGGGTTCTGAATTGAAAAACATGTAAAAAGGTGGGGATCGTTACCCACTTGGGTAGAATGTGTGAAACCCATTTCTGGTGACCCCGAGGGGCGTTCGGGTAGCCTAGTGGCTAAAGCGTTCGCTCGTCACGCCGAAGACCCTGGTTCGATTCCCGACATGGGAACAATGTGTGAAGCCCATTTCTGGTGTCCCCCGCCGTGATATGGCTGGAATATTGCTAAAGGCGGCGTCAAACCATACTCACTCACTCAGTAATATTGCCCAAAGCAGCGTAAAACCATACACACTCACATACCCCACACACTAGCCTTGCACAAGTCTAAGGCAATAATTATTAGTTTAATCATAATGCCTAGATTATATAAATAACAAGAACAAGTTGTCTCTATAAAGGATTGGCGTCCCTGTACTTTCCGCTTATGTGGACCTATTATAAGGATAGAATAACTATACACCCTTGGACTTACCATTCAGTACAGCCTTGGAGGCGGTGGGGTGGGGTGTGGGAGATTCTCTGTATATGTGTAGACATTATATAAGGCTATATAATTTTGTTTTTCTCTTGTAAATTAACCAGTTCTCAACTAAATTTACATTTTATCTGTGAAGAACCATAATTGTGAAAAATTAACAAGAAGCCGATTCGTCTACTTCCGCCGATGAGGAGTGTAAACTAGGGATCTGTCTATAATGATTCAGAAGGCACCGGAGCGGTCGCGCATATGAACAATGACACTAGTTAGCAAGTATGTTATTTATTTGATAGAATATCAACTTTCCATTTATATCATATCGATGCATTTAATATGTTGTTATTATTTTGAGGTTCAAACAACAAAACCTTTTTGTGCAATATATGGTGTATGCATTCGGAAGATATCGGATGTGTACGTCATTCATTATTTTGTTCTCTTCTCCGAGATTTGAAAGCTTCGCAACGTGATTCGGAGTGTAAGCGCATTGTGCAGAAAGGAAAAGAAAATGGCGGACAGTGTGGACATAGATTTGTATGCAAATATTGAAGACGACTTTAATCAGGTACGTTATTTATTACATGTTAAAGTGATATTTAATGTAGGCTAGAGTGCATCATAGGTTATAAAAACACTAGTGTCGAATAGTAAAATATGTTTCTAGTCTCTGAATTGCAGGGCACAGAATGGACGAAAGCTTTCGCTTTCCTATTGCACAGCGTCGTTTCGTCGTCTGCCTGATACCGGCAAAACCTTAGCGATTATGGCGGGGAATTTGCCAGGGAATACTTTTTAGACATGTATTCAATTTTCCAATTAGTTGCAAATGTTTATACCTTTCTCTTGAAAATTTCATTGGAAAATGCGGTCGCCCCTATTGGCACATGTATTGGGCGAGTGCGTTTAAAAAAAATAAATCATGTTGTCTTTATCTGTTCGGACGAGTGCTGGTGAGAACATCGAGGTGATTTCTTCTTCATGATAGCTAACAATTTGACATTCCCCCCCCCCCAATATGGCGTTAATTGGTAAAGCATCTCAACATGCTCAAGGCCAAAGTGCTTTTGAACAGGGATTGACACGATTGAAATAGAGTCCAGTCCAGGACAAGATTGCAGTCTTATGATTGATTGGTGCATGATATTTTTTTTAATTTTCAGTATTTTCCACATTTTCGGATCAGTTCATTTTCTATAACATTGACTGATTGTCGTCCCAAATGAAATTGTTTAAGAATTGATTCTGTTATTGCTGTCAGTGTCATTTCTTTATTGATGTGTGGGTCAGAATTGGAAGAGACATGGAAGTTGTGTACTATTTTAATATCTTTGATGCAAATCAGTAAGGAAGACTTCTTTGAAAGTTTTTCCTTGAAAACTGCTAAGAGTTTGTTTCTTAATTATTCTCGTTTGTTTTTTATATTAAGTTTAACGCCGCACTCAGCAATATTACTGAGCTTACTAGAGAGAAATTATATTTACTAGATTAAGCTTAAAGGGGCACTGATCTAACGCAATTCCCCGGCACTGGTTGTTGCCTTTGTTATTGTTTTTTCCCCAGTGAGTACCCGGATGTATAGCAGAAATCTAGACTAGTTCGCGACATCTGCTGCACCATTCGTAAGCGCATTAGTCGCTTTTATGGGTAGTAATAAGGGCGTATGGTCACATTGATGAACAAAATGAAATACAGTTTTCGAGATAATAAGGAAATGTAGGTATCTTTGTGGGTAGCATCGGTAATGGTGACAAAGTTTTGATAAGTCACTTGCTTGGTAATTTTACAAATTGACTGAAAAACATTTCCATCTGTATTATTATGATAACGAATTCCAAACATTTTGATGTTTAAATGTCATCACCAAGAGACTGAAAATGTTACGTTGAGAAAAGTACATTTCTATGATGTTTGGCTTCTAAACCTGTTGTGATGTTTGTAGGCCCTTTTGATCGTCTTAATCAATCTGGACAGATTTTTTAGTCAAAATGACTGAAATATTTACACATTTTATAAATTGCCTGAGAGAATCACATTTTACAAATTGACGGTAATATATACACGCTTACAAAGGAAAAGACCTGTGAAAACAACGTCTATCGCATATTGAAGAATTTCCCAACCAAGACGTAGAGAAACAAGAACGAATCGGTTCAAATGAAGGAAAACAAACTGCAAATATCATAATTACAACCTACCAAATTTATGTGTATAAATTTTAGGCAGCTTCCTTGTTCGAGGAATGTATCCGTGAATATCCACACAAAGGAACAATATCCCACTCATCTGCAGATGTACAAAGAAACTTATTCGATGTCACGTGTCTCAGTAACAATCAAATATTTTAAAAGATATATGTCGTTTCGGGATATTATAACCCGTGTTCGTTTCTCAACTGATCACTTGGATTGTTTCAGGTGTTTTACATAGGTGTCAAGTCTCAATGGTCGGCTGAGAAAGCCCCCGTGACAACTATTTTCATAACGTTCACGGTTCCTAAAAAATCCATTGAGTGATAGATAACAATGATCAATCAATCAACGTATTATAAGTTAACCCTTTGAACAAAGTATGTTGTTATTACATCGGCACTTCACGCCATGGTATGAGTGTATTCCCTTTGTTTTAGTAAACCTAGACATGTAAACACTCACTCTTGACATATCCACTGTGCAAGATAACAGTGATTAATCAATTAACGTATTTTCTGTTAATCCTTTGATGACTAGGAACGTTCCGTTGATTTACAAAAAAATAAATCAACTGATCATTCATCTCTTGCTGGGCTGCCACGTGCATATTACATAACACACATTTCACCTCACTTCAAACCTTGATTTAGATTGAATAATTACCCCAGACACAATAAATGCCAAATGGGAACCTTTGTCAGGTAATCTAAGTTAGCTACCACTAATTGTACCTGTAATAAATTCATTAACTGAGCATCAAGTGAATGACAACAAATACACAAGTGAAGGGTTATACGAGAAAACGTGGATGTCAACAAGGGAGTAGTAAACGTATTATCGCCGCAAGCCGAAATCCGAAAATGCTTTCACTGCATGGATACTTTTTTTAGTATAAAATGACGACATCCGATGAGCTCCGCTGTTCTTTTTGTCTGCTTGTTTAGGCTGAAGAAATTAATTAACATGCGTCCTTTGTCGAAATCTGTATAGATCACAGTTAACCAATCAGTGTTTATGCAAAAATGCGTAAAACAAATATTGCCTCCAGCCTCCAAGTTTATTTAGCTGTCCTTGCAGACTGTAGCCCAGTCTCTGGTCACGCTCAGTTGCGTTGCGTATCATCCGGGTACTCACGGGGGAAAAAACAATAACAAAGGCAACAACCAGTCCGGGGAATTGCGTTAGATCAGTGCCCCTTTAAGACTAAAAGTCACAGACTAATATTTGATACTTTCTATTTTGATCAGCAAAAATGTCCAAGGATGATAGACATGAGAATGATTGGCTGACTTGGTTAATGCATGTCATTGCTTTGGATCGATGCGCATGTCAATCACTGGATCGTCTGGTCCAGATTTGATTATTTACAGACTGCCGTCATATTGCTGGAATATTGCTGAGTGCAGCGTTAAACAACTTACAAACAAAACTATTATTGTGACATGTGGTGCACGAAGTAGGTCAGTGGTAGAACAATGGTGACAATTTGAATTTCAATATTTCATGTTTCATTGAGCGTTAGTAAGCAAACTACTGAGCAGGGATCCGGTTCTGATGGGTCTGTAGAAAAACAGGCGTGTTTATAATCTACTTGCGATGTTTCGGCTGACAAATTGTATTGTATCAATGCCAAATTGTGTTTCTGCTGAAGCTTCGTCTTCTAGCTCTAAGTCTAATGAGTGCAGGGACAACAATAAATAATTAAGGATCAGCAAAACGGTCATCTAGACCAGTGCAACATGCATTTTGTGAGGGTTGGCTGAAAGATTTCGATCGGTTTGATTTAACAACAGCATGAACGTTATGACCGAATTTGCTGGAACAGCAGCTTTCGTGAAGGGCAGTTATAATTTTTTGACCAGAAACTATTATAAGACATTCACAAAGTGCTAGGCATAGACACTATAGAGATGTAACTATTCTCCAAAAGGTGTCTAAAAAATCCCTGCTTAGTGCTTTTGACACTCAGATGAAAAATGATTTAGAAATAACAAAATCTGATCTTTTATTCTTTTAATAGTCAAAATACACACTGCATACACATTTGTCAAAGAGGAGTTGCCTTTTGCAAAAGTTATGCTGTCACTCAATAAATCTGGCTACTTTTAAAACCAGTTGGCTCCAATGTTTTTTTCACTTAGGACTGAAATGGAAATAGTTACACAAGAGGGCTGCAGACACTGTAACCTAAGTTATTGTGCATTATCATCCATCTTCCGGAGGCAAGGGCGTTAACTGACTATAAAAGTCCAGTTTCCACCATTGCTGAACTAGGCTGTAATTTCCAGGCTCGTTCATAGTGCCACCAGTGGCTATTATGAGTTATGTTCCTCCTATTGACCAATCAGATTCTCCGATCACTTGCATTTGCTTCAAACAAAATGGCGGTGCCCAGTCAAGATGATCTGCCCGATAATCAACATCTACAATGTAATAAAACGAGTCTTACCCCGCGAAGTGCATCAAATCACGTGAGCATCTTGATTAAAGCATGACCATATTAGTAAAATATGTTGATGCCAAGTTGAGAGTACACATGCTTTGCAAATCATGCAGTCTACGGACATCTGCGTGTTGAAGTCCATGTTGTTTTCGCACCAGATGTCTAGTTCATTACATGATTTTGATTGCACTATGTAGACTTGTTAGTCCAGCCAAAATGTAACTCAATAGTTGCAGCCTAGTTCGGCAAGGGTGGAAACTGGACTTTTATGGTCAGTTAACTCCCTTGCCTCGGGAAGATGATTATCATCATAATGTAGCCTGATGACCAGGGGTGACTATTGGGGCTATTTTCACTGTTGAGTGTTGTGATAGTGGATATTGCAAAGATTGTGATTGTGTACCTACACTATTGCAATCAGTGTTCGAAAAAAAATAATTGCAAGGCTGCCAGCAGGACCCACAGACACTTTAGAAGCTGCAGGCCTTGACTTCCATTTAAAAAACAACAACCTGCAGCTTATTGTAATAAATAAATCAACACAAATTTACTGCAGGCCATGAGGAACCATAAAAGTGTTTGAAACTGACCAAAAAATATCAGTGGTCCAAAAGACAAGCGCATAGAAAAATCTACTGGTTCTGCTGGATCTCTGCTGGGCACAATGGCCCTGACCAAAAAGTGTTTCTAAAGGGTATTACATTTTTCCACAATTAGAATGAAAAAACAACCACTGTAGTACCACACAAGGTTGTTCAGGTTGATCGTTTGTTTCGAGCTGAGTCGACCTATCGATGATTTAAAAAACCTGAACAAACTTAAATTACTTTGTTTGTCCCCTAATAAACACTGGTCCATGGGACCAGCATCTATCTAACTTGACTGGTTCTTCAGAAAATATGCTAGACTGCGACCAGATATTTGTGAAACTATGGGCAAGATGATGTATCTTCATGCCACTATTGATTGTTGTGCATACTATCAACAATACAATTGGTGTTCCTAATGATATAGTACAATGATCTGATGAAAGGGCAAACAATTGCATAGGGGTGACTATTGAGGCATTTTTGACTATTGCGATACTATTGCGATAGTGGCCCTACTATTGCGATACTATTGCGATAGTTTTCACTTGCAATTATAGCAGGCTTTAGCAGCATATATTTCAGCATTTTGACTGACACTATCAAAATTATTATAACTTTCTGATACTATTTGTAAAGAAAACAAGAAATGAGAAGAAAACGTATTATCGCCGCAAGCCGAAATCCGAAAATGCTTTCACTGCATGGATACTTTTTTTAGTATAAAATGACGACATCCGATGAGCTCCGCTGTTCTTTTTGTCTGCTTGTTTAGGCTGAAGAAATTAATTAACATGCGTCCTTTGTCGAAATCTGTATAGATCACAGTTAACCAATCAGTGTTTATGCAAAAATGCGTAAAACAAATATTGCCTCCAGCCTCCAAGTTTATTTAGCTGTCCTTGCAGACTGTAGCCCAGTCTCTGGTCACGCTCAGTTGCGTTGCGTATCATCCGGGTACTCACGGGGGAAAAAACAATAACAAAGGCAACAACCAGTCCGGGGAATTGCGTTAGATCAGTGCCCCTTTAAGACTAAAAGTCACAGACTAATATGTGATACTTTCTATTTTGATCAGCAAAAATGTCCAAGGATGATAGACATGAGAATGATTGGCTGACTTGGTTAATGCATGTCATTGCTTGGATCGATGCGCATGTCAATCACTGGATCGTCTGGTCCAGATTTGATTATTTACAGACTGCCGTCATATTGCTGGAATATTGCTGAGTGCAGCGTTAAACAACTTACAAACAAAACTATTATTGTGACATGTGGTGCACGAAGTAGGTCAGTGGTAGAACAATGGTGACAATTTGAATTTCAATATTTCATGTTTCATTGAGCGTTAGTAAGCAAACTACTGAGCAGGGATCCGGTTCTGATGGGTCTGTAGAAAAACAGGCGTGTTTATAATCTACTTGCGATGTTTCGGCTGACAAATTGTATTGTATCAATGCCAAATTGTGTTTCTGCTGAAGCTTCGTCTTCTAGCTCTAAGTCTAATGAGTGCAGGGACAACAATAAATAATTAAGGATCAGCAAAACGGTCATCTAGACCAGTGCAACATGCATTTTGTGAGGGTTGGCTGAAAGATTTCGATCGGTTTGATTTAACAACAGCATGAACGTTATGACCGAATTTGCTGGAACAGCAGCTTTCGTGAAGGGCAGTTATAATTTTTTGACCAGAAACTATTATAAGACATTCACAAAGTGCTAGGCATAGACACTATAGAGATGTAACTATTCTCCAAAAGGTGTCTAAAAAATCCCTGCTTAGTGCTTTTGACACTCAGATGAAAAATGATTTAGAAATAACAAAATCTGATCTTTTATTCTTTTAATAGTCAAAATACACACTGCATACACATTTGTCAAAGAGGAGTTGCCTTTTGCAAAAGTTATGCTGTCACTCAATAAATCTGGCTACTTTTAAAACCAGTTGGCTCCAATGTTTTTTTCACTTAGGACTGAAATGGAAATAGTTACACAAGAGGGCTGCAGACACTGTAACCTAAGTTATTGTGCATTATCATCCATCTTCCGGAGGCAAGGGCGTTAACTGACTATAAAAGTCCAGTTTCCACCATTGCTGAACTAGGCTGTAATTTCCAGGCTCGTTCATAGTGCCACCAGTGGCTATTATGAGTTATGTTCCTCCTATTGACCAATCAGATTCTCCGATCACTTGCATTTGCTTCAAACAAAATGGCGGTGCCCAGTCAAGATGATCTGCCCGATAATCAACATCTACAATGTAATAAAACGAGTCTTACCCCGCGAAGTGCATCAAATCACGTGAGCATCTTGATTAAAGCATGACCATATTAGTAAAATATGTTGATGCCAAGTTGAGAGTACACATGCTTTGCAAATCATGCAGTCTACGGACATCTGCGTGTTGAAGTCCATGTTGTTTTCGCACCAGATGTCTAGTTCATTACATGATTTTGATTGCACTATGTAGACTTGTTAGTCCAGCCAAAATGTAACTCAATAGTTGCAGCCTAGTTCGGCAAGGGTGGAAACTGGACTTTTATGGTCAGTTAACTCCCTTGCCTCGGGAAGATGATTATCATCATAATGTAGCCTGATGACCAGGGGTGACTATTGGGGCTATTTTCACTGTTGAGTGTTGTGATAGTGGATATTGCAAAGATTGTGATTGTGTACCTACACTATTGCAATCAGTGTTCGAAAAAAAATAATTGCAAGACTGCCAGCAGGACCCACAGACACTTTAGAAGCTGCAGGCCTTGACTTCCATTTAAAAAACAACAACCTGCAGCTTATTGTAATAAATAAATCAACACAAATTTACTGCAGGCCATGAGGAACCATAAAAGTGTTTGAAACTGACCAAAAAATATCAGTGGTCCAAAAGACAAGCGCATAGAAAAATCTACTGGTTCTGCTGGATCTCTGCTGGGCACAATGGCCCTGACCGAAAAGTGTTTCTAAAGGGTATTACATTTTTCCACAATTAGAATGAAAAACCAACCACTGTAGTACCACACAAGGTTGTTCAGGTTGATCGTTTGTTTCGAGCTGAGTCGACCTATCGATGATTTAAAAAACCTGAACAAACTTAAATTACTTTGTTTGTCCCCTAATAAACACTGGTCCATGGGACCAGCATCTATCTAACTTGACTGGTTCTTCAGAAAATATGCTAGACTGCGACCAGATATTTGTGAAACTATGGGCAAGATGATGTATCTTCATGCCACTATTGATTGTTGTGCATACTATCAACAATACAATTGGTGTTCCTAATGATATAGTACAATGATCTGATGAAAGGGCAAACAATTGCATAGGGGTGACTATTGAGGCATTTTTGACTATTGCGATACTATTGCGATAGTGGCCCTACTATTGCGATACTATTGCGATAGTTTTCACTTGCAATTATAGCAGGCTTTAGCAGCATATATTTCAGCATTTTGACTGACACTATCAAAATTATTATAACTTTCTGATACTATTTGTAAAGAAAACAAGAAATGAGAAGAAAACGAGTTCAAATTGACCTCTCAAAAACATTTTAATACAAAATTTCACTTCATGTAACTGGTAAAGTCTTAGGTTACTACAGTGTTTCAGCACCAATGTGAATGAACGTGATTGAATGACTAGTATTTGACTATACAAACTGTCAAAATCTTTAATTGTCACATTGGCATTCACTGAATGACTAAATGCGATTCAACATATCAATTAGGAAACAAGGTTGACAAAAACTGACATGTGGCATCTGCCATCGTGTCAATGTTGCCTAGCGACGAGTAGCTAAGGGACGTAATTCTAAATCAAGCAGACAAAGTAGTGCAATCCAAACAAAAGCACGACAGAGGTTAGATGATCATAGAGTTGTTTCTATGTTTTTTTAAGAAAGTATATGTACCAAACAAATTAACTATCGAAACTATCGATAGTTAGACAAACTATCGCCAATAGTATCAATTGTTTCAAGTTGCAATCGATAGTGCACGATCGTGAGACAAGCAATCGCAATCAATCGATAGTTCGATGTATCGTTACACCACTACAATTGCAACACATCAGCAGTTTCATATATCTTTACACTACTACCAATGAGATGAAAGATCATGATGATTGTTCCAGGTTTCGGTCACTTATTTTTGTTCTGTGTTAGACAGCCTTCATTCACTTCATATCCGAAAATATTTTTGACTAAATTGTTCGATTTCATGTTGTATTCCAGGATACAGATTTTGCCAACCATGGAGATGACTTATATGATGATGTTATCACAGCCGGCTCCAGTAGTGAGGGCATGGATGTGAGTATTTGCTGAGAAGATACCATCAATGACTCTTACCTTGTCAGGGATTACTGTGATATTAACTCATTAATCATGTTAATATTGATGATCCACCGCTGATGGAAATCTGATTTGACAAAATTCACATTACAAAAAAAAAGTGGATTGAAATAAATGGGTTTTTGGGGTCAGTTGCTTTAGTATGTCGAAGTATAGTAATCAAATGTGACCCCCTGAGTTTTAAACCTTAGTATTTGGATTATGGCAAGGAGTTCTTGCAGTGATAGAAATGTATTTATCAAGTATGCCACAGGTCTCTCATCATGCTCATTAAGATGTTTTAACAATCCCATTAGTCACTTCTTACGACAAGCATAGTCACCTCTTATAACAAGGATTGCTGAAGATCTGTTCGAACCCAGATCTTCACGCGTTCATTGCAAATGAAATGTATGCAGTGTATGAGAACCTTGGGATGACTGAAACATGTGTTTTTACAGAGGAATACAGATTCCAAGCAGCACACCCCCATGCTTTCCAGCACACAATATACTGGGAAGAAGTTCATGTGCTATGTAGGAAACTTAACATGGGTGAGTAATGTCTAAGAAAATGACGCTTTTTGTCTGCACTCACCCAATTGTGATGGCAGATAGCAATAATACTTTCCTCACGACCAAAGGATATTTTCAACATTTGCCAGGCTATATATATGAGTGGACTGTAAAATGGATAAAATGATTTATTTTTTTCAAATTACAGAATGTGTATTTAAGATCTGGTAATAGAATGATATTTTAATGGAAATTTAAAATATTTTATCATTGTTGAACTCTTCTGAAATTGTGAGAAATGAAAAGTTGAGATATTGAAAGAATCCTTAATCTACGGTGCAAATACAATGTGCTTTTTCCTATAATATTGGTGCATGGTGCCCAAGTCTTATCAAGTCACATCAGGTGGTACTTGATTAATAAAGCATGTGACCTCAGCAGTTTGTGTAATAGTTCTAATACTGACCATGGTGATTGTGGGTCACTGAAGTGATGTGAGAAGCTAATGGTCATGCAGGAAAATATGTGTCATTTTGTAATATGTTTTCTTTGTGCATCAGTGGACGACAGATCAAGATTTGACAGATGCATTGACTTCCATTGGAGTCCATGACCTCGTGGAAATCAAGTTTTATGAAAACAGAGCAAATGGACAGTCTAAAGGGTATGTCATTTCATTATTCAGGAACCTCTTCCTGGTAGCAGCTCAACACTTTAGCATGAGGCTAAACATTTGTACATTTTCTTTGTTTTTGAATTGACAATATTTTAGCTAATATGTGTCTATATTCTGTGAATTAATATTATTATGACTGCATATATGTAATTCTTCATTGTCAAATTACCTACAAATAACAACTTCATTTCAGTTTCGCCCTAGTTGTGGTAGGCTCCGAGTCCTCCTCCAGGCATATATTTGAGAAGCTGCCCAAGAAGGAGATGCATGGTCAGGTGCCCCAGGTGACTCCCTACAGTAGACAGGCACTCAGCCAGTTTGAGGCCGCAGCCAGGAAGGGCGGGGAAGGACCTCCACAGAATGGTTAGATTTTGCAGTCTTGTAGTTAGGGCTTGGTCACTAAAATCAAAAGGGGAAAAGACCTTTGATCAGAACATGTCTTTGCAACATAGGCTTCAAGTTTTCAAAACACACACATGAAACTTGTGTTGTTAGAATGGAATTGCATATTATTACTTTTATCAACAAACACAAACACATGATTCACACAATAATGATATTGATTTCTTGATCATTTCTTGTAGTTGATCCATATGTTTTTTAGGATGATACACGTATGTTGTTTAGCAGCGTTAGAAACTACCGTATATCGCTGTGTATAAGGCGACCCCACGTATAAGACGACCCCCCTGTACACGCCTTAAAAATCAACCCAAAATCCTATACTCCGTGTATAAGGCGACCTGGAATGAAACACATCACAAGTCTGACTGATATACGGGTAGAAGATTTAACGTGCTCTTGCCGACTGTAGCGTATTTCGCACACGGACATCACAAATTAGTTAGTTAGTTACTTTGGAGATTTAATGTGCGCTTTCCGACTGATGCGTATTTCGCACACATCACAAGTGCGCACACAAACCATATATATGCAATAAAAATATGTTTATCTTGTGTTGGTTTTTTTTCTACAATGATAGGTCGCGTGTGTAACTCCGGCACACGTCGCCATTTTGTGTTTACAACACCAAATTGGTGCCCGTAAAATAAAATTCATTTATGAAGTAATAACATATAAGAGACAATGGTGAGTAATTTAATCGCCAATTAACTATGTTGTAACTAACTAGGCTTATGTTTTCACATTCAGCGTGTTTATTCCACAATCACTTGTACACACCGTCTCCAACACTTGTTAATACAACTGTAAAAACAGCGGGAATTGATTTCAGCTTCACCGGTTATCACATGTTAGGTCACATGTGCAATATGCAAATGATTACCGGTACTTCCGGCTCTCTACTCATGGATGTTGATTGTTTTACCGTGTCAGCTGGTTTGACAATCTGCATCGAGGAGAGGGTCATTTCAACTTTATTTGCAGAAATTATTAAACTTTATTCAAGGAAAAGAGATACAAATCATGTTTATGTATGGAAATAGTTTTTGGAACAGTTATTTAGGACGAAATGCGAAGTTTTATTGTCAAATGCTGGGCTGGCTATCGGACGCCGGTTGACATCGACAGTGGAAAAAAATGTGAGATCGACTCCGTGTATAAGACGACCCCCCTTCTTAGCCCCCTCATTTTAGGTACGAAAAGCTCGCCTTATACACAGCGATATACGGTAACAGTTTTCGTCCACTAGTCCTTATAATGATAACATAAAGCAAAACCCTTTAAAATGGCAATTTTCTACTAGTCCTTATGATACCTTTAACATTGGGCAGTTTGTCAAGGTCTTTAGGACTAGTGCCAATTTCTAACCCTGTTTAGAGGATAATGTTAGCCTCTAGAGAGGGTGCTGATGTAGCCAGGTGGTTAAATCAGGGTTAGAATTTGGCACTAGTCCTTTAGTCCTACCCAAACTGCCCAATAGTAAAGGTATCATAAGGACCAGTAGAAATTTGTCATTTTTAAGGGGTTTGCTATATGTTATCATTATGAGGACTAGTGGACTGAAACTGTTAGTTTCTACCGCTGGTTAAAGTGTTCACTCGTCACTCCAAAGACCTGGGTTTGATTCTTAACATGGGTACAATGTGTGAAGCCCATTTATGGTGTTCCCTGCCGTGATATTGCAAGGCTATTGCTAAGAGGAGCGTAAAACCAAAGTCACTGGATTGTAGCTAGCCATGGTCTAGCTGAGGTTTTTAGGGCATTAGAAATAAGGACAATATCAGGCTATAAGCATAAAAAGCTAGGAATGTATTTGCAGTGAGTGTTATATACTTATGCATATGCTTTGGTGCACCCTTGTTACATGTGATAACTCTGTTTGATGAGATTTTATCATGTGTCCCTAGGTAACAGAAATCAGAGAAGCAATCCACGCAACCAGCCTCCTCCCAGTCAGCAAGGGAAGCCAGGAAACTTTCCTCCTCGTGGCATGCAGCGTCCTCCACCCCAAGTCTCACAGGGACCACCCCCACCTGGCCCCCCTCACGGTGGCCCTCCGCCCATGTATGGAGGTAGGTCCAATGCAGAAGCAGTGCCCTAGAAGACCTGAAAGATTCCAGGACCCCCCTTTATTTCGAACACTGTTTGCTACTTTTTGAGATGGCAAATATCATACTGGCAAAGATGAACTGATGATCAACACTCCTGAATAGTGACAGTGCTGGGCACGGCTCGATTAAGCTATATAAAGCATGCACCAGTGCATCCTGCTATTGAAAAGGCTTAAAAACTTTAAAAAAATTAAAATAGTTGGTTCTCAAGCAATGGCTTTTTAAAATATGGCATGGGCAGGAGGGTTGGTGTTATTTTTTTTATGTTTTGTTGTTGTTCAAACTAGTATGTCAACATGCACTTGGTGCAAGATAAATCAAGTTCCTTAACTTGAGCCCTACAAGTGTTATGAAAACTAATATATTCCCGCAGGTATTCAGAAATGAATTTTATGCATAGTTGCACAAACTATGATACAATGAAATACCTAAACTTGTTATTGACTGCTGTAATTTCAGGACCACCCCGACTTGGTCCTCCGCCACAACTTCCTCCCCCTGGAGGGCTCCCTCCCCCTGGCGGACCACCCCTCAGACCTCCACAGGGACCTCCTCCCCCAGGAATGGTAGAGGTAAGTTTATAGCAAGGTTTCTCATTCTTCCTGAGTCAGTTTCTTTAATATTCAAACTATAGGAGGGATTTCTGGTCAGGCTCGCTGACTTGGTTGATGATGCATGTCATCAATCCCAATTGCATGGATCGATGCTCTTGATATTAATCACTGGATTGTCTGGTCCAGACTCCATTATTTACAGACTGCCATCATATAGCTGGAATATTGCTGAGTGCGGCATTAAACAACAAATCAACCAACCATCTTGTGAGCAATGGGTGAAAATATTGTTCCCAGTGCATTTCGCCTCTTTCATCTGTTTTTTCTTTGGATGTAGACTGAAAATTGTATTATGCTTTTTGGATTCTTCAATATAATGTGACCTCGAAGTTGCTGCATCCAGTAGGCGTTCATGGCAGGAAAGGTCTCCAGAACGTTTGGGAGAGACATTTTTGGTTTATGTTACTGCAAAGAGTACAAGTATTGTGCACATCTCCTGGAAAGGTTGATTTTTATCTGTGACCTGGCTGTTAGTGGCTCATGCTATCTCTGTATGGTTCACTGAACAGCCAGTTTAAGGTTTACAGATTAAGGGCAGCCATGATTCAGTACAGATATGACAGTGCTCTGCGGTGTAAGACCCTATTCACACAATTGCTCCCATGATGCCTGCAACTGAGTATAGAACATATGCCATGCTCATTCATGGGAAAGGGGCGTTCGGGTAGCCTAGTGGTTAAATTGTTCGCTCGTCACGCCGAAGACCCGCGTTTATATTCCCGACATGGGTACAATGTGTGAAGCCCATATCTGGTGTTCCCCGCCGTGATATTGCTGGAATATTGCTAAAAGCGGTGTAAAACCATACTCACTCACTTACTCCGGGGAAAATGGTCTTTTTTTTAGCCAACTTTAATAACAATTTGATAGTTTTGTAGACAATGTGTTAACCATGTTTAATTGATGTTATTCCATGTGACTATGACTAATGAAATTAATGTACAGTCAACTTCTCATATTATGAATTCAGATATCACTAAAAACATGTATTTAGTCCCCATGTTACCCTATTCCTATATTTATCTATGTTTGACAAGATGCTCAATGTGATGTCTGAAGATGATGTTGCATGATGAATAAGTTACTATTATGATTACTGATATCCAGCTTGAAAGTTTCTAATAAAAAATGTGATTTAATATGTAGACTGATAGTAAGCTGAGTTACTACCTTGACATTAGTGGTTAAAAATATGTTGTTGTAAAAACATCAGAGATCAGGTTTTGATACGTTATAATATTTTGATATTCAAACCTAACATAAATTTTCTAGTTTCATATAATAAACACTGTTGTGTGATGAGTGTCAAATTTTGGATGTAACAAATTGAATCTGAAGGCCCCTTAGAGTTCGTTGTATCCGAAGTTGACTGTAATTTTGCAGCCTCCAAGAATGGGCCCAGGACCCCCTCCGCATCTCCGTGGTCCCCCAGGTCCTGGTCCTGACCCCAGGGGTCCTCCCCCACCTATTAGGCCAGAGTGGGATAGACCTCCAGGTAGGTTGTTACTAAATGAATCAGTAATACAAGACGAGAATGAAGACTTGACTAAAACTAGAGGTGGGGTTTCAGCTGGGAAGACCCTTAACATATTTGCACTTGTTTTCAAAACAGTTTTTTGAACTTTTAATGTTGATTAGATGCACAATAAGCCACAATGTTTGTCAACGATGATGTCTCACTTTGTATCAGTACACACGGTTTTCCCTTGAACTACAAAACTAAGGGTCCAAAGAACCTCCAATTACTTATTTCTAGGGTCCTGAGATATATGAGGGTCCTGTGAAGTTATGAAATGGTGTTGTTTACTGTACTGTACCATTGAATAATTACTTTAATTACAGAGGGTTTATACTTCTTGTTAAGAATTTGCTACAAGTAATATTATTGTGCATCCCTAAGATGCGATATATAATTTTGTCTGCATCCATTCTATACATTTGCCTGCACTGTATGCACATTTGTGTGAACTGTATGCACATTTCTGTGGTGTATAAAATCCTGAGTACATGATGTTTTACAAATTGTTTCAATTATCTGCACATCACTGCACTATTGATGGCTGGTGAAGTGGTACTGATGAACATGTTGGATCATGTGGCATTAACTTACATTAGTTATTGATTTACGGTTTCACGCAAATTTCAAAAGAAATGATTTTGGAGAAAAAGAAGTGTGCTTTCCTTACTCCTTAATTAATTTTAAGTATAATAAGAACAGTTTCCCCCAAATAAATACATCTGTATCGTGTATATTGTATCATGATACATCGCAGTACAAATCATGTTGTGACCTCAATATTTTTCATCCCAGAAATACAAGATTGTTACAACCCGTTAGGAATTGGTCTTCAGCACACCATGCTTGTTGTAAGAGGCAACTAACGGGATTGGGTGGTCAAGCTTGCTGACTTGGTTGATACGTGTCATCATATCCAAATTGCGGGGATCAATGCTCATGATGTCAATCACTGGATTGTCTGGTCCAGACTCGATTATTTACAGATTGCCGTCATATAGCTGGAATATTGCTGAGTGCAGCGGTAAACAAAAGAACAAAAGAAACAAGATAGTTAAATCTCATACTTTATCTGTCAGCCGTTTGATTATCTGAAAATACGATCATGTTGATATTCAATGTTCTAAACACATATGTGACAAACATTTTCTTGTACAGTCTGCTAAATCTATCAGCTTCAGTTGTCCTTCCCCATCTTTTTCAATACACTGTATTCCTTTCATGTCACGTTGTGTGGACTTTTACCAACATTACTAGACCTAAAAAGTGGCACTGGACATGGGCTTCGGTCTTCTGGCTAAATTTGCATCCTGCTTTTGGAAATCACTTCATACACACTAGAATCCAATGTTTTTAGGTCAACTTATTGATTTTCTTTTAAAAAATAATCATCATTTCTTAGTAAAAAATAATCATCATTTCTTAGTAAAAAATAATCATCATTTCTTAGTAAAAAATAATAACCAATTGATAAGATTGAATTAACACTGGTAAGCAGATTATAGTGTATATATCTTCAGTCACGTTTATTGCCAATATCAGTGTTTTTTCTGCTTTCGCTTTATAATGATCCTAGTACACAAATTTGATATTTATCCCCCACTGGGTGTTTCAGTTTTCTTTTGCATGTTCTATTTTATTCATCTTTGTTATATACTTCTGTTCTCATAAGTGAATTTCCCCATACATTTTTAAGACGGGGTTGGTTTTTTTTATTTATTATTACCCTACTATCCGCACCATTTTGTTATTTGCCTTTTAGAAACCATGGTTGTTACCAGTCAACCTCCACCCCCTGGGGGTAAGTTAGGGGAGATAACTCCTATTTATGTGGTATCATGGGACATCTCTTCCTGCATTTTGTTTGTAATCCTTAAAAAGAGCATGCCAATCATTTTCCCGTGTTTTACACTCAGAGTACTGTTACTATGGTTACTGAATATTTTAACTTGACAATCACTTCATGAAATTTGCTTTGGCTGGTTATTGTGTAACTGAAAGGTAAGTTTATGTGAAATGTCATTTGCATTTTTTGAAGAATTAATTTTTGAGGTAATAATTTTGTAATGGTGCTAACTGTTTTCGTTAACCTTGGTTGTCTGAGGTGAGGGCAGATAACACTTAGCTTCCTTGTTGACAAGTTGTCTCTTTCCGATGTAAGCAGATTGTAATAAAAGAGTATATCTTGTTGCATTTTCTTGTTTTTGACTTTAGTAAGTAGATAGATTTTACTTTAAGGGCTTTTCAACTCTACCCATGGTTGTGGTATTACATACTTAAACAGAATCCTTATTAGCATAAAATGGACAGAAAAGCACTCTTGCAGCTAACGACATTGTCTTTGCTGACATTAGTGATCAGTTAATGTTTATGTTCTAAACAAAGAAACCCAGGCATGTTGCAAATGTGTCTTCCGTAATATCTAACTGCCGAAGTATTTGACTTGAGTAATTGTCAGTCCCTGAGGAGTGACATTCATGAAATAGCTCCATATATGACAAATTTCGAAGGGACATGTCAGATCAGTAAGATATCCAAAAGTAACCATTCACAGGAATATGTACAATAATCAGGTTGATCAACACTTACAGGACATTGTCGTAATGTCTCGTAAAGTTATATCCAAACTTGAGAGAACCTACATCTTCAAACTGTCCCCTTACCTATACCAGAAAACATTAATTCTCTTCGAAATACACTAAGAGTAATGCATCGATGAGGAAATTATTGATATAGTTAAGTAATACCTACTGGGTGCTGCTATTTCTGTGTACTTTATGGTAGTAAGGATTTTGAGGTAAGTAGGAACTGGTATGTTGTGTCTCCAGCCTTTTGTCCACATGTCCAGTGATGGGTGCTCTCTCCTTACTTCTCCCCTTCCTGGTGGCTGCATATTGATTACATACATAGGCAATTGTCTTGCCATACACTACGTTCATCTTATCTAGGGAGCTAGTGAAGTTTTGATATATTTTCAGGAGAGGTCCACCCTTGAATGAAAATATTTATGTTGTATCATTTCCGAGATGAAATGTACGTTTTATTTGGCAAGATACTTGGTTATATCCTCTTTATCACCTCAGTCTGTGCAAAAAAAAACTGAGACTACTAGCCCAAACTTGGCACTTTGCATAATTTTCAGTAGAATTTAGTGTTACATGGATTATTTGTACTATTATTGGCTGAGCTTACGATACCAAACAGAAGTTTACAAGAGTCAGGCTTTGGACTAGTGGCTCAAGTTGCATAATGATGATAGTCCTTGTTTTTTTAATGAAACTATGTGACAGTGCTGTGTCACTGACATTTGCTAGTAGTCCCGATTGCCAGTATAAAATTGACATATTTTATCATCAAAGCAGCATCAAATGATGGCTAGTGTTGTTACCTTTTAGAAATGAAAGTTTTATAGTTTCAAAACTACAATATCAGTGTGAATGTTAGCAGCATAATTTGATAGACTTTTTCCAGGTAGCAAGTGGCAACAGTGGGTTGAGGTATGGGTCGGCAGCAATTAGATGGGTAGCCACCTCAGAAAACTATTCTTGTAACCTTACTGCAATGGCAGTGGCATTTAGCAAATTGCCCAATGCTTTCAATCATTGAGTTACCTTATACTATGCAGGCTGCCAATAATCGCTGTAATATTTTGCTGACAAGAGTATAACACCCCATTTACCCTTTGGAGGAGGACATGAACACTAAAATTTCTGCATACATTAGTCTGTTTCTTAATATGAACGTTTACTTGATTATTATGTATATGCTAACATGTTTAGTTTTGAGAATGCTTAACCCTGTTTCTGGATATGCTCCTTGTTCTTTAATACATGTAATCAGAAGACATTAACTCTGATTTTATTTCCGGTTTGTCCCACGGCACCTTGATTTCAATAGACACCAATCCACATTAAGAATCTCTTTGGGGTATTTTTTTTGCCTCATTTCATGACACAAGACTTCATTTCTCCTGTTCCTTTTACCTTTAACCTTTAGAGCATGTCCACATAGTCTCAATTTGTTCAGAAATGCAACCGCTGACCTGTCCCATAGGAATGAGTTCATAGTGTATGAAGTGCGAGTCGTTTCATTTTCTGCACAAAACTTGCATATATATGTAACATTTTACGTTCTGTTTTGGTTGTCATCCAACAAGTAATTACAGGAGTCAGGATCTTGTTGAATTTAGATTGTGACCTTGATTATTTCAGCTCCGTTCCCCAACGCTGGGCCTCCGCCCCCGCAGCCGGTCCCCCCTCCAGGTCTAAGACCTATGGGACCAGGTACTGCACTTTGTTATATTTGGGTTAGGAGACTAGTGTTACAACAGGGTTTGACAGTGTACTGGCACATTAGACAAATGCCAGGGATAGAAATTTGCATTAGCCTGCTTCCCTGAGCCATTTCATCCCATGTTAAAATTATCCAGTCAGCAGAATTTTAGAATTTTTAGGGGGTTTCTTTATCTTTTTTTTTGGTTTTAAGGCTGGTAAAAGTTTTAGGTTAATATCTGCTGAATTGTGCCTGTAAAAGTTAATCAGGACCACAATCTTGGCATGAATGTTGTATATATATATGCAAGGACCTGTATGCCATGTGTTAAAGTGTACCACTGACTGATACAATCATGTTTCAAACCTAGCTTCTATGTGTTAGTTTAAACATGTGCAGTGGTGTGCTGTGGGCTGTTTCCTTATGATTTAATCCAGTTGTGAAAACATTGAGTTTGGTCAGTAATGACACCTCCCATGCTGTGATACTTGTTCTACAAAGTGTCTGTGTTTTGGTAATCTCTAGTTTTTGACAGTACAATGAAAAAGGAACAACAATAGAAATGATTTAAGGAATTTTTGCAACAGATATTTTCCTTTTGAACAAAAGTCATGATAGCTGACAAAATTAATTTCTATTGTGTGCTGACTTGTTTCCTGGAACCATTGTTTGTGACTGCTTGATCCCGTGTATACATGTGTTTGTTTATTGATTGATGGCTGTCAACAGGATTCCCTGGTGGCCCCCCATCACAGATGCCACCTGTGCCTGGCCCTCCCCCAGGACATATGCAAGCGCCAGCCCCACATGTCAATCCTGCCTTCTTCCCACCCCCACACAGTCAGGCCCCGCCGCCAGGGCCAGCTGTAAGTACCACAGTAAATGGTGTGATCATCACTCAAATTGTGCTCAATGTTCTTAGATACGCTTCAGCATCATTTGATTGAGATTTTTCATTACTGCATCCGATAATCTAATTGTCCCCTGCCATGAAGTAGGTTAGGGGATATAGGAACGGATTTTGTAGGTCCGTCTGCTTCTCAATGGGGACCGATTTTCTCAAAAACTTTTTGAGTTAGAGGAATTAAATTTTACACACTTATGGGACTGGTGAATATCTCAATTGGGTTAAAAAATTGGTGTCTAAGATTAATTTAAGTTACGTCCCTTACTACATGTTTTTAGATTTTATGCATCCTGTCTTTAATGGGAACAAGTTTCCTGAGAGACTACTTGAAAGTTTGCATGCTTATGACATAAGAGATGCTGTTATAAATGAATACAATGATGTATAGGTTATGGAGTGTATATGACACTTTGATGAGTGACTTAGTGCTGCTGAATGATGCATGTAGCTTGATGTTTAAATTAGGTTCTGTATTTGCACGATAAGCTTAAGACACTTTTGTGTGAACATGTTTTTGTTAAGATAATATGTTTTGAAGCATGGTTTTCATTTTCAGCCTGGCGATCCATATGGACGGGGTCCGCCACCCCAGTCATATCCTAATGATCCATTCATGGGCCGACCTCCCCCTGAAAGGTACATTCCTCGACTGGCTTTATCAGCGTTAGAAATTTGCACTTGTTCTATAGTCCTTGCCAAACTGTCCAATAGTTAAGGTATCCAAAGGACAAGTAGAAATCTGGCCTTTCAAGTGATTTGCTATGAGTTATCAATTAGAATAAGCTTAGCTGTGAGTTTCTATCACTGTGTATGGAAAGCTGCTGTCATGACCATGTTGGAAAACAGTAATGATGGCTTTTCAGTATGGTCAGGGCCAAGTTAGCCAACTGCTAGAATCCAAATATCTCTGTCAAAAAGAATTAACACCAATTTGTATCATATGAATATTAGTTGCTCTCTTGAATAATATTTGATGATGAAACACTGATCAACTACCATTTATCATGATATTGTACCTCTGCTTTGACTTAAGAATGAACAATTTGAACCAATAAAAAAATCTGCCTTGCGTAACTAATGAGTAAAATTAAGTAATATTAAGCATTGCTTTTATCCTTAGAATATTGGACAGATGCATGTTTGTTAAAGGCTTTTTCAGATGTTCCTTGTATTTGTGGAGATGATCTGAACGTATCTACTGTTAATCCTGATGTAACAACGTCCATGAAATCTTTCCATTAACAATGACATTCTTTTTTCTCTGTATAAGAAATGATGCACACATCAGATTATTTTTCTGTCTTATGTCCAAGTTGACAAGTTCGCTGGAAAATTATTTCCTGTCTTGAATGATAGGTATTATTGAGAAGAACTTGAGAAGTCTACACTTAAGGAGGAAAAGTAGTAAAATAAGTGTTTGTCTCTGTGTGTTTCAGTCGGCATGAGCCTCCCCCTCCAGCCTTGAGTGAGCAGGAATTTGAGGAGATCTTCCAGAGAAACAAGACTGTGTCCAGCAGTGCTATCAACAGAGCTGTGCAGGATGCAAGTGCAGGTACAGGCTGAGGGACATTCTCTAATGTTGTACAGACTGAGCTTTTGAGATCGGAATGCATACAAGGGTTTGAAATTCCTTGCATTAGAGTGCACTCTGAGAAATTATATTTTGTTTATACAAAGTAATGGTTGAGTGCCATCGTGCCCTGGTGGTGAGGCTTGCTGCTCATGCAGTCAGCCACTCATTTGTCTTGACCATCGTGAGATATTTTCAAGTTGTGTTGAAACTGAAAAACTGCTGATTTGGCAGGAAACAACTCTAATAAACTACATGGGATAGGATTCCTTGTATGAAACCTCTAAGTCTAACTGTTGTATTGCAGTGAGTTAAAATGTTGCTCTGGTTTAACAGCGGTAAGAGTAAATGTGTGCTAATAATATCAACCTTATTTCTTTGCAGGTGACTTTGCTAGTGCTATTGAGACATTAGTGACAGCAATTTCTCTGATCAAGCAGTCTAAGATTGCTGCTGATGACCGCTGCAAGATCCTCATCAGCTCCCTCCAGGACACCCTCCATGGCATAGAGGAGAAATCCTATGGCTCTAAGTGAGTAACAAGATTTAGTCTTGCATCATTTAATGATACTGGTGACTTCTTTCTTTTGAGATTGATGCCATTGTTTCTTTGGCTCAGTAACTGACCGTATATCCTCTAGCATGTAATGGGTACAGTGTGTGAATGATCCCAAGGGGATTCCGGGTTTGAGTTGTGCTCATCATGAGAAGTAACAGGGGATCGGGTGGCCAGGCTAAGAGACTATGTTGACGATATGTCATCATACCCTGATTGTTGCTCACAATATCAGTGTATGGATTGCCTGGCCCTGACATTTGCAGACTGCCTTCATCCCTGGAATATTGTCTACTGTTGTGTTAAACAACACACACAGACAACTTTAAACATTATCAAAGTATATCGATATGTCCATTCATGTAGCAATTTAACTGTGCAAGGAGCCACTGATATTTCATCTCATGGATTATTATCCTGGTAAAAAGAACTTGCGAAATGACTGACTTGAAACTAGCAATTTTTCAGCCTGAGGTTATCACATACAGAACTCTTGAACATGTCATCCTAATACTACACCCATTTTACAGCAGGGTTGTTGGGACAGTGTTGAGTTCAGTATGTTGTCATTGTGAACACTGGTAGTATTTGTAGTGGGGACACTGAGTGTTCACACATCACTCTGGAAACCTGTGTTTGATTCCCAGTACAGTACCAAGTACATTATTCGTGTCAGACACTGTGATAATGGTGCAGTGATACCTACATTGATGCAGTGATACCTACATCGATGCAGTGATCCTCCAGTGATGCAGTGATACAGTGATACAATGATATCTACAATATGCATTGATGTCTACAATGATACCTACAATGATGCAATGGTGCTTAGTATGATGCAATAACTCTCACTTGTTCATCACTCCGTGCAATGGTTCAGACAGACACTTTGCCACAAGGCTACCTCAGTATACATTGATATCTCCAATGATACCTACATTAATGCAATGATACCTACAATGATGCAATGATACCTACAATGATACTTTACATTGATGCAATGGTACCTATATTGATGCAATGGTACCTACAATGATACCACCATTGATGAAGTGATACCTACAATGATAACTACAATATTACCTACATTGATGCAATTATACCTACAATGATGCAATGATACCTGCAATGATGCAATGGTGCTTTGAATGATGCAATAACTCTAACTTGTGCCGTGCAATGCTTCAGACAGACACTTTGCCCCAAGGCTACCTCTGCAACTATTTTCTGTCTGATGATAGAGATATTCATATTGGGATGACAAATGTTCCAACTCTGTTGTTTCAGGAGCAGCAGCAGCAGTCGCCGATCTAGGTCAAGGGAACGTGATCGTGACCGAGACCGTGAAAAGAGGAGTCGTCACAGATCCCGCAGTCGTGACCGAGAATACCGTGAGAGGAGTAGGGATAGAGATCGCTACCACGAGGAGAGACACCGGGAGAGGGATCGGGAAAGGGAAAGAGACAGGGGAGAGCGTGATTACAGCAGGAGGCACTAACAGGTCGGTTTGTTGCAGGTAAACTATTGAGCATTTGTTTTGGCAGAAGCTAACTTGATCACTGTTGACTAAAGTTTTACTAAATAAACTATTTGTAAGTTACTTCAAGTATTACAATACAGACTAATATTCCTTTCAAATGCATTGATTTTACTAGTTGAGCTTATTAATTTTAAGTCTTTGTTAATATGGTTATGGATCTCCAGTTTTGTCTGAAACTTTGATAAATTCTGCTTTAGCTCTTAACAGATTTAATATATCTGCTAGCTTAATGTTGTAACTCTTTCAGAATGTTGATAGTTGCTCCAGGATCCAGCAGTTCTTCCGACAGATTTTTCTTTCTGGCGTTTCATTTCAGAATGGCTGTAGATAACCAGTTATTCCACCAATACCTGTAAATGTTAAATTCAAAAACTTCAATTTGTGAAAAATAATGCTCCAGGTTTCTCCCAAATCTTGTTTGTGTTCGTTAAGGAACTTCGGGCATTGTTGTTTGTCATGGTAGACTTTTTTATTTGGAATTGTTCTGATTAAGAGAGGGGTCAATTCCTTAGAAATGGGATTGCTGTCAAATCTGTATCAAGTTGAGCATTCTACTTCTGTATTGTTCTTTATATGTGCATATTCTATGCATTATCCTTGATTGTGTTAAAGGGGGACTTCAATGTTTATTACATGTCTTTGTACATCAGATTTCTTTCTTCTCAGTCAGTTTTCCCAAACCATCATTGTCCTTCATACTGACTGGCTATTTATTGAAGTCCCCCTTTACATGTACACATGCTGAACATCTTATTTACATTGTCAACTACAGTTGTTTGATTCTGTTTCACATTAATCATGTGATTTTTTAAATGTTGAATTGAATATTTTTATGAATAATTTGTCATTTCATTGTGCTTGCCTTACTTGAATTCTTCATTGATGAGGGACATTGTCTTGGAGATAGCTTTAGTTTCCCAAATTCCAAAACTGGTCAATTATGTACAACCTATTCAGAGCAAAAAGGGCAGAGCAGTTAGCCTGGTGGTTAATACACCCGGATTCAGTTCCCTACATTTTATGTCTGAAGGACCCATGAAGATCAGGGGTAGAATAGGTCTTCAGCAACCCATGCTTGCTGTAAAAGGCAGATATGCTTGTCGTAAGAGGCAACTAACGGGATCGGGTGGTCAGGCTGACTGACTTGGTTGATGTATGTCATTGTGAAGATCGATGCTCATGATGTCAATCACTGGATTGTCTGGTCCAGACTCGATTATTTACAGACTGCCATCATATAGCTGGAATATTGTCCAAAATTATTTTTTTATGTCTGAAGCCCATTATTCGTGTCTACCATGATATGGCTGGAATAATGCTAAAAGTGGTATCAAAAACAACTCTTTATCAACTGGTACTGACGACAGTTTTATATGAGCTGGATGGCCACTGGCTTTCCTTTACGCAGTTGTAGGTAATATGAAGGATAATGTCGTTTTATAGTATGAGCTCAAAGTATATAATAAATGTAAACCAAGGCAGATGACTAATTTCCAATTACTTTTGAAAATCTGTGTTATTTGAAATTTGGGAACTAGACCCCCTCATCAATACCATTTCATGTGTTTTCTGGATGAAAATCTGTCTTTCCATTTCTTATAGGTTATACATGCTGTCCAATGTGATTTGAACCGATTGTCCCATGCTACATTGAGTGATTAGACTGTATTGTCACATGATATGTCTTGTGGAATGTACCGTAAATACTTGTTAAACGTCGTCATCACTTCATCGTATATGGATCAAGTGTTCAAGCTATGGACTACAGTGAAAAGACTCAAGTGTCACCATACTTCCTTGTTCTCAACGCCATGGAAAGGACACTCGCTACAATCATGCAGCTTTTACTGAAATCATTCATCGTCTTATCTTCTCGTAGCAAGAAGGAGGAGTTTTAACGCTTTCCAATTGCTGTTGTTTCATTTTCAGAATAAAGTTCTTAGCTCATAAGTATAGTTTTGTTATTTACAATGTTTCCTTGTCTCAAGGTTTTAGTTTGATCATGTAAAATGATTTTAGCCATCACAGATTTATAAAATTATGGTCGAAAGCTGCTTGGTTCTGCAAAGAATTGTTGTGGTTTTTCATGGGTTCATGGCTTTTCAGAAACAATTCAATTTGATACATGGCGATTTGTCTTGACTGTGTTCAGATCTGCACCTGAGCACGTAAGATTGGATGGATGTAGGAACCACAGCAATTGTTTGGATGCCTTGTAAACTTAGTGTATTTCAGATGTTATCTAGTTATGAATAAGAAATGTTCCATTTCTGCCTCAGTATCCAATGGTAAGATTAGAGTTTCAGGAACTATTGTGTCTTTTTGTGTTTGCAGATTATCATAGATAATCAGTGCATATATTATTAAAAAGTTCACAAATATCATCTGGTTTTGCAACCTTGTATGAGCACTGTTACTTTTTTTAAGTATTTGAAACTAAGTGGGAAAGAAAATGTCCTCACTCCGAGTTGACTGAAACTGAATGTGAGAAGCTTGTCTTTCAGGATAATAGAATAGAATCATATATGTTTCAAAGTGACATTGTAGGATTATCTGAAATTATATGTGAACACTTAAAAAAATACCACTGTGCCGTCCATGTGCATTGTCCAATAATTGATGAGCTTGTGGCTGTGATTGTTTGCTGTACATATAGATCAGTTAAAAAAACCATTTGCAGTTAGCAAATCGAAAGGTAGTTTGTGTCAAACTTGGTGTTTGTGCTCAACTTGAGGTCATTTCGTGAAGACAGTTGCGACAAATTTAAGATATTTGTGATCGACCGACTACATTTGTATTGATAAACAGATGTGCTTTCAAACTGATAATTTGCAATACTTTAAGCTTAAATTTTAGTTGTCTGTCAAGTGTGTTGTCTGTATATGTATGGTAGTTTCAAACTGTGCAAGTGTGGAAAGATTCTGGTAAGTACTGAACTTATACCATCAATACTACAGGATGATGTCTCCATATAGGCCTGTGTTTGAATATTGGGATATCCGTATTTATATGGGCTTTGCACAGCTCTTGAGTAACCAATTTTTATTTTTTATTTTATGAACTTAACCAGTTTTAAATGGAACTACGCACAGGTTACAAATGTGTTCAGATTCTTGAATACTCAAGTTGTTGGTTGACTCTTGTTTTCAGCATTTTCTTTACACTCATGCATGACTCTTTACCTACAACTGAAGTATTAGAATGTATCACCTGCTTGTGTGGCAGATGGGTGCCATTATGCTATCTGCCCTTTCTCATTGACTCGATCTCTTTCAGGGGCATAGCAATCTGTGTCATTACAGTAGTTGACACAGCTTATGACTTGCTGGGGCTCATTTATCCTTGTGATGCTTGAAATGTTGCACATTTAATGAAAGGAAGTTGTGTGAATGGAAGTTGTATATGCCCCCCAACTGATTTGGCAAGAACCCATAACATTAACAAATATGATGATCCAAGTTAAAATTTGTGTTCAGTCATTTGTCTTTTTTGCAATCCTTAATCACATGTTCATGGTCCTTGACCTTTGCCATATTGTACCACACACCTAGGGAAACTGTTTTCTCTTCACAGCCTAAAAAATATAAGAAAGCTGTTAATTCAAATTGAGAAGGGAAATATTTTCTGAGGCATAAAAGTTTGTTATCTAATGACGAAACAGGTCTATTTGAGTGAGAAGTATTTTGCATTGAAGATCCCTAGGGTACTGTGTGTGACAGTATGGGGGAGGAGGACCTAGTGTGTGAGCATTTATGGGTGCATAGTAATAATCTGATATTTAATGAGCACACTTACATGAATGAAAAAGATACGAATAATTAGATATGCTTTTATTATTTTCTTTTAAAACATTTCCTGATTCGAAAAAGGGATTGAATTTGAAGTTGTCCATTGAAATGATAGTAAGTCAGTGTTAAAAAGTTTCAAAAGTTTGTATTATATTAGTTTAAGACATCGTTACGTTTATACATGTATTTGCAAAACTGTTTTTGTTTTTATGAAACTGCACCTTGAAGTTCACAAGTTGCTATCATCTAAATATGGACAACTTTGCAACCATGTCTGAATCACATTGATTTGCATATGGTTAAGTAATGAGACCTGCTTTTAGATTGCATGTTTGTTTTCCAAAGTCAAATGAATTGTTGGCTACGTTTACATGAAGTTTGACTTCAGTACATCCCTTTTGATTCCATTATGAACTTAACACATGTAAATGACCTAAATGAACCCTGTTGATTCATACTCATATACTTACGCACTATATATATACCGCAAACGTGAGCACATGTGTTATGGAAGATCCATGGATTTGATAGAATGTCAAATTGATTTAGTCAAATACAGTTACAGTGATAGGTTGGATGTGTAATGGGCTTCAATATTCTCCAGGTTAATTTGTCCTGTCATTTCAAATTATAAATCTGATTTTTTTACCTCTTGTAAGTTTTATATTTTATCTGTAATCTCGTCCTGTTCAGGATTTGTTTTGTTACTTCATGATAGACGCCGGTTTTATTTTTTTGCGCTGCTTTTGATATCTAATTGCTTTTGTGAAATATTTTTTATTCACTATTGTATCACTTGTTATATAAATTTGTATTTTGGAAATAAGACAAGCTTGCATACAAAACTGTCATCTGGTTGACCCATGTTTGTTGGTATGTAATTCATGCTAAGACACTACTAAGATACTTGATTTGATATGGATTGGGAAATGTTAATGTACATGTTGAGATACCAGTGACTCAAAAGTTGATAAATTTCTATTTCTGTGATCAGGTATAGGCTTAATTTTCGAATTGGGTTGTACGCAAATGTTGTCTATGAACTTTATTTGGATGGACAGTGTTTATGCTTGTTACTCTATAACTAAATAGGGGACTTTGGTGGCCCAGTAGTCTGAAACCACACTAAGAAAAGATGCCAGAATTGTTTACCTCGTACTTAGCTGACCAGCTCCTCAAAAAGGCAACCACATGTATCAGGTTGTTTCGCGACTTGGTTGATTGTGTACCTACCATCGTACCCCCATTGCGTATATCTTTGCTCACGACATCAATCAACGGATTGACTGGTCCAGAATTGATTATGAAAAGGATGCCATTTTATAGCTGGAATATTGCTGTGTGCAGCGCCAAACAAAAAACAAACAATCTTAGTTGCCAGGTTTAGCAGATTGTGCCCAGATTAACATCCTTGTTTGCCAACTTTGTTCCTGTGCCCCTGATATTCACCAAAGTGGAGGGGGCACAGTAGTCTAAGTCACTACAATTTCCTATACAGAGTTGCACACCTTGGCCATGCCAAGATCCATTGGCGGTGGGTTTGAATTTCCCCCAATTCTGATCCTTGATCTGCTATCACTTTCCCAATGAATGTAGACTTCACCAAAGTGGTAGTGGCATCAACCTGTGGTTCATGTCACTTGATTACTACGTTTTTTGATATGATTGAGCTGACATGCTGGAATGACTGAAATGCTGTCGACCCCATGTAGGTCACTCTGTAAAACCAAATGTTATCTAATCAATTGCTTTGAAAATCTAGTTGGTTTTTAAAAATCTTAATTTGTCATTTTCTTTTTTGCATTTAATGTCATAGCTACTTTTGTGTGTGTATGAAGGTATAAAATAAACATTCTCTGTATGTGTGATGGGCATCAGGACATTGGTCCTTTGTTAACAAAATTGGAAAGTGGAAATTGTTTGTTGGGTTATTACCCTACCTGAAAATCAAAATGCACCTAAATTGTAAACTTTGTGTCCATGAAGAATCTAGATGACAATTGTAGTTCTACAGAAAGTGATGACTATACGTCAATGTACCTAAACAAAATTAGGCAGACAATTGATGTTTCTTACAAGTTTTGAAACATTACATTCATCATGTTGCATGTCATACGTCCATACGTGTGTAACAGTGGAAAAGAAAGTTTGTTGGTAGCACCGTTCCATCATTTTATGCAAATACATTGCATACATTACACAGTTAAGGGTTTCCACAGTACACTTGATGATCCATGAACAGTTTTATCCAAACAAAATTAGACAAGTGAATTAGAACTTGATTTGTACTAAGGAATATAGGTTCTGTGGAGATCCTTGTTTTTATTCTAACACATTTTAGATCTGTTTATTTATATTTGTTCTTGTTTCATGGTTGATTCTTGTTGCGAATGTTGTCGAGAATGGTAAATATTTTGTCTAGTTTTATTTGTTTACTAAATTGGGTTACTTTGATGTCTCATGGTTTATGCATATATTTGCTGTGGTAGTTTATCAAATATATAGTTTTAATGATGAGACTAAAGTATGTAACTATGAAACAAGAACTATAAGGATTTAGTTTCATACACACAAAGCCATGGCTACAAATACTGTGTCAGTCTTTATCAGATAACCAAAGTTGGACACAGTAGGTGTGAGGTGGCATTGTGCATGTGAACATTAGTGATTGTATTATAACACAACTTTCCCTTTCAGGACAATTTACTTCACAATGAGCATCAGCTGTTAATAATTGCAGCCTGGATAAGTTTTTTTGATGTATTGGTTTAAATAGTAAGTTTTATTTGATACCTTGGTTCAAATCCAGCTAGTTTGAAAGTTTGATAATTTTAGATTCACAATTTCAGTTTTGCACTCCTGAGCAAATGCAAAAGCATTTACATTGTCTAATTTTGAAAATCAGCTTCTCCATGGGAACTGTTGCATCACGTAATGAAGTATTTTTTATGATACTGGTTGATTGGGAAAATGTTTCATGATACAATTTAGACATCACATCTTTATGCACACAAATGTTAATTGGATAATTTGGATTATGTCAGATTCCTGATGTGATACAGCATTTCTCAAGGATAGGCTGTCTCCAAATCAGCTAATTATTGCTATCTGTTATGAGTTGATGAAGTTACTCAAGTTTCTTTATGAGATGTGTCGGATGCA